CTTGCATAATAAGCACATACATCGACTCGGTGAGATCCACCCCTAGCTTAGCCAGTCTATTCATGAAAATGAGAAGCTTTACGCGCGAGTCAATGTTGTTATGTATCTGTTTCTGCTGCATCAGCCTTCCGCCCAGCACATACTTAACTGCGCTGTCGCTGTTTATGGCCGGGCTTGTGCCCTCCATTCTGTCTATGGCGCTGTCCAGCGAGCATATGCTTTCCTGAGTGAGTTTCCGTACGTAGGCAACAGTTTTCATGCTCTTCTCCTGCATACTGTGAGCTATCCTCTGATGCAGGCCCCGGATGTGGAAGGCTGACTGTATTCTCTCCAGCGCTCCTATTGACAGGATTTTCATGGAGAGGCCGTGCATGCAGCCTCTGCAGGTTCCGTTGCAGGCGTACTCGTTCACTCCAACTGCAAATTTTGCTTCTCCTTTTGTGAGCGTGTGCAAGGCTTGGGCCCCATGGTCGCTGGCGTCGGTATGCAAGGCCACGAGGACCCGCTTGCTGATTTCGTAGTTCTGCCTGCGCAGGTTGAAGTATATAAGGGCTTCGGCTATTCTCTTGATTTTGCTTGTGGACTGTAAGCCCATGTCATGAAGAAACTCCACAGAAATGTGTTTCTTAAGAATTCTAAACATGAAAATAGTGGCCTCAATTGGGGCATATGTATACGATGTCGGCAGGCCCAGGCGGGATCTATCTGCATTGTACTCTTCCGTGTTTATATCTATATTTATGCAGCTCATATTGGTTTCTTAGATTTTTAAACTATTTTTATATTCTTGATAGCGTTTTTTTGATAACCCGAATTGAAATTTATTGGTAATGCATTCCAAGCGAACTCATTCGGGCGCATCGCCGATGGCTCAAACTATGTGCTGCCGTTATTGTGTTTCTGCAGGCAGCCCTGCTGGCCCATTTCATGCTTTCTGAGCCCTCTCTCTGCACGTTATTGCCATTTCTCTTGCGTGGCTCTTCTCTTGGCAGCAGCACTCCGCACTGGGCCGGTCTTTTGGCTATGCGGGCGGGAAATATGCTCCGTACAGCACGGAATATGCGAACCCAAAGCATATGTATCCGAACAGAAGAAGCTTCCAGAATCCTCCCTTCTTGAAGATCTCGGCCAGCTCCCAGTACACAGCAGGGTTGTACGAGACAAACCTAAAGTGCATGTTCATGTGTATGAAAAAGAGAGAGAGCACGACCTGAAAGAGAAGCACGCACTGCAGGAACAGCCTCAGCACCCAAAACGCGCCATGCCTGCTTTCGCGCGCCTTCTTTTTGTTTCCTGCGCCCTCTTCTGTGTGCGCGGAGCCGGCTTTTCTGCCAAGTACCGGCACTTCTGCCCGAGCGGGCGCTTCGAAGACTTTTCTCCACGCCTCGAAAGGTCCGGCTCTTTTAGCCTCGTCAACGAGTGCGCGCCCCACGCTTATTTCTCTTCGGGCGTAGCTGCCCAAGACGATGCAGGACAAAAGAACAAACGGAAGCCCAACTATGAGATTTGGAATATTTTTTGGGTGTTTGTAAAACTCGAGAAACCCCTGCTCCCAATAGACCGCCTGCACGTACGAGTACGGAAGGGTGGAAATGTGCGGAAATCTAGTGGTCCACCAGTACGCTTGTATGCCCAGGAATGTAACCAAAGGCAGGGCGCAAAGCCCCAGGGCAAGCCTGTGCATTCTCTTGTAGTACGTTTCAAGAAGAACCAAAGGCGCGAGAATGAAGCCGTTTGAGCGAACTGCAGAGGCCAAGGAGACCCACAGAAAGGCCAGCGGGCGGGCATTCCTGGAGAGCGCAGAGCGGACTGCAAGAAGCACAAACAGGCAGAAAATAGCCTCAGTGTAGAGGGCCGAGTATATGACAGAGCACGGGCTAAAACAGAAGAGAATGCACGCTCTGAGGGCGTTTTTCTCGCCGAGGAACTTTTCGGTTACTCTGTGCAGGACAAGAGCGGAAGCCAGGAACGACCCGTTAGAGATCAGGGCTCCTGAGAGCGTGTAGGAAAGCCCGAGCCAGGCAAGCGCCCGGATCAGCATCGGATAAAGCGGAAAAAATGCAGTCATGTTCTCTTCTGTGTATCCGTGCTTTGCGATGCGGTAGAAGTAGAGGGCGTCCCACCGAACGAGAAAGGAGAGGCAGCCGGCCTCGGTTGTGAGGTCGTGCGAGAAGTCGTGGTTTGGGATAAAGCGGGCGGACAAGGCGCAAGCTGCCAGGCACAGGCACCTGGACGCGCTCCAGACGGCAGCAGGCTTCAACATAAAAAGAGAAAAAAGCAAACAAAAATACGTCCCCGACGGGTTTCGAACCCGCAACCTTTGCCTTAGGAAGGCAACGCTCTGCCATTGAGCTACGGGGACCCCAGCTAACAGACCCCCCAGGCCCGCTCGAAATCTGCGGTGTCTGCGCTTTGTTTGCGTGCAGGGGCTTTTGTTTGAGTTTTGCAAAATATTTTTCTGCTTTGTGCTGCATAGGCGACTTTTTGTTTTTAATTTGATGTTTTCGGGACGGGTTTGTTTCTGTTTTTGCGGGCGCTGCATTTTATTTCTATTTTGGATGCGCGTGCACTTTTTTGTCTGCTTCTGTTTTGACGCTTTTCTGCTTTGATGTGGGAGGGGCGTGCACAGAGGGCCTTTGAATGCTTTTTGGGCTGGGCAAATGCATCGGCTGCATTGGTGGACTGAAAGCTGCGCGGGCGCTGTCTTGTAGCGGGTGGCTGCGCTTTTTGGGGGTTGGCGCAAGGGTTCTCTTTGCTCTAGGGCGGAATGGACGCGCATTTTTCTTGTGCGGGCTGTGTGTTTTCCGGGTGGGCTGCACTGCGTATATTACGATGCTATTTTATTTTTTATTATGGACAAAGGACTCGCGCACAGCCACATTACTGGTTTGGGTGTTGACAGAGGTATGAACATTACAGAGGATGCAGGGCTATTTAGCATGGAGCAGTCCAGGAAGGCTGCCAGTCTTTTCACGGACATGATAGCCAACAAAAAAATAGCAGGGAAGGCGCTTCTAATAACCGGAGAGAGCGGAAGCGGAAAGACGGCCCTGGCAGTTGGCATTTCCAAGGAGCTGGGTGCGCGCGTTCCGTTTGTGCGCATGACGGGCGGGGAGGTGTACTCTGGCTCGGTCCGGAAAACAGAGATTCTGCATCAGGCCATCCGGCGGGCCACCAGCATCCGGGTGCGCGAGGTGAAGCACGTGTACGAGGGGGAGGTGATTGACATAAAAATAGAAGAGAAAGAAGACCCGCTGAACAACTACAGGAAGACGGTGTCCAACGTGTATGTGTCGCTCCGAAGTGCCAAGCGGTCTGAGCGGCTTACGCTCAACCCCTCTCTCTCCCAGGAAATTATACGGCAAAAGATCACAGTTGGCGACGTCATATACATAGAGCCCGAGGAAAACATCATAAAAAAGATCGGGCGCAGCGACTCGTATGCGTCAGAGTTTGACATCGAGAGCGACAAGTATGTGCCCATGCCCAAGGGAGACATCTTCACAAAGAAGGAGGTGGTGCAGGAAATGACGCTGCACGAAATCGACGTGGCAAACAGCAAGCCGAAGGGAGACGATGTTTTGTCGGCTATGGCGCAGATCCAGCAAACTGGGCGCATTGAAATAACGGGCAAGGTGCGAGAGGAGGTTGACGCAAGGGTGGGCAGCCAGCTAAGCATAGGAGCTGCCGAAATTATTCCAGGGGTGCTCTTTATAGACGAGTCGCACATTCTTGACGTGGACTGCTACTCTTTCCTGAGCACTATGCTGGAGCTGCCAACGTGTCCGGTGCTGATTTTGGCCACAAACCGAGAGCATGCAAAGATTCCCGGAACGGAGGAGACAGGCCAGTTTGGCATGCCGCCCATATTCATAAGCAGGCTTTTTGTGGTTCGCACGGAGAAGCCCAGCGAGAGCACTTTGAGGAAAATCATAGACCGGAAGATCTCGATGGAAAAGATAAAAATATCAGAGGGCGGGGCAAGCCTGCTCTACAAGATCGCGTGCGAAAGCACATTGCGCTTTGCGTTTGGGCTTCTTCCGCTGGCCGCAATTTTGTCCCCGGAAATAACGGAAGAAAGCATAAAGGAAGTTTCAAGCATGTTTAGCAAACCAAATTAATAAAATTTTTCAATGCGTTGTTGCTTGTGTGGAATAGAAAGTATGTTTGACGCCTCGATGTGCTTTGACTGCGCAGTTCGAGAGCTGCCAAAACTAAAGCTGGAAACAACCCGGCAGATTGACCGGTGCAGTACGTGCATGCGGTACAGTGTTCCGCCGTCGGGGTGGACCACGCTGCGGTTTGAAGGCCCGGAAATGCTTGCATACTTGCTCAAGAAGATTCCAGAGCTTTCAAAGCTGCGCCTTGTTGACGCGTACTTTATACACTCGGAGGAGCACTCGAAGAGAGTTCGCATGAAAGTGAGCATTGACCGGACTGAGGAGGTCGGGATGCCTGGCGCCGAGCACACGGAAGAGCTCGATGTAACGTGGGTGATCAAGGGAAAGCACTGCCTGGACTGTGCGCGGGCAGCGTCCAACCAAACATGGAGCTGCGTGGTCCAGCTCCGGCAGAAGTCAAAAACCAAGCAGACGCTTCTGCTGCTGGAGCAGGCCATACTCAAGGCAGGCCTGCACGAAGAGACAACCGACATAAAGGGCGAGCAGGACGGAATCGACTTTTTCTTCAACTCCCGAACAGCGTCTTTGAAGCTTGTTCGGTTCATTGAGGACTACGCGCCCTCCCGGGTGAAGGTGTCTGAGCAGCTGGTCACGCTTGACAAGAAGTCAAACAACAGTCGGTACAAGTTTGCATACTCTGTTGAAATTCCAGCTCTAAACGTAAACGACCTTCTGTACATTCCCGAGGCGCTGGCAAAAAAGCTGTCTCTCACCGTGATGTGCATAGTGATTCGAATATCGCAGTCTATTCTGCTGGCAGACAGCAGGGGGCAGGTGAAGGACTTGGGGAAGGTGGACTACTTTAGGTTCGCAAAGTCCATTCGCGTTGTGGGGAACAGCAAGACGCAGAGCCTGTTCCAGGTTGTTGAAGTGGACGGGCAGAACCAACACGCGCACAAGGGCAAGGCTGGCGCTAGCACGCACCTAAACTTTGGCAGGAACCAGATATACAACGTGGTGCTGCTGAAGGGAGACGGCGAGCTTGTGGACGCAAAGACCCTGGTGAAGGGCCTGGAGCCAGGCGTGAATGTGGTTGGGTATGACCTAATCAACTTGAACACAAACCTGGACATTGACGCGTCTATTTTCCTCATAAAGAAGGAGACGGGGGTAAACCTCAAGTGGAAGATAAAGAGAGTCGGCGGAGGGTACCAGACGGAGCACGCGTCGGCAATGATCATAGATGCTGTCCGAAACGACCCGTCCCTCTTAAAGACCGTTGATATATATGATGAAAACGACAAACTCATCAAGGGAATATCTCTTTTGAAGATGTAACTGTGCAAGGATGCGGCAAAATATTTATTAAACAGAAATACGAATCACTTCTGCAGACTTTCTTGAACTGTGTCTCTGCCTCGGGCTCTGTGTTTGTTTTTGTGTCGCAGCACACGTCATTGTGCGCCCTCTTTTTGTGATACGTCTTTGTGCATTTGCCTCTCCTTGCATTTTCGCAGAGACATGCCCAAGGCACAAAGGCCTGGAATAAATGCGCGCAGCCTGATCTTTTGCGCATAAATTGCTCTATTTGGCGCAGAGCATCCTCAAAGCGCATCGTGAAAAGGCCCTTCCCAATATTTTCCGTCAAAAATTGTATGAAATGTTTAATATTTCTGCCTAAGCCCCTAAATATTCACTAAATAGCCTTGTCAATTTTTATTGGGCAATATCTTTTTTCTATTTGTTGGCTCTGAATTCAAAAGTTTTAAAATTTTTATTAGCAGATAAAACATACTAATGAAGGGAAGTAAAATTAGTGGATTTATAAAAAGGGCAAACCAAAGTATCGAAATGTCAAATATGCTGAGTAAGTTCGGGCTCAAAAGAAAAGACGATGTAAGCTTTTCCGATGCGTCTTTTTGGGGCAAGTCAAAGGATTTCATTTTTTGTATAGTTGGCGGAGAAATGGCCATCTTTGGCTATAGATTTCCAATCATAAATGGAGGGATAGTTGCTTTGCTTTACGGCTATCAGTTCCTCCTGTGCATCGTCGAGGAAATTGCAAACCAGCTTTCAAGCATGGAAAACAGCACTGCCCAGAGCATAGGAAACGAGCTGGCGTCAAACAGCCTGCTCATATTTGGGAGTGTTTTCATACTTGGCCTGATCATAGCATGCGTGGCTATTTCTCTTTTTAAGTTTTTCATGCGGGCGTTTATTTTCATTTCAACTCTCTTGGTGTTTACAGTGGGGCCTGGGCGCGGACTTTTTTCACAGTTTGGCATTGTGAACCCTCTTCCCGCTCTTATTTTGGGGATAATAGCTAGCATTTTCATGATGATCTATCTGGAAAAGGTTCTTCGAAAGGCCGTCCTTGTGCTTCTGTTCTCAGTGGTGGGAAATGCCCTTGTTTTTGTAGGAGTTGAAGAAATCTTAGACATTGACGGCTCAGTAGGAAAGGCAATACTGGGTGGGTCCACACCGTCAGGGCCGTCCATCAACATCTTCAAGGACTTCTTCCTGTTCTGGGTGAGCGTAGCCGTATCTTGCTTGATCCAAATCTTCATAACATAGACCCCCTCTCTGCACAATAAGCATTTGATGTAAAAATGTTTGAGAACTTGCCTTTGACTTGTTTTTCTGGTTAAATAAAGGCTTGTTCCTAAAAGTGTCTGGTTTTGCATCTATGATGCTCCCACGGGCGAGGGCTTGCTGCAGAAGGCCTGTGCATCCAAAAGCATACCTGCCTCTGCATTGGATGAACTGCGATTTTGTTAGTGGGGCAAATGAATTCTTTAATTGGTCCGCGCATTCTGAAACTTGCGAATGTTCGGGTGCACTCTTTTAATTAGGGGCCCCTGAGCATCACAAGTGTCCACTTATACTCCGTGTTTTTCTCCTGACTGGCTCCTGTAAAAGATAAAAGAAAGTTAACGAACACAATATAATCATGCATCCAAGAACAATAGGATATAAACTAATTCTGGTGGGCCTTGCCGCCTTTGCAAAGATTGCACTCGCGTCTATGGAAGACCCGTCTCATGTGCAAAGCACTTCAGAGCGCATTTCATCATACAGAAATCCTCTAAGCAACTCCTCAATAAACAAATGCGTCAACTCCGCAATGTCCCGCGATTCTGCAGACGACTCGAGCACAGACTCTGACGCATGAGGCAGCCAAGCGCAGAAATGACTCTCATCGTGCACACAGAAGCACGCTCGACCTGCATATACCATCTGCATACTGCATGTTTTGATGTGTTTCTGCACCAATAAAAGCCTCTTTTGCATTTCTTGTCAGCTGAATTAAAATAAATGTGTACAGTTTTTTCTTTTCTCAATACACGTCAATCTCCAAAGAAACAACGGACTGAAGAAGCACGAGCGCCTCCGAATATAACCGGAATAGCCCCAAAGCCTGAAATAAAGCAGACAAGGCAAAAAGTCAACGAATTGGGCCATGCCGAGGCACAAGAAATGTGTGAAACGGGCATGTATTCTCTGGGGAAGCGTGCGATTAAACAGAAAGAAGCCTAGACGCGCGCAGCCACACTGCTTCACGTGACTCGCTGTGGGGCTTTAAGTGCAGGTGCGTCATCAGTATGTTCATATCTAAGAATTTACTATTTATTCTTCAATGAATTTATTTTTTTATGCTAAAGGAAATTCACTTTCTTCTGAAAGAGACACATGCCCTTTTGGATAAAAACAGCCCCGAGCAAAAAGACGACATACACAGCAAGATTGTGGGAATATATCTAACCCTGCAGGAGTACACCAAAGAGGACAGAGAGGTCCTAATAGAGAAATACAACGAGCTGGTGGACCGAGGGAAAGCTGCAGGAATCTCAAAAATTAAGAAGATTGCTGCAATCAGGCCTGTGGAAACAACAAGCACAAAAAAAAGAGAGCCAGCAGGAAACGACGCAAAATCCGAAAAAATAGCTGCTTCGATTCTTGACCACAGCAAAACCCTGAAAAAAAAGGTCGAGTCTTTTGGGCAGATGCTGGAGAACAGCAAGTCCTCAGTTGATGCGGTTTCATCCCGGGTTCGCGAGAACGTGAAACATGTCCAGAAGGGCGTGTCTTCCCTGGAAAACAAAGAGTGGTACAGCCTGAGCACAGGGCAGGTGGCTCTTTTGCTGGTGATGGTTCTTTTGGCCTTTGTTGTGATGTACTTGCTGATCCGAGCCATTTAGCCTACAGATACATGGAGCCTTCTGCACTGCTTTTTTGGGTTATGAAGTCATGCAGAAAAACATCAGGCCCTGTGAAAGACACTGTTGACTTGACTAGGGACACGGGCATTTCTCTTTCCAGAATTGTGGAAAGAGGCTCTGCCTCCCGTATTTTCTGCTCTTTTATAAGACGGTGCAGATGCATTAGAAACAGGTCAATTGGAAACACATTTAGCGAGGCGCTGAATGTAGTAGATTGGGAAGACTCTCCTTTTAAGCTTGTTGACATAAACGTAATGTTTGAAGGAAGCCTCGTTTTATCTATTAGGGTATCTGCTTGGCATGTATCAGCAATAAATAAAACACTTTTAAGCTTTCTCACTCTCTGCAAGCGGACGAGGGCGTCTGTCAGGTCGTCTGTGTAAAAGTACTTTCTGTTGCAGTACTTTATAAACCCGTCGCCCCCATGCCCTGTTATGTATATAAGCAGGTTTGTGCTGCTGTCCGCTCCCAGGAGAATGGAGTCCTGCCCGGATATCATGTTGAGAATCTCAAAGTACGACTTGCTGCGGGCTATGGGCGTGTAGTCCTTTCCCTTGACAAGCGTAAAGTAGTCTGTTTTGATGCAGGGCTCGCGCATTCGCTTGTCGCTCAGCAGGTCTGCCTTGAAATAGACTGAAATATCGCTGGGCAGAAACCCGTTTCCCTCGAGAGCGCTCTGCAGAGAGACCACGTTTGCAAAGTGCCGGTAGTTTTCGTACTGCCACGAGCAGTCAATAAGAATCGCTTTGTTGTTGCAGAGAGCCGCACAGAGGAAGAGAAGGCCAATAAACATAAATAATAAAAAAGACGCAAAGAACTCCGTGCAGAAATGCACAATTCAATAAAGCAAGAAGCCGCAGGCCTGGGCACTCTCGGGCGGAGAAAGGCTAATTCTTTTGATTTATTCACACGTCGTTTACAACGGCATAAATGCGATTGCCTGGCTGCACAGCGTTGAAGCTGCGCCAAGCCTGCCCCAGCCAGAAGCATCTACATTACTTTGGTTGCACTATGCATAGATGCTGCTTGGCGTTTTTCGAAGCGACATCCCAGAGAACCCTACCTCCTGCGTAATTATTTCTTCTTCTTTCTCCATGAGGGTCTTCTTCGGAGTGCTTATTTTGCAGTTGCTGGACAGCACCATGAATATTGTTATAAACCCTCCGAGCGAGTACGAGCATGTAAATATCAGCATGACCACATAGAGCTCTCTGTTTACAATTTCCACCATGTCGTTGACGTCCATAGGCCCTACTCCGGACATGCTGTCTGCGCCTATGAGGGCTGCCAGGCTTCCCATGTCCATGTTCTTCTTGAAGTTCATCCCGAAGATTGCGCTTATTATTTTGGGCGAGTAGTACATCTTTACGTACAGGAAGCACCCCAGGGAGAACAGGAAGTAGAACAGTCCAAACAGTATGCCTATGTTTATCGTGAACTTGCTTTTGCTATTTACAGAGGTTGAAGAAACCATGGCCATAAACAAGGTTAAACTTGCAAGATAGTTAATAATGCTGCTAAAGCTCGCTCCATTGCTGAAGAAGTACATTTCCAGGCGGCTTAGCGTGTGCGACCAGAATGTGTACCCCACAACAACAACTGTCTCTGCCAGCAGAAGAAACGCCAGAACGTTGACAACCCTTCGTATGCACTTGTATGCTATGCTAGCCATCCCTGGCGTAGGATCCCGAAAGATAAAGACCCAGCAACCAATGGGCCCCCGCAGCCTCTGCCCAATAGAAAATCGTGTACCTAGGGGCCGTGCAGAGAAAAGTGCAGATCAGGGCAGATTGATCTTTGGGGCGCTGCACGCCCAGCTGTGCTTGTCTCTGCGTAAACAAGGCGTAACGCACGTGCAAAACTTTGTTTTTATTCTTCTTTTTTGCAGCCATTTTCCGGGTTTTCGCGCACTGCTGCGCCCTTGTGAAGAAAAAGGAGCGTAGTTTGCAAGCCACAGGCAGAAAAGCCATCTCTGACCTCCAGTAAGACAGTGCTTTCCAGAGCAGCAGACTCTGCCATCCCGCAGATTTGATCAAACAGGTGCGCTGCGCCCGATAAAGCAAAGCACCGCAAGAAGTGAAGTTCCTGCGCGCATTGCACAGCATATCCAGCGCAGACGCGCAACGTACCAGGCAGGCATGTGCATCGCCTAGTTTCAGCCGCTCAGAGCTGCAGCAAAGCAGGCCGCTTCCCCTAAAAGGAGAGTCCCGCGCTGAAAGCAGTGAAGTTCCGCACTCCAGTGCGCCTGCTTATGTCATCTTCTTCTCTATGGTTCGTCTTACCTTCTCCAGAACATCTATTATGTCGCCCTGAACGTGCGGTATTTCTGTGTTAATAAAGCTTACTTTGTACAGGATGCCGGGCGGCTCGGAGGAGAGCGGGGAGGCCATTGTGCTTTGCGAGTGGAGCTCATTGGAGCTTTCTGAAACCTTCTCTAAGAGGGCGCGCATATCAACAGTTCCTTCAAAGACGTCAACAGTGGCGCTTTTTCTTAGATGATCCACCTCCAAGGAAAGCTCCTTTATCCGGGCCTCCAGCCCCTCAAGCTCTTTCTGGGCGGTCTTTAGTGCGTTGCTTTTGGCAGACATTTCCAGCTGACCAGCCTCCACGCGGCGCGTAATTTCGTGTGTTTTTGTGTCTACGTAGTATATTGCATTTTTCAGAACCTCTTTCCGTATCTCATCTAGCAAGGAAATCTCCTCGGGGCTGGAGCCACTGGGCATAAATATTGAAAATATTTGTTTTTTTATGCAAGCAACTAAAACTGAAACTGAGACAAGCGCGGACGAAAAAGTTGTGGCATACTTACAGAGCAAGGGGTTCTTTGAGGACGAGGAGGAGTCAATAAAAAGAGAACGGGTGCTGGGGATGCTTAGCAACTTGGTCAATAAATTTATCATGAGTATAGCTAAGCAAAGCGAGATCCCGATAGACCCGAAGAGCCTTTCTAAAATATTTACGTTCGGGAGCTATAGGCTGGGCGTGCACTCTTCCGGAGCAGATATTGACACTTTGTGTGTTGTGCCGAATTTTGTAAGCCGAAACGAGTTCTTTACTGTGTTTTATGATGAGCTGTGTTCTAAAAAGTACGTCACCGAAATATCAAAGGTGACAAACACATTCGTGCCTATCATAAAGTTCAAAATAAACTCCATACCAATTGATCTTGTATTTGCGCGAATGGACCTGCCGTCTATCTCGCCGAACATCGACTTACTCAATAACAAACTGTTAAAGCACATGAGCGAAAAGTGCATCCTTAGCCTAAACGGAAATCGAGTTACGGACGAGATACTGGCGCAGGTCCCAAACGTAAAAACATTCCACAAGACGCTCCGCTTCATCAAGTACTGGGCACAGAAGAGAAAGGTGTATGGCCATGCATACGGGTACATGGGGGGAGTCGCATATGCGCTGTGTGTGGCAAAGACGTGCCAGCTCAACCCCGGAGCAACAGCATACGAGCTGATAGAGAAGTTCTTTGCGCTTTTCACTAAGTGGCAGTGGCCGCAGCCTGTCATCATCAAGGAGGTCCCAGACTGCAACTACAATCTGAAGGTGTGGAATCCCAAGGTAAATCCCATGCACAAAAACGACAAAATGCCCGTGATTACGCCGGTGTATCCGCCGCTGTGCTCAACCCACAACATTTCCAGCAGCACGCTTGCCGTTATGAAGAAAGAGTTTGCGCGGGCCACTGCGATATTCGAGAAGGAGGCGGAGAAGCCCGACGTGTTCGGCACTCTGGAGGAGCTGTGCGAGGACACAGACTTTTTTACCCGGCACAAGAACTACTTTATGATTGCAATGGCGGGAGACAACCCAAAGGAGTTCAGCAAGTTTATGGGGTTTGCTGAGACAAGAATACGACTATTTGCACAGAGGCTGGAAACAATTGAAAACATAGCGGGGGCATACACTTTGCCCACGCAGTATGTTCTAGAGGAGGCCTTAGCAAAGGACATCCCGCTATTAAAAGAGATCAAGTGCGGAGACGACACATACACGCTGGCGGTTGTGTTTATAGGGATTGACTTTACAACTGCAAAGCTGCCTTTGAATGCATCAAAGAAAATGAATCTGAAAAAGCCTGTCATTGAGTTCAAGACATCGCTGGAAATATACGAGCACGAGGAGGAGTGCGAAATTAGATACGAGGCAATCCCTCTTAAGCAGAAGGCGCTTTCTTCCGTTCTAAGCTTGTTCGCAAACAAGGAAAGCAAGAAGAGGAAGGCGAGCGAGTCTGAAGGCCCTGCAAAAAAGCGGTAACTCAATAAAGCAAGATAGGAACATGGCAACCTTTTATAAATGTAAAACATTAGTAAAATTTTAGAATGAAAATACTGCGGTGCTTCACAGTAGATGCATGCTATAAGGCCACCCGAATAGCAAATGGCCTGTTTTTTGCTCTTTTTATTCTTTCGCTTCCAGTTTACTTCTTTGTATACTATTTCCTATTTGTTGGGTATATGACATACGAGGGGCACGTGCATTTGCTAGACTCGCTCTACTGCGTGTCCTACTGCATGTGGAGATGCGCTGGCGCCATTACCCTGGGGAACTGCCTTATGGCAGCCACGTATTTTACAATCAACTTGTTCTCCCCTTACTACTTGGCAAAGTGTGCAGCATATCTCATTAGCATTCTTACGCTTCCGGGGCTTCTGCTAATCGTGTATCTTTCGATATGCGGGATAACCGGAAACATATGGAACAACGTGTCCAGAATCATATATGGGTCGACAAGCTTTTTGCTTGGGGGAGTGCTCATTTCGCTGATTCCCCCGTTCTGCCGCAGAAGAGCGCACACTCTTGCTGGAATACTTTTGTTTGGGATGAACGCGTGCAAGATGGCCATAAAAACGATAATATGGGACGTGCCGCATCTGATGTTTGTTCCCTTTATGTCCAGCGCGATTTGCCTGGCAGTGCTTCGCGTGCACAGAGTCTACATGACTTCTATACATATATCTGAACGTGCCCACGTTCTGCACAGGCTGCTGCCTATAGGGCTAGGTGCTGCGAACCGGGCATACTTCACACACGTTGTGTTCAGAAACATATTCAAAATAGGAAGCGCAAAGCCCACAAGATGGCAGTGCTCTGTCTTGGCTCTGGGATCTTTGCTGTATTGCTCTGTAGGAACAATCACGTCGACGGAGTATCCAGGCCAGGGCACAATATTCAACGGGGCGATTTCCATAGCGTTCTATCTCGCAAGAATGGCTTTTTCGTACTGGATCCCATACATGATTCTCCTGATGGCGCAGGCCTTTATGAAGGCAGAGGTTCGCAGCAAGTTGTGCTGGCTCACCCAAAACAGGATGCATTTTGTGTACTTTGAGGTCTGCAGATACATTGTAATGATCTTTATGATTTTCCTGCCCTTTTGTGTCACATACTACATTTTTGAAAGGAACCACGGAGAGTCAACGTCTGAGATATCCATTACACTGTCTTTTATGCGGATGGCGTTTGCGCATGTGTTTAGCGGGCTGGAGGGAGCTCTTATTATTATCTACATTGGGCAGCGGCTTTCACTTCCACAAAGAGCCCCCAAAAGGGTCACCTACTCAGACATAATACACATATACAGGCCTGTAATAAGTGCGATTGTGCATCCGAAATAAGCACAGCGCATGCAAGACCGTGTGGTCGCCCGTATGGGAAACCGCTCAGAAGCAACTGAATAAACACAAACCACACTGTATCTCTGAAAACCTTTCTTATGCAAATGCTCTGTTGAAGCCGCACCGTGCACATGCCAAAGCTTTGCCAGCGTGAAAACAGAAATTGGCCCGCAGGCCTGGGAGTGGCGCTCAAAAATATAAAATGGTTTATTTTTTCATATTCTAGCAAGACTTTCTTTTTCTCTTGAAATTTAAATTTTGTTTTGGCTGAATGTGTATCTGCATAAACACCAAACACTAAGCGATAACAAAAGCTTGATTAAAACTATTTTGTTAAACGTGATTTTCTTGCAGATTCCTTTAAACCTGGGGATGTCAGCACAGTATATTTGGATGTAGTATATAGCTGCAATATCTAGCTCAAATGTTATTATGCTGGCAAGCGAGGTGATTATCAGAAGGACGAAAAAGTTTTTAAACGCGCTTGAACATGCGTGGAGTGCTAGCATGTCTGGCACCCAGTAGTTGTCAAAAACCTTCACGTCGGCTTCTTTCTTGTAGGACTCGAAGAGCTTCTGTACGATCTGGTTCACTGCTTTCATATTGTCACTTGTAGACTGCGCCATTGCTATTCTGAGCTGGTTCATGTCGCATTTTAAATACAGTGCGTCGGCATGGATGCTGGTCAGCATGTAGACAAACCTCGTGATGATTGTGTGCAGCCCCATAGCTGCAAGCGAAACCAGGATGTTTTTGACCACCATCGACTTGATGCAGCTAAAGAACAATGAAATGATCCCCGTCTGCAGCCCGTTAATTACCACAGTGATGCTGTACGTTATCGCGTTGCATGCCATGATAAAAAAGGTTGAGAAGAGCGTTCCATTATCATCGAAAATCAGTATCAGCAGAGAAAACATAAAGAAGCCATGCACTATTATTTGCATAAAAAGAATAAACACCATCAAAAATGTGTTTGATATTTTGATTGCGTTGTATAAGGACAGGCACACCCCTATGCCTCGAAAAGCAAATAGGCAGATCAGGGCGGCGTATACAGCAGACCCTATTTTTGTGTTTGACAGCTCTTCTAGCTTTTTATCCATGTACCAATCCTTGCTGATCTCTGTGCTTTCGTTTGTGTAATTGTGCATTATTCCTTTTAGCACGTCTTCTATGTTGAAGGACGTGCAGTCCTCAGTCGGCGTTTTGGCAAGGGTTTCAATTAGCAAGGTTTTTACCTGCTTTTGCTGTTTTGTGGCCGCGAACGGAGAGTTATAGTCCCCTTTAAACCCCTTTAGCTCTTGATTTATGATGTTTTTGTTACGGATCAGCTGCACAGTCCTAAAAACTATCAATAGCCCAAGAGAATAAAGCATAATGTTCTCGATTGTTAGAAAATATCCGTCAGGGTTTTGCATTTCTCCCACCGAGCTATAGCTTATGGTTGCGCTTTCGAATATTCTCTTCAGCACTGTCTTTACATCGATTCTGTAGAAGTACACATCTCTAGGATCAACAGGAATAGTGTGGTATCCCCGAAATTCTACCATTTGAGAAAACCGAAAAATATTTTTAATATAGAACCCGTTAGCAGCAATCAATTGCGCGATAGAAGCATATAGCACCAGAGCGGCATTTGTCTACGCAAGGGCCGTGTTCAGCCAAACAAGCGCAGGCCTGTTTGTTCTGGACAGCTGCAAGATGACATGAGGTTCAGGCATTTATTGACGTTGGGCCTGGCCTAATACCTGCGGGTTTAATAGATCTTCCAAGCAGCGAGGCAAGGCAATTTGCTGCCTCTTGGAGATGTAGGGTCTGCAGCAAAACAACAGAGAGATAGAATTGCTCCTGATTGCCTATGTTTTTCCGCCCTTCGATCATATACAGAGACTTCAGAAGACACCGGTCGCTGCTTCCCACAAGATACTCTATAAGCAAGCGCTTGCACAAAAACACGAAAGTGCCTATGGCCGCATCAGGCACAGTCCCTCCATTCTTGCCAAGCAGCCCAAGCTTGCTTCTATTGAAGCGGATCCATCCTAGAACGGCCCCGCTTGAAAGCACCTTTTCGAGAAGTCCTGCAGATTGTGCATAAAACAGAGCATAAACAACTGCATTCTCAAGCACGCTGTTCACGGCGTGTGCGAAGGGGTTGTTCACCCCGCCAAGCACATGCGAATTGCAGGCAATCCACATGTAGGAGACAGCCAGCCCCTGCATATCCACGGGCACATAAAGGGCGTGGTGCTTAAGCGAAACAACAAACAGGATAAAAATGGCCGTGTGGATGAGCACCGAAAGAGCTATTCGGTCAGATAGTTCAAGCGACTTCTTTTCCGCAAGCAGCTTTCTCTTGGTGCTTACTTGTATTTCCACGAGACTGCATATGGCCGCTATAACCGTGAGGATGTATGCAGCAAGGGCTGAAAGCAAAATAAACAAGCACTGGGCAAACATTTGAGTGCAAAAGAAAAAAATATATGAGCACCTTTCTAGCTGTCTGCGGCAGAGCGCTCTGCACAAACACCCGCTAGAAAGGCGTGTTTCAGCTTGCTTTCTTCTTCGCGCGGGCAGTAAAATAAAGCAGCATCGCAGGAAGCGCACATAATCAAGAGTGTTTTATTCTATAGCAATAAAGTCTAAAGAGGCTCACTTGGCTCTATTAACAGACCCCCAGAAAGCTCTAAATTTAATATTCGTCTGAGCGGTCAGAGTAGTGGTGGTGCCCATGGTGGTGGTGGTGCCTTCTGTCGCTGTTTGATTTGTCTGCAGACGGGTTGAGCACTATGACGCTAGGCTGTGGCGCTCCTGCCATAGCAGCGTTGTTTGAGCTGCTGTTGCTGTTATTGTTGTTGTTGTTGTTGTTCGTTATTATGTTTGTGTGCTCTGAGCTGCTGGTGCGCGACTCAATGACTCCGGTAAAGGACAAAAGCATATAAATAACAACTATGAATGCCACAAGAATTATAATTCCAGTAAGCCAGGAAAGAATACCGCCGTCTGTGAAAATCATACCATCCCAGGCCGGGTGTGTTATATACTTTTCTTCTTTGATGCGAGCCCCTATTGGGCACGCCTGCATCAAAATTCTGTGCTTGATGTGTACAGTCACGGAGCGCGGCCAATCAGCCCCTACACGCGCGAGCCAATAAAATGCATCACCTGGCACAGCGCAGGGCTCACTATGGGTTTCGCCTGTATATTGCCCGGTACTTGTTCGAGTGCTTCATGTCTGCCTTCTTCGACTCTTCTGTGGTCTCTATAATAACCTCGTACAGCGGGTCCTCTTTAGCGTCGTCTTCAGGGAGCTTGGTGAACAGCGGGTGCTCGCACACGCACGCATCCATGTAGTGGAACAGCTCCTCCACGTCTGTGGATATGTATAGCAAGCCGTTCGGCCTTATTACGTACTGGTATATGTCCAGCATGGATTTGGAAATTATCCTGGCCTTGTGCTTCTTCTTTTTAAAGTGGGGGTCCGGGAAAAGGATGAACATTTTTTGGATGCTCTCCTTGGCAAGGTAGTTTGGGAGGAACTTCATGCTGTTTGTTCTCACCACAGACACGTTTTTGCTTTTGTTCTCTGTCTCTTGCTCAAACTTGATTTTCAGGCTGACGTAGTCAACCAGTTTTTCGCGAATTTCCATTCCCAAAATGTGCGCGCCCTCAAACATTTCGGAAAGCTTGAAAAGAAGGCCTCCGTACCCACAGCCAATGTCCACCATGTCCACAGGATGGTTGTACGCCTCTGGGTTCATGGGGTACGTAATATTGTGGTCTGAAAAGGGGTTTGAGTGTGCGCGCTGCCGGTGGTTTCTTTTTTGCGGCTTTACTGGGTTCATCTCGGGCAAAATATTTTGCAAATAAATAAAATGCACGGGCGCGAAAAGACCCTGCGGCTTGCACAGTCCAGCACGCAGCGGGCTCTCGGCCCATTTCCAAGCATGTTTTTGGCGTGCTTTTCGGCTATAAAGCGTCCAGGCCCTCCATAAATATTTTATTTTTATCAAATCTGTATTTATTTCATGCGAGTTCTCGATACTTCTTTTGTGCTGAAAGGCAAAGCTTTTGCAAAAAAGAAAGCACGCCAAAGCCCGGACAGCAGCAGACTCGCGGCAAGTGCTCGGTGGGAACGCCTGGGCCGGGTAGATGGAACTTGCGCGCGCACGCCGAGATAGATTTGGGCCTTTCTGTGCGCCTTTGCAGCTGGCCAGCATAGAGCTCTCGCCAGATGCATAAAGCGCGTGCAAGCACAGACTCCTGCGCTCTCTATTCGCAGCGGACCTCAATGCACGATGTGCCTATGTGGTACTCTCTAGCCAGTATTTCTTTACACTCATACAGAGCATTCTTTGCCGATGCATTTTCAAACACGTCTATGCCCACCATGGCCATGCGGCTGTTCCTGTTTGTGCACCATATGCGCAGGTCGCTGACGTCTTTGACGCTGCTCACTTGGAGAAGCCGGCTTCTGACACTCTCCACGTCAACAGGAGACGCATCCAGGAACATCATTGCAATTTCCTTTGCCAGCCCCAGCGACCCGTAGAAGCAAATGATCGTTGACAGACAGGCTGCCAGCAAGTCAAACACGATCAGAGACGGGTCAATGTACAAAGCTATCCCGCTGACAAACAGCCCCATGCACTGCATAAGATCTGTTAGCGCATGCACATATATAGAGCTGATGCTCATGTCGCTTCCAGACCTCTTCTGCATCCGGACGGAAATGATGAAGTTCACCAGATTGATCAATAAAGAAATAAAAGCTGTGACCAGAAGAACTTCTCTGCTGATGGGTTTCGGGTTCAGGTATCTCCCAACAGAAAGGTACACCAGATACACAGAAGGCGCCCACACAAGAACAAGCGACACTGCGGCGCCCAAAACCTCCACTCTGGCAAGGCCAAACGTGTACCTTTTTCCGCCCGTGTACTTTGACGAAATAAAAGACGCAGCAAGGCCCACTCCCACCGTGAGCAAGTCCCCTGCCATGTGCAGGACTTCCCCCAGAATGGAGACTGCCTTGCTTTTTTTCAGCGCAACCAGCTCTACCATAAGCAGCAAAACTGTGTTGAAAAGAATAATGTACACTCCATTGGTTTTTTCCATGTTGTAAATAACCCGATAAAATTTACTGGGGCAGCAAAACAAATAAATAGACACTTGAGTTTATTCGTCATTTAAGTTGTAATAGTGAAGACCAAACTCCCCTGATGCTTGATCTACTTTGATGTGTATCCAATCACTGAGGCCTTTTCTGTGCAAGTACTTTCTAAGCAGCTGCTTGATGTAGCATCTTTTGACTTCAACGCCCAAATCAAGTGCTATTTTGTTCTCGTACTTGGCTGCGTCTATGCTCAGCGGGCCGTCTGGAAGCGCACCGCCGGAGTGCCTTGAAAGCTTGTGGTTTGTATGGATGAAGTTTGCACACTCCTCTATGTCAAACAGTTCGTCCTTTGTCATTTCCTTGCAGTTGATGACTACTTCTTTTCTGGTTTCCAAGACTTTGTTTACTATTTTTCTTACCATTACAGCAGGGGTGCAAATTAAAATTAAAAGTAAAAGCACCAGGCGATGTGAGCGTGCATTTTTCCGTTACATTTGCGCGCAGGCCGGGCATGCCTTTTCGGGGACTGCACGGCCTTTCTGTGGAAGGCCGCCGGCACAGCGCCTGCTGCTCCAGCTGTGAAAAGACCTGGGCTTGCGCCGTGTTTGAAACAAGTCTTGAAACAATTACGGGCACAAGCGCAGAAGGCTCTGTGTGCGGGGTTACAAAAGGCGACAGAAACGGAGGAATGTATGTTTTAATGGTTTCGTACGCCTCCATCTGGGCTCTCCTCTTTTTCTCTCTCTTCCTGTGCAGCGGCATGGCCAAGGCTTCTTCTTACGCAAAAAATAAAAGACTCTGCATATTTGTATTTTCTGGCCGTCTCACCGCGCGGAAAATGTCTTCTTCTTGGCGCCTGCTGGAAAATGCGGGCGTTTTAGCACGAGAATCTGCAGCTCCTCGGGATAGGCCGCTGCTCAGAAGACTTGCAGCAAATCCAGCTGGGGTGTTTTCAGCTCTCAAATGGCAAACTCAGAAAAGGCGTCGGCCCATGCTAGTGTGCTGCAGCCCAAGGCAAGCCACCATGCAGCTGTTAATAACACGTTTATTTTTTTGTAATGTACTGCCCACACGGCGACAAAATGAACTCTCGCGTGAACTGGGAGGTTCCAAAGATGTTTTTGTAGTGCATTCCCAGAGCAAGCGTTTTGCTCTTGAAGTCCTTCACGGAGACGCTGGAGTGCGCGCTATTTGAGGCGTTTTCCTGCCTGGAGAAAAGAGAGTTGATAAGCCCTATGCGGGCGCTCACCTCGTCTTCTTTTCTGGTAAGGTACTTCTTGAACTTGGCCTGCAGCTGGTTCTTGACTGCTGTTTTCTGCGTGTTGCAGAAACTGTCCAAAACAACCTCCACGGCAGTGTCAATGTCTCTCTGCAGGACCACCTCCCGGAGGTGCATTCTTGCAGAAGCCTCGGCAATACGGATCATCGACTCAACGTGCCGGACCGTGATGGGAATTCCCCTCGCCGAAGCACTCTCCTTTCTAAGCGAGGCGTACAGGGAAGAGATTCTCTCGCTGTCAAAAGCCTCTATCTTAGGAGAGACCCTCTCCCTTGCGTACGCAATGTATTTTCGGAGTATCCGCTGGGAGATGTGCCCGTCCAGCTGCGGGTCCTCGCCTTGCGCGCCCTGCGCCGACTTTCTATGGCTTCCGACTATAAACTCGGCAAGCTTTCGGTCCTTTTCGGGGTTTCCGTCATCCCGTATCACACAGATAACGTCAAACCTCGAAATAATCGGGTCGCTCAGGTTGACATTTTGCTGGAAGGTGTATCCTGGGTTGTATCTTCCCCGAATCGGGTTGGCAGCTGCTATCACTGCGCACCGAGCCTGCAAGCTTGTCACTATACCTGCCTTGGATATGCTGATGCTCTGCTGCTCCATCGCCTCGTGGATGCTCACCCGGTCGGTGTCCTTCATTTTGTCAAACTCGTCGATCAGGCAGACTCCCTTGTCTGCCAAAACAAGAGCGCCCCCCTCGAGCGCCCACTCTCTTGTGACCGGGTCTTTTCGCACCATTGCTGTAAGACCGACCGCAGACGCGCCTTGCCCCGTTGCAAAAACTGCGCGGTGTGATATCGACTGGACATACTTCAGAAGCTGCGACTTTGCCATTCCAGGGTCCCCCAGAAGCAGCACGTTGATGTCCCCTCGCACCTTGTGGTTGTTCTGCGACTTCTTTGGGACACCCCCAAACACGGCCATGCATATGGCTCTCTTTGCGTAGTAGTGCCCGTGTATACTTGGGGCTATGCTTCTAATGATCATTTCCTGTATTCCCTCAATCTTGGAAAGCCTCCGTATCTCCTTCTCGTCTTCTGGCGTGATGTTCACCAAAGACGCCTCGTCCTCCTTCTTCACAATGCTGACAGCCTCGATGCACGTGTAGAAAGTGGGCACGCCAGACCTGCTGAAAACATTCGTGTTGAACGCGTTCTTGTACACTCCAATCAGCTCTACCTCGTCTCCTGGCCGCGCATAGTCGATCAAGTCGTACTGGAGAATCACCTCCTTCGACCTGGGAAGCCTCCCTGGGGGAACAGACCCAGGCACCTCCTGCATGGTCAGCTTCTGGTAGTCTCTGTACAGCGTTTCAGAAAGGTTGACCGCAAGAGACCCCGCAGACTGGCACTCCAGGCAGCGCCCAGGCTTTGCGCCTCCCTCGCCCTCGACCACAAACGGCCCGGAGATGGCCTTGCACTTCTGGCACGTGTACTTGACCAGAGAAACAATTGGGTACACTTTGCTACGCTTCGTTATAATTCCGTGCACCTTCACAAGCGTGTTCAGATGCGCGTTTCGCAGGCTGCGTATGTGGTCAAATGTTGGGATGTTGACGAGGCGGAAGATGAGCACCGACCTAATGAAAGAGTACTTTGGAAATATGCCCCGAACCACCTCCTGCAGCGCCTCGTTGAAAAGCGGAAGAACCTTCCCGGGAAGCGAAACCGAGGCTAGCCCCAAAACAGAAGAAAATCCCTCGAGGTCAAAGTAGTCTACGTATATCGACTGCATGTTCATAGACGCCATTTGGTGGATTGCCTCAATATATTTTTTCCCGCACCCCCGCAGAAAAAGGCACACCTCCTTCTTGATTTTCCTTTGAATTTCCTCCGTGTGTATGTGCCTCTGCAAAAGAGAAAAGTTGTCCAAAGGCTCAGCGTCTTCCTCCGGGCTCGTTCCGTTTGCAAGGCTGTCCTCGTTTTCCTGCGACTCTATTCCCAGAGCCTGCGATATTTCCTTCTCTGCGGACTCGAGCTCTTTCCTTGTCAGAGGAGGCGCATACTCTTCGTCTTCTGTTTCGTATCTGTCCATCGCAGGGTTTTCTGCATAGTCTTCGCTATATGCGTCGCCAAACAGGTCGTCGCCCGCTTGGTCAAACTCCGAGTCTTCGAGCTCTATTCTGTCTACGTCGCTGGAGCTTCCGTATGCATCACTCTCTGTGTCTCTATTCATGAAGTGCAAAATTTTACGGAACAAATGAATACGCAGAAGCTGAGTGAGCTGAAGAAAAAAACCAAGTGCAGGTTTCCCATAGCACGAATCAAGAAAATCATGCAGATTGATGAAGAAATAGGAAAAGTCAGCACGTCGGCCCCGATAGTAATAAGCCATGCGATTGAAATGTTTTTGGTAAGCCTTCTTAAGCAGATGGAGGCAGACGCCAAGCAAAAGTTGTCAAAGAAAATATTACTGTCGCACTTGGAGGCGTGTGTAGAGAAAGACCCGAAGCTAGAGTTTATCAAGGCTCTGCTGGGCCCAAAGAAATAAAAAAACATCAACGCATGTATATGTATTAGAGGCCTGGGAAGCCCAGAAATAGAGCACAGAGCCCCGGCGCACAGTACAAGTCGTGTCTGTCGCCCAGCACGCTTTGTCTTTCAAAGGCTGCGGAAGCACGCGGCACGATTAAAGCTGTTTTTCAAGGCAGCTTCGCAGAGCTGCGCGAGCCTCAAGGGGCGCTGCATGGAGCATGGCTTTCTGCAGGCCAGCTCTGTGCTTCCGAAAAGGCCGCAGCTGGTGCGAAGCACATAAAACACACGCGAAATTTTCAGTGCTCGAGAGGCCATTGCCCGGATGTGCTGCAGCGCTGAAAGCACTGGGCTGTTCTCTGTTGTTTCCACCGCATGCTGGCTTAGTTCGTAATTGGCAAGCACTGGGCGCCCAGAGAAAACCAGGCAAACTCCTCGCTGCATGCAGCACATCCAAGCAATGAAACGGGCTGTACATGCATTAAATTCGGGCACTTCAGAAGCTTCTGCAGGCCTGCGCCTCGCGTTCAAACTGCAGCAGAAGCACAGCGCCAGCAAATAGAAAATAGAAAATAGCAGAGGCACGCAGACAGAATGCGCTTGGCAGGGGTTTTGGCGTATGCAGAGTGTGCCCAGTGTGGGCACTTCTGGCCGGGGCAACTTCGCAGTGTTTGGGCGGAGATCTAGAATTCGGTCTATTAAACAGTTTGTAGTGAATTTGTTTTTACTTTCTATTTTACTTTTTTAGTTTTGTAACCCCTGAATGTCAAAGAATGCAGCTTCAATGGAAGCAGTCGTGAGACTAATGAAGAAGCCAAGTAACATAAGGAACATGTCCGTGATAGCACACGTAGACCACGGTAAGAGTACACTAACTGACACGCTTGTAGTAAAGGCAGGATCCCTATCTGCCGAGAAATCTGGATCAAGGTTTACCGACACCAGACAGGACGAGCAGGAGAGAGGTATTACCATCAAATCTACTGCCATCTCCATGCAGTTCAAGCTCAAGCAGCTCTCTTTTGACACGTTTATGAAGGAAAAAACCGACGAAAACCACTTCCTCATCAACTTAATAGACTCCCCGGGGCACGTGGACTTCAGTTCTGAAGTGACTGCAGCTCTTAGAGTGACAGACGGAGCCCTTGTGGTGGTGGACTGCATCGAAGGAATTTGCGTGCAGACTGAAACCGTTCTGAGACAGGCAATAATCGAGAAGATCAAGCCGGTGCTGTGTCTGAACAAGATCGACAGAGCGCTCCTTGAGCTGAGAGAGGCCCCCTCAGAGTTTGCAAAGTCGCTGCGTAACACCGTGGAAAGCTTCAACGCCACGCTTTCCAAGTTCCTGATGGACGAGGACAAGTCCTCAAACATAAAGCAGCTCAACCCAGCAGACATGGAAGTTTCCTTCTGCTCTGGCCTGCAGGGGTGGGGATTCACGCTGAGGCAGTTCGCCGAGTTCTACGTAGAGAAGTTCGGCATGCAGGGCAAGCCAGACATGATCGACGCCTTCCAGAAGTGCCTGTGGAAAGTTGACAGATACTGCACGGCCAGCGACCCATTTGACCCAGCCTGCAAGGTTCTCAAGAAGAAGAAGAGCGACCCAGAAATCAACCCAGACATGCACCCGTTCGTTGTGTTTGTGCTCACGCCAATATACAAGGTCAGAGACCTGTGCTTGGCCAACAAGAAGGCCGAGATCAAAGAGTACCTTCAGAAGTTCAACGTCAACTTCAACAACAAGGAGCTTGAAGACATCACCTCTGAGAAGTCGCTGTTCAAGCACGTCATGAGAAAGTGGCTGCCCGCAGCAGACTGTCTGCTCGAGCAGATCGTGGTGAACCTCCCAGGGCCAAACGAAAGTCAGGTCTACAGAGCCGAGTCGCTCTACGAAGGGCCCAAGGAGGACGATTTCTGCACAGCCATCAAGACGTCGGACGCATCCGAAGAGGCGCCGGTCATGATGTACGTGTCGAAGATGATCCCGCAGGGGTCGGGAAGATTCATTGCCTTTGGAAGAGTCTTCTCGGGTGTGGTCAGAGCAGGAATGCCGCTGTACGTGCAGGGCCCAGACTACGAGCCAGGAAAGGGCAAGGAGCTCAAGCCTAGAATCGTCACGAAGGTTCTCCTCATGATGGGAAGGGCCGTGGAGGAAGTTAACTCCTGCCCGGCTGGAAACATTGTGGGAATCCTGGGAGTGGACGCAGACATCCAGAAGACAGCAACCCTCTCCAGCGCCCGCGGGTCTTTCAACATCAAGACCATGAAGTTCAGTGTCTCCCCGGTGGTCAGATACTCGATCTTCCCCAAGAACACAGGAGACCTGCCCAAGCTGAAGGAAGGGCTTACAAAGCTTGCACAGGTTGACTCGCTCTGCCAGGTGCAGTACATGAAGTCTGGAGAAATCGTCATTGCAGGAGCCGGAGAAATGCACGTGGAGATCTGCATCAACGACCTCGAGAAGGACCACGCAAAGGTGCCGATCATCCGTGGGGAGCCGCAGGTCTCGTACTTCGAGGGAATTTCGGCGCAGGTGACAACCATCGCCATGTCGAAGAGTGCCAACAAGCACAACAAGGTCTACATGACTATAGAGCCGCTGGAAGAGAAGGTTGTTGACGCCATCAAGCAGGGCGAGGTCATTGCAAACGACCCGAAGGTGCGAGTGGAGCTGTTCAAGACAAAGCTCGGCTTTGCTGACGAATGGGTTAAGAGAGTGCTTTGCTACTCGCCAGACGACGTTGGCCCGAACGTGATTGTTGACTCGTCTAAGGGAGTCCAGAACCTCCACGAGGTCAAGGAGTTCCTGAAGATGGGACTGGACGCTGCAGTTAAGGAGGGACCCGTCATTGGAGAGCCCCTCCAGGGACTGAAGCTCGACCTCATGGATCTGACCTTGCACGCTGACGCAATCCACAGAGGAGCCGGACAGCTTATCCCAACAATGAGCAGACTCGCTGTGGGGCTGGTGCTGGCTGCAACCCCCATTTTGCACGAGCCCATTTTCCTCGCGGAAATATCTCTGCCCGAAACCATGATAGATCCAGCCATGCAGGTTGTCAAGGGAAGAAGAGGAGACATTTTGGAGGTGAACTACAGCAACCACAAGTCTTCTCTGAAGGCATACATTCCTGTGCAGAGATCTTTCAACCTGAACAAGGAGCTTATGGAGAGCACCGGTGGTGGAGCAAGCATCAATCTGGTGCTGTCTCACTACTCAGTCGTGCCAGGGTCTTTGACCAAGGAGGGAAGTCCTATGTTTGAGATTGTCAAGCAGATCAGAGCCAAGAGGGGACTTGGCGAACTGAAGGACCCATCTGAGTACTTCTGCAAGGAGTAAGAATAAATGCGCTTGCCGTTAAACGTTGAATGGGCCCGTTTTTTGGAGGTTTTTGGCTGCGCTCCAGGGTTTTTGCTGTTGGCTGTTGGGCACACTTTGCCGCTCTGCGCTTTTTGCGCCATGGGCAGCGGGCGCAGCGTGGAAGACTCTTTTGGGCTTTTGCTCAGTTTAAAGTAGGCTGTTACGCTGTCAAATCAATCAGAGCATTGGAAATAAAAGCACAAAAATTATTTGCGGGAATGAAAAAAGATAGTGGACTCTGCTGCATATTCGCGGTGCTTGTGAAAGCGCTATCTGTTCGATGTGTAGGAAGGCCGCATAGAGAAAGAACACACGCGCATCCTAGAGAGGCAATTACTCTGCAGGAGCTCCCGAACGGCAGTGGCTATGCGTATGCAAGAGCTAGCACAAACGAAAACCCAGGCATATGCTCTAACAACACTTCACACGGTTCTTCCGAACTTAGAGCCGGGCCTGCCCCAGCGCCGTCCATGCAGATGATACAAATTCCCGAGCCGGATTACTACATTCTTTTGCAGGAAGTCATGCACGCACGGCAAATAGTGCATAACAGCCAAGTAATGCAGCAAGCGGCTGCATCTCTGGAGATGCAGGCTGTGCAGTCCAGCGCATACCTCCCGCTTGCAAACAGCCAAATGCCGGCGCTTGCACAGCCCCAGCAAAATATAAGCCCAGTGCAGGCTGTTCTGCCGCACTCCTATCCGGCGCTGCATAACCCCGAGCTTGTACAGCCCATGAATTTTCCCGAGTCTTTGCAGCCTCCCCCAGAAATCCCCCAGGCTGCAGCCGCATACGTAAATCCGTCGGTTATTTCGCATGCGTATGTGCCGATTGTTCCAACTGCTCCGGTGCAGCCGCATTGCATGGTGCATGAGAGCACTTTCCATCCAGTGCCTCAGCTGGCTCTAGACCATACCAGGCTCCAGCCAGCGCAAGACATGCTGAAAGTTGAGGCGGATCCGCAGCCGCTTTGCTCCCTGCATCCCGTTTTCCCACCAAATCAGGTTTCGCTGGGGCACGTAATGCCTGAGTTTCCCAGCAAGGAGAAAAGCAGCTCTAGCACATATGCAGTTTTCCCTCACCGGATACAAAAAAGTGGAATTCCGTACGTCAGCGAAAGCGAGACCCAGAGCAACAGCATAAAAATGCAAGCATACTCTGTGGTTTCGCATGTTAAGAACACAGACATAATGAAGGTGGGTATCTTCTACCAGTCCACGGAGAGCTCTAGAAAATCCGACTTTGTGGATGTTACGTACAGCAACGGGCTGGACATAAACTACATACACATTGTGATGAAGCCGGCCGAGCAGTGTTTTCCCGTCTATATAAACCCAGACACAAACATAATAGTTAAAGAGGTGCCCCAGAGCAACACTATAGAAGGGGAGCTTTGGCCGTACAAGCCGAACGCCGTGTACTCGGTGCCTTCCGAGGTGTGCAAAAATGCGCCCCCCTACCTTCCCAGGCCAGCCGTTTTTGCCGATGTTGACGACCCTGCGAAGAAGCTTATGATTGTCAGCCCTTTTGACGGAGCCTGCGAAACCACGCCGCAACTGTGGAGCTCCTCGAAAAGCGGCGTTCAATCCAAGGAGTACGGAAATTATATGCGCATTTGCAAAGAAATGCAGCGGAGTTTGCCGATTAAAATAGAGAAAATGGGCGATGCACATTTTGAGCTGGACTTTCCTGCTGTGGAAAAAGAGTCTACAAATGGCTCTGAAACCAGCCAGCTTACTATGCAAAGTTCGTCTCCAGAGCACATGCATCCAGTCGAAAGTTCTCCGCCTGAAGCCATAAGTTCGTCTCCAGAGCATATGCATCCAGTCGAAAGTTCTCCGCCTGAAGTTATAAGTTTGTCTCCAGAGCATATGAATCCAGTTGAAAGTTCGTCTCCAGAGCAAAAAGAGGGCCTTCCTGCTGAAGCTCCGGAAGAGTCCCCGAAGGACATGACGCCTCCTGCTATTAACAATAGCCCGCCTGTGCAGGACAGCACAGTATGCTGCATGTGCCAAAAGAAGGTGGATCGCTCAGAGTGTGCTGAAACACCAGAAAAGAGCCCGCGCCCAGCCGCAAAGAAAGAGCCCAAGCCTCCTGCGCCCAAGCCCAAGAACTCTAAAAACGCTAAAAAGCAAAAGCAGGCAAGCCCTCCCCCCGAAAAGCCCAAGCCAGAAGTCAAGCCCGTGATGGTTTGCATAGGCACCCAAACAGACCCAATCCATGAGAAGGCCCCACCTGAAACGCGCGAAAGAATGGTGCAGTGCACGCTTTTGCCGATCAAGGTAAAGCAAAAAAAGGCAGAGCCCGTAGAAAAAGATTCCCCAATAAAAATTGAAGGGCCCACCCTCGGCGGAAAGATAGAGTACTGCCGCAAGGAGGGAGAAAATGAAAGCAAGAAAAAGGGCAAGAAAGATGCGCCCCAACGCCAAAACTTAACACAAGTGTGGTTCCCCTTTGATGACTCAGAGCAATTAGATAACCCCCTGGCTCCCAGCTCAGACAGCAGCGCTCAAAGCGACTCTTCTGACAGCGGCAAGCCCCCTAAAGCCTGCGAAAAGACTGAACGCGCAAAAACGAAAAGATACAATCTAAGAGGCGACCGCATTCAGCGCAGGCAATAAACATGAGTTTATTTTCAACAGTTAGAACTAGTTCGATTTATTGAACAATTTCCTACGCACAGCTGTTTCCAGCATGCAATGGGATACGGGCATTTTCAACAGTTGTCTACATCTTTTTATGCGCCCGTGCAAGTCTTAACAAAAACACAAGTAGGCGAAGAACTTGCAGCCCACGGAGTCAGTGCGCAGCGATTTTTCTGCTACAAAAATTCACTCGCTTGGCATCATATGTCCTAGTATATATTTGCTCAGTTTTTTTATTGTTTATTAATGAGCGTCGAAACACAGAATGCTGAAACACTAGTTCAGAATCTTCAGAGCAACGCATCAGGGGATATGGTTGCTGCGGGAGCTGAAGACGGGTCTGTGACTATTTTCAAAATCCAGGAGCAAGCCCACGTTCCTGTGCAGAAGTTGTCGTACAGTGCGTCAGCTATCTTTAGCACCTTGTTTCTGGGCGAGAGAGTTGTAGCTGCGACGCACGACGGGCATCTTTTGGTGTGGAAAATGGGGCCAACCGAGTACGCTTTTGAGTCCGCCATAAACGTGTTTGAGGGCTCTATCAACGTCATAGCCGAGTGCAAGGGGGATATTTTGTGCGGGTGCTCAGACGGGAAAATCCGCAGAGTGATGCTTTCCGGGGAGACTTCTGCCGCTTGGACCGCGCACAAAAGGGGCGTCACGGGCGTGTCTGTGCACAAGAACTACATTATAAGCGTGGGGATGGACGGCCTCGTGAAAATATGGAGTGAAGCCGATCTGTCTCTTGCGCTAGAGGTGCGGGAGCATGCAAAGCCCGTGAGAGACTGCAAAGTGTGCATAAACGAGTTTGGAGCGTTTGTTTTTGCGACTTGCGCCGACGACGGAAAGCTGCTCATTTTTGTGGAGGATAAGGACTCGCCCTTGAAGTTCTCTATTGACGCGCACGAGCTGGGAAGTCCATGCACGAAGCTTTCATGGACACAGCTGGGGTATGCCTTGGCAGTTGGATATGGGAAAGGCGAGGCCAAGATATTTATGCCGGCCGGACCGGGCAAGTGGAAAGAGGCCTCTATTGTACTTCCTTAATAAAAACAATCTCACAAAAATTCGCACGAGTTTCCTCTTACCGAAGGCCCGGCTTGCACAGGATGGCGCACTATTTCGCGCAGAAGGCGCTTGGCTTGTGGCGCGCCGGGTTTGTTTGTTTTTGTGCCGTGTTTGCGTTTCTGTTGGCCTTGCGTCTTTCGAGTCTTCGATGTGAAACACTGTCTGAAGCGGCCAGATCGCGAAGTGCAAAGGAAATGTGCCATCTATGTGCTCCATTATCAAACAGGTTTTGTTTTTGGCATGTGCTTGGCAGGTTTTCAAACAGTTGCAGCGAGAGTGTTTTACATGCAGGTTTTTATAGAGGCAGCGCCAGGATTTCATGATCCGAATGAAGAGACTAGGAATATGTACAGTGCTGGCATTGTACTTATCCAGTGTTAACTGTTTTAGGCCGGAGATCGACAACTCTATGCCAGACAGCACACTGGTAGAGTACGAGAACAGCGCGGAAGGAATAGGAAGTGGTCCTGGAAAAGGCATGGAAATGGCGTATGACAAACAGCAAAGCCAGATAATACCTGCGTGGGCAACCGGGTTTGAGGAAAACCAGGACGGCAACAAAGTTGTTTGTCTGAACGGCATGTGCGCGAACGAGTCACTTGTTAATCCCAACAGCGATAGCCCCCTGGGCTATCCCGGGGACCCGAATCCCCCCATTCTAGGCGACGACAGAGGAAACGGCGACGACCAAGAGGGCGCGCCTGTGAAAATGCCTGTGCCGTTCAACCACATGAATCCCAGCGAAGGCGCAGTTCCTGTGAGCCAAAATCCATTCTTTGGGCGAAACATGAAGAACATGCCCATTTCGAAAAGCTCGGCTGGTATGATAGGGTCTATTGACGGGCCGGCAACAGGGTTTGGAAATGGGCCCACAAAGGAACAGACGCTTGGCGTGGTCTTCTCGATAGGCGACGATGACTCTTACATTTTGCTGTCGCACCTTTCAATGGACCTTCCCATGAAGACTTTAATGTCAAACATTACCTTAACATCCGACGAGGTTTATGCGCAAGACACAAAAGAGTATCTGATGAGCGAGCTGGAGGGGAAAGGGTCTGTGTGGGGGATGGACAACGGGCTAAACATCCTGTACACCAGCCACGTGTACTTCTACATCCCCAAAACAGCCATCTCTCTCTCTGTGAACATAGGAAGAATAGTCTACTCGAAAGAGACATATGAGTTTTTTAAGAGAACGAAGCTGAACGTGGACATGATGACCGAGATGCTGGACCGCGACGGGCTGACTGTGTACTACATTCCTGTGTACGGAAGCAACCTGGCGCTTGCCAACCCCATGACTCCTATAGTCAGCCAGTACTTGATCACACACGAAGGGTATGGAATCTCTCTGAGGAAAGCCAAGCGGATAGAAATAGACAAGGGTATCCTTGTGCTCACCCAGGCTGCATACACAAGCATTGACTCGTCTGAAGCCGCAGAAGCCCTGAAAAAGTTTATCTCTGGAGAGACAAACAATCCATTCAATAACGTCTTTGAAAAGTACGGGTTTGACCCTGCGTCCTCCGACGAGGAAAGCGATCTTGGCACTTCGTCCAGCATGTCAGGCGCCTCTAGCGAAGGCAGCAAAAGCAGAGACAGAGGCCACGGCAAAGATGCAGGAAGCAGCTCCTCCGGCAGCTCAGACAACCCGTCGCACCGCGGCTCAAGAAGCCGGTATCATGACGGAAGCAGCGACTCGTCTGACAGCCAAGAAAGCCGCAGCAGTGCAGAGTCTTCCATGGAGGCAGCCGCCGACACAATAGCAAGCCTGTTTGCAGAGGGGCGAAGGCTCCGAGAAAAGGCCGCGGTTGCTGGAGAGGAAAGGACGGAGTACAAGAAAAAGCTGATCAAGCGGGCAAGGCGCGCAGAAAAGAAGGCGAAAAAGCTGCAGGGCGATGTCCACAACAAGAAGCTGTTGGAGGCCCGGAGAGCCAGCGGAAACGCGAAGGGCCAGGGCAGCGCAGAGTCCCAAAGAAGCCAGAAGGCAGCCGCCAAGCAAGCTGAAAGAGAAAGCATGGGCGAAAGCAAAGGCGCGGCATCGGCTGCTGGCTCTGCGTGGCACTCAACGAGCATGCAGAAGAACATGGCCGCGAAAGGACTTATTGAAGCCTCAGCCTCAGCGTCTGCATCGGCGTCTGCATCGGCGTCGGCCTCGGAAAACTCTGCGTTTGCAAAGAGCTCTCGAGAGTCGGCTGCCAGCGCGTTTACATCGAGCGGTGCATCTGCAATCATATCCGCACACCAGTCCAACGAAATGTACTACAAAGGTGTTTCTTCTTCAGAGTATGCCACGAGAGAAATAAAGCACGCTCTTATGGCAATGACCATGCAGCATGCGCTGTTCAGCACCAAGGGAAGAATGTACCAGAGTCAGAAATACATGTCGTACGGTGTCCGGTCCAGCAGAAGCTCGTCCAGATGGATGCAAAGGCGGATTTCCCGCATGGTCCGAACGCGCCGTGCCGAAGCACGTGCTGCAAAGAAGTTCATGCAAAACGGAGCAACTTCTGCCGGAGTGGCACGCGCTGCTGCAAAGGAGCAGGCTGCCCGAGCAGCCGCGATCAAATCCAACAGAAAAGCTGCCCAGGCGCAAAAGATGGCTGGGGCCTACAGCGGAATGGCGAAGAAGGCGGAGGCACAGGGCAACAAGAAGCAGGCAAGAGCATACAAGCGAAGTGCAAGCCGCCAAAGGCGGGCCTACAGCAGGCACTCTGCGAAAGCTGCGAAGCTCTCGAATGCCATTGGCGCGTTCAAGGCAGCAAAACTTGCTGAGTGTGCCAGGCAGTCTTCTATTTTTGCACAGCAAATCAACAATCCTGTGGAGGCTGTTACGCAGCAGGACCTTACAAGCCTGCAAAAAGCAGTCGCGCAGATTCTGACCAGCTCGCAGATCCAGGTTCTCAGCAAAGCCCTCTCCCCCATGCAGATACGTGTACTTACAAGCATGCTGACTCCGCAGCAGGTCCAGCAAACACTGGTCCACATGGGCGCAATGTCCGTGGAGCAGATGCAGGGTCTTCTGCTTCGCCTGCAAATCAGAGGGGTGGAGCTCCAAAACAGCAAGGGCCCTAGCATGAACATAGGCCTGGGCTCGGCATTCCCTCTGGGGTCTCCTGCAATTGGCTCTATTATGATGCGGGTGCAGGGCCAAAAGCCCGAGGGAACGCTCTCAAACGCCGATTTGATGCGGTTCCTAACACAGGGGCAGGCCATGTTCCAGTCGCAGGGAGCTCTGCTCAGCACCGGGCAAATGGACACTCTGAAGATGGAGGCAACAAAGCAGACGCAGCTAATACAAAAGCTGATCATGCAGATCGAGGCCAGCAAGAGCGAGATCGAGGCCCGCGTGCGCAATAAGATGTTTGGCGACCGGATGAAGTCGAGCATTGGCGTGTGCAACCCCATGATGGGAATCCAGGCTGGACAGTCGATGGGCGCCTTTGACGGAATATGCTCGCAGCCGGGCTTGCAGCTTGCCAGCAGCATCTCGCTTGGAGACAACTCCTTCAACGCAATTAGACAGCTTCTGGTGTCCCCAAGCGTGTCCTCGTACATAGGCATGGACCCGGGCACGCTGTCGCAAATGCTGTACGGCCAAACGCAAAACAACGATCTAATGTGCCTTCTTTCGAAGTCTGCAGCCTCTACTCCCATGTACGCGGGAATGCCATCGGACGAGCAGGCGCTCATCAACGCCCGCTTCAACAGCACGCAGAATAAGATGTATGGCATGTATGGAGGGTCTCTACAGAGGTTGGAGCAGGCCCTAGCATCTGCATTCAACTTAATACGAAACTCTTCCATTAAGTGCAGGCAGGTGCCGCAGCAGCAAGTCCCTCTATGCCAGATACGGCCGCAGATGTAGCTCTGGTAGTTTAGTAATAAATCTATTTACATTATTTCTCTCACTGCAGAAGCCATCTTTTCCTGCAAAAGCAGGCGAAACTGCTGCAGCCCGCCCCGTGCTGCCTTTGCGCATGCTCGAAGTGGAAGAGGGCGCATGCCTGCACAGGCTGAATATTTCGAGAAGTTCGGCCTTTCTTTCTCTCCGGGGATAAAAATGGACTTGTGCATTTTTTGCAGATGCTTTCACTTGTAGGACTAGGACTGGAGCCCGGCGACATTTCGCTGAAGGGGGCGCGGCTTGCCCGGGAGGCCGACGTTGTCTACCTGGAGAAGTACACAAGCATAGTTCTGGACGAAACAGAAATAGAGGCTGTTTTAGGGCGAGAAGTAAAGCACGCGTACAGAGAAGAGATCGAGGGGGCCGGCGGCAGCGAGCCTTTTATTATAGAAGAAGCCTCCAGCAAGAACGTGGTGCTTTTGGTTGTTGGAACGCCTCTTTTTGCAACCACGCACACGGAGCTGCTGATACGCGCGCAGGAGCTGGGAATTCCCGTGCGGGTGCTGCACAACGCGTCCATACAGAGCGCCTTCGGGTGCTGTGGGTTCAACTCGTACGGGTTCGGGCGAACTGTCTCGATCCCGTTTTTCATAGAAAATTGGCGGCCGTACGACTTTGTGCGAAAGATCATGGAGAACTTCAGCAGCGGCCTGCACACGCTGTGCCTGCTCGACATAAAGATAAACGAGCCCACGCTAGAAACTCTGCTGGGAAAAGAGGACCGGCGATATACGCGGTTTATGACGATTCCCGAGGCTGTTTCCCAGATCCAGGAGGCGGCGCAGCACTGCGGAGTCACGCAGCTGGCAGGCGCGAAGGCTGTTGCCATAGAAAGGCTCGGCCTGCCCAGCGAAGAGTTCACGTATGGAACCCTGGAGGACCTGCAGAAAAGGGAGTACGGCCCTCCCCTGCACTCCATCATCATCCCGTCCGCGCACGGAAACGAGATGGAGCGAGAGTGCGTTGAGAGATTTTTCCAGGCGCGAGGGACCGCTGAGCAAAACTAGCGTGTTTTCGCTGAAAGAAGTTTTGCTCTGAAAGCGTGCTTTTGCGCTTTCCTGCGCCGAATGAATAAAACTGCCTTTCTGGATCCTCTTCGCCCGAATTCTGGAATTTTGCGTTTTGGGTCTTTTTCTGCCAATCCCCGCTGTCTTCGGGCTATTTTTATGTCTGCAAAATTTGCAAAGACCAAAGACCCGAATGAGCCGCTGGGCTGGGCAGGCGCGGGCGTGGAAAGTCCGCCAATAGACGAAACCAGCGAAAGGCCCTGCGCTTCTCTCTCACGGCCAATCGGAAAAAAGAGGAAAAAATGCTTTCACCAGGGCTCGAACCTGGGGCCTTCGGGTTATTAGTCCGATGCTCTAACCAACTGAGCTATGAAAGCACACCCTTTGTTTACCCGTAAGATTCATGTGCTTACTCGCCTGTTGGAGCAGGCATATGCCAGCGCTGAAATAAAATATTTTAGAATGAACGTGCAAGTAGAAGAAGCTGCTGCAGGGCAGAAAGAAAAAAGGCTGATTACAGCTGCTCTTCCGTACGTGAACAATTTGCCGCATTTGGGGAATGTGGTCGGTGCTCTTCTGAGCGGTGACGTTTTTGCCAGGTATTGCAGAATTCGGGGGATTTCAACTGTGTTTATATGCGGAACCGACGAGTACGGGACTGCGTCTGAAGTTTCTGCGGACAAGGCAGGGATGAGCCCTTCCGAGCTATGCGCTGAAAACAGCAAGAAGCACAAGGAGGTGTACGACTGGTTCCAGGTTGAGTGCGACAGCTTTGGGAGAACCTCCTGCGAGAGGCACAAGGAAATAACGCAGAAGCTGTTCCTGGAGATGCACAAAAACGACTCTTTCGTTGAGAGGGAAGAGCAGAGGTACTTCTGCCTGGAGTGCAAAATGTTCCTGGCGGACCGGTACATCGCCGGGACCTGCGGACAATGCAACTCTGACCAGGCGCGGGGCGACCAGTGCGACAAGTGCGGGGTAGTGCTGCAGCCTGACGAGGTGTTGAACGCAAAGTGCACAACGTGCGGCAAGTCTCCGGAAAAGAGAAGCACAAAGCATCTTTTCTACAAGCTCGACAAGCACGAGGATGCGGTGCACGAGCTGATAGACAGCCATGCGCTTAAGTGGACGCCTGCTGCGAGGCAGATAGCCTTTGAGTGGAGAGGGAAAGCGCTGATTCCCCGGTGCATAACAAGAGATTTGAAGCACCGGTGGGGCGTGCCTGTTCCGCTGGAGGAGTACGAGGGGAAGGTTTTGTACGTGTGGTTTGATGCGCCCATAGGGTACATCACGTTCACGGACATGATAGGAAAAGCTAGCTGGTGGAGCGACGAGTCGGTGGACCTGTACCAGTTCATGGGAAAGGACAACGTCTTCTTCCACAGCGTGTTTTTCCCGGCGCTTCTCCAGGGGTGCGACTCCGTTAAGAAGTATCCGAAGGTCATCTCCTCCACGCACTATCTGACATACGAGGGAGACAAGTTCAGCAAGTCGCAGAACAGGGGAATATTCGGGCACCACCTGCTCAACGATGCAATGGGGCCTGCCGGTGTGTGGCGCTTCCACTTGATGAGGTGCCGCCCCGAGACGGGAGACACGGACTTTTTGTGGAAGGAGTTCTACGAGTCTCTGAATGTCATGCTTATCAACACAATTGGAAACCTGTGCAACCGGGTGCTTTCGTACATCAATAAATCTCTTGTGCGAAAGCTGTCGAGCTGCGCCCTGCCCAAGGAGACGGCAGAGGCGCTGAACACGCACTTGGTGAAGTACATTATGCACATGGAGGACACAGAGATTCGGCATGCAGTGCAGTGCATAATTTCGGTGGCGAATGTTGGGAACGCGTACGTCCAGAAGGCGTTTAACGAGAAGGTCGACAAGGCTGAGATGGGGAGCCGCATGTCGGCGGCCGTGAATATTCTGCTTCTCCTGAGCAGGATGATGTACTGCATCATGCCTGAAGAGTCGCTGAAGCTGATGCGCATGCTGGGCGTGGACGGAGAGCCGCAGCTGGGCGACCGATTCACTGAAGAGCTGCAGGAGGGCCACGAAATACGAGCGCCATCCATTCTCTTCTCCCCGCTGACAGATGAGCAGGTGACGGAAGTTATGAAGTTTTGCACCGGGCCGTGCCCCTTTTCTAAGAAGAAGCGGTGAGCGCGCAATGAATAAATAGGCGTTTGGCAGTGCATGCAGGCTTCTAAATGAGACTTTCTCAGCTTTTTCAGTTTGTTCTGTTCTCTCGGGCTCCTGCTAGCATGATGTGTGTTTGGGCAGAAAAAAAGCGTACAGCGCGCGAATTTAGACTGCTTTAATTTTTGCCCTCCCGGAGAAAACAGGAAAAATAGGCCAAGGGCGCTGCAAAGTGCATTTTCTTTATATTTATTAGTTACATTGTTTTCTCTGGGCAGTCTTTTCCAGCTCCGCCCAGAACTCTCGGATTACGCAAACCTCCTGCTCAGACATATTTTTCGTGCTGTACAGATACTCCACATACTGGATGGGCACGGAGATGTCAACAGAGGTACCATGCTGCTCTACTGTTATGTCTAGATATGTGTGCTTGTTTGTGTACTCCAGGGAGACCTCGTCAAGCTTTTTTGGGGCGGCTCCATGCATTTTCTGTATGCTGGAGGGGACGTCCTGCGCGGTCATCAGGTCCTCCCATGACTGGTGGCTGCTTTCCGGCCAGTAGTGCTCGGAAACCACAAAGTGCTCCATCCCAAGGCCTCCCTGGGAAAACAGCTCTTCGGGTATGCACGTCCCACTCACCACGTCGCGGTATATCTGCTTTTCTGGCACCTGTGTGGACGAGAAGTACTGGAAATCCTTCTTTATGATGCCTATGCTGGACGTCCTGTAGAACCCCAGCTTGTCCTCTAAAATCCGGATCAGCTTGTTCCTGTTGGACCGGGCCAGGATGCAGTCTCTTGATATGCTCAGCGCAAGCGTCTGTATCAGGCTGTCGTACGGCAGCAAAGACAGAAGAAAGTCCAGCACGTCCCCCTGCAGCTGAAACTTCGTGTTTTCGCACTCTTTTCCTATTTCCTCTGCGTTCTTTATGACGTCGCACGCCCTCTGCGAAACCACAGAAAACAGAGCCTCGGCAGCCAGGTCGCACCCAAAGCTCTCCAGCTTTGCGGAGAGGTCTTTCTTGATGTACCCGATAACAGGCGCCAGAAGAACCAGCGTAAAGTCGATCTTGCACAGGGCTATGTGCAGAGTGATGGTCTGGTCAATCATTTCCCGCATGTCCTCCACTGTGCTAACGGAGTGCGTGAGGCTGGCCAAAACATTCTTCTTAAGATACTCTATCCCTTCGTTGTCCTTTACCAGATATTTCAGTATTTTTGACTTGTGCGTGCTGTTTATGTACTCCAGCAGACAGCCCACATTTTCCTCCAGCATAGCCCTTGCAATAACGCACACGCTTTCCGAGTATGCGGTGGAAATCAGCCGAAGAAGCTCTTTCGCAAAACTGTTTGTGCACTCCAGCGCCCTATACATCTCGTTCGGGTGTGCCTTGGAGACTTCTTTCATTATCTCAAGCATCTCCTTGTCTGTGAAGAGGTTGGCCCTGTAGAGCTCCCTGTACTCGGTGATGTCGATTTGCGTGGACCCGCCCTCGCTCATTATTCGGTGCAGGCTCTCTCGAATGGAAACACACACAATGTTTCGCTTTTTGAGGATTGCTCTGTAGTAGTTTAGCCCTCCCGGCAGCATTCCTTCCCTGTACAGATCCAGAATGCGTCGAACGGGTATGGGGGTTGTCCGGTTCATGTGCGACAGCTTGTACAGCACGTCGACGTACTCGGCCTTTTTTGTGAGCTTACAGAAAGAGTCAAGCTTCATTTGTGTTTGTAAATTTTTTCCATGGTCAAAACAATATATATTTACGGTACGCGTACTTATGCGGGCATGAGCTTAAATTCGCAGGGCGTGGGCGCTTAGAGTGCATGCGGGCGGCCATTCGCGCGATTTAAAAACTAAACAATTTTTTAGATATAAAGCAATGTTTAAGCGCCAAGGCAAGGAAACTGCCTACAAAGTGCTGAAGAAGGTTGGGCAAGGCACCTTTGGAAAGGTGTATTTAGGAAAAGACCTGGCCACAAACAAAAAAGTGGCGCTCAAGAAGATACGGGTGACAAACGAGGTGGACGGAGTTCCCGTCACGCTTATTCGGGAAATATCTATACTCCGGGCACTGCGCCACAAGAATATAATAAGCACGCTGGGAAGCTACGTGAAGGACGAGGAAAGTGTGCACAGCATGAAGACGACATGGTACAGCGTGTTTATTGTGTTTCCGTTTATGGAGACGGATTTGTCGCATCTTATAAAAAACACAATAATCCCGATTGAGGACATGATGAGCTACACCAAGCAGATTCTGCAAGGCCTGCGGTACATACACGCGAGGAACATCATCCACCGAGACATAAAGCCGTCTAACATCCTTATTGGCCCGAACAAAACAGTCAAAATTGCCGACTTTGGCCTGTCCAGGACTTTTGTAAACACATACATGACGCGGGGGGTGGTTTCCCGGTGGTACCGGGCGCCGGAACTGCTGCTGGGCTCTGCCTCCTACGGAAAGTCGATTGATATGTGGTCGTGCGGGTGCATCGTTGGGGAAATGCTTTTGAGAAAGCCGCTGTTCATTTCAGAGTCTGATGCAGGACAGCTGAGCGCGATTTCCATTGTGTGCGGAGAAATAGACCCGTCCATGTTTGACGAATCAGTCCACTCCGAAAACCTGAGCCTGTCCGTCATAGGCAAGGGAGAGGAGTCAAAAATCCTGCGGACGTTTTCAAGCTGCAGCAAGACTCTCGCGCACCTTGTTGACCAAATGCTTCAAATCGACCCTAGCAGGCGGATCACTGCAAAGGCCTCTCTTGCCATCCTCAAGGAGTCCCTGCAGGAGTAGAGCAGGCTCGGAAAGCTGCGCCTGCTCTGGGCCGGCCTTGCTTTCGGGCGCCCAGCCGTATTTTTAATAAAGACGTTGTCTGCTGGCTTTTTATTCTATGCTACGCGTCGTTTGTGCCCAGTGCAAGCCGCCTCATAATCGGCGAGTATGCGGTGCTTTTCTGCGGCATTGCTTCCTGCATGGCATTTACAAGAACGGCCTGGAGCTTGCTTGTGCTGATGTACTTCTGCACGGCAATATCTCGCTTTCTGACGAGCGTATACACTATGTTGCACACAAGGTACTTCTGGGTCTCTGACATTTTTGCAAGGTCCTCCAGCATTGCCACCACAATCCCCGACCGAATGACATATATTTTAACGTGCGTTGGGAGGCGCTTTACAGCAAAGTTTAGTATTTGGAGGTGGTACACGCCCAGGTTGTGCGAGCTTGAGATGTGCGGCCATCCGTTCGTCATTCGAACGTGCTTGCTGCCAGGAAGCTCGAACAGCGCAGGCAGATACTCCAGAAGCCGCAGGCCCATGTCTGCCCGGGGGCTCTCCAGGATCGCCTCAATGATGGACTGTATGTGCACCGCCGCCTCCAGATCGCCCTCGTGCATCTTTATGTTGAAGTGCACGAATATGCTTTCTATCACCGTCGGATCGCCTACAATGAGCGCGCAGAAAACATCCCAATCCGCAAGGGCAACGTAGTACAGTATGAAAATGTCGTCTCTTTGTGCGAAATCCAAGCCCGAAAGCACGCCCATTTTCTGCAGCTGCTGGATGAATATTTTCAAAGTGCTTCTGTCCTGCACCTCTTCAAATATATTTCTAATGTTTGGCTTTGATATTTTCTCGGATATTTGCGGAAGTATTTTCCAAACAATCATGTGGTGCGACTCTTCAATAAGCTTCTCCAAAAGAGCCACCTTTACAATCCCCATCTGCAGCTCGTAGAAGTTTTTTTTGAGCCAGTGCAGCCTGTTTGACCGCTCTATCTCCGGGTCGCACACATATTTTTCTATTTCGCTGGCCTCATTGTACGGCATCCCGAATGCTGAAGATATTACACTAATGTTTTCGATCATTTCGTTGATCACAGGCGCCTCCTCTATCTTTGCCAGCGTGCTCAGGATCGTTCTGGCTTTTTCCAAGTCGGCAGCGCCCGTTTCCTCGCCTGGCTGCACCAGCATGGAGATGTGCTCAAAGCACCCTATGTGCATGAGCCACTCGCCAAGCACGCTCGTCGGCACCCCCCGCTCGTAGAAAGACCCCAGCAAATCGATCGACGTCTTCGTTTTCATCCACCTGGAAAGAAGCCCGTTGATGTCCTCCTGCAGCTTGGCGCTCTCGTACGCAAAGATGTGGTAGTCAGTAGGGTCGTTGAACAGCGCCAAAAGGATTTCGTCTTCGTACTCTATAAACTCGATCGACTCCGGGTCAACAGCCAGCAGGAAGTCGCCGCTGACAAACTCAAGCCTGTCCGCAGAGAGCCGAACCGTGCCCACGCGCTCAAATTCCTCGCCATCTTTTTCGTATGAAAGCGTTACGGACTCGTGTATAACTAGCATGCAGGCCAAAATTAAAAATGAAAAAAGAAGAAGTTTCTAGCCTCGTTGCCTTTTATGTAAAGCTGGGCAAGCACTTTGCACAGTACTGCAAAATACAGAAGCAGCAAAGAGCTCTGTGCGCCCCGCAGGTGCTGGAGCACCTGGAAATCCAGAAAGACGCAGTTCTGCAGGAAGTAAGCGCCCTGCTTAAAAGCGCAAAACCCCCGATCCGCACAGAAAGCGCCCAGTCTGCGCCTGCCAGAAGAAAGCCCAGCTTCCCCCGCACGCACACGCCCAGAAAGGGCCTTTGCGCGCAGAGATTCTCCCCCGCACGAGAAACGCACAGTGCCCCGCCCAGGACCTTGCGCGACATCTTCGCATGGCTGAACCCTTCCTACTCCTATGCCCAGTTTCTGCACATCATCCAGAGCAACGCCCGGGAGAAGGAAAAATTCCGGTCCGAGTACGAGGAGGTAGAGACAAAAAGGAGAGTCGCGGAGTACCTCAAAAAAGTCGCCCGCCCCAGAAAGTGCGCGCCTGCATCTTTTGCGTACACAACCCTGCGGGAAAAGTCGTACTGCATTCCCTGCAGAAGGCCCATAAGCAATAAAATGCTCGAGCGGCACGCTCTTTCAAAAGCCCACGAAGTGGAAAGGCCGCTGTACCTCAGAGTAACGGAGGCCCAGGCAAACCGCATTGCAAGCGAGTACTCCCGCTGCGTCCGGGGCAGCAGAATGCACCTCCGGCATATCGCCCAAAAAACCGCAGAAGCAGCCCAAAAAATAGTCTCTCTTGCCCCGTACACAGAAACAGAAAGCACACCCCATGGGCCCAGGAAGAGCCTGCACGCGTGCTCGCTCTGCAGGAAAACGTACTCCTCAGAGGGCCACTTTGCAAGACACTTCGCCCTGCAGGAGCACAAAAACGCCCTCAAAGCTCTCGGCATAAAAAACCCCGGCGACTACACAGGACTCACAACGCCAGACGCAGTCCGCATCAGAAGAACGCTCTACTTCGCAGAGACACATAAATAAATCAACAAAATCTGAACTTCCAAGGCTGCAGATTTTTGGGGGTTGTGTAGTGTAGCGGTTAGCACCTCAGACTCTGAATCTGATAACCCGAGTTCGATTCTCGGCACGACCATCATTTTTGCTCTTCCTTTTTGCCCCCTCGCCACCCAAGCCGCCCCTTCCGGAGAATCGCCTCCTCCTCCCGCGAGTACACGCCCCGCACCGCAGAGCCCCCCAACTCCGCGCTCCCAGAAACCGCCCGGCTCAGATGCATCGCCTTCACCGTCGCCTTCGCACCCGGCCCCAGCGGATGCATCCCGTCGATTTTGCACAGCGCGCTGTAGAAAAGCCGGCCCTCCATGTCCACGTGCTCCGGCGCACCCTCCATCTCCTCAAGCACTTCTTGCCCTAGAACGTCAACTATCTCCACATAGCTGGTGCTCGAAATGCACTCAACCATGTAGTACGGAAGATACACGCAGTCGCCTTCAATAGGCCGCCCCTTTAGAAGCTCCTGCACGCGCGCGTCTGAAACCTCGCACTTCAGCCTCACTTTCAGAAGCACCCCCTCGGAAAGCGCGTCTTTTAGGCTGTAGTATTCCATTAAAATTTTTCATGCCCGTCGACTTTAAGGACTTAATCCCGAAAAACCGCGACTTACTAGAGAAAAGCACAATCCACCTCGGAAGAACAGCTGCGGCAAAGGACGCTGGCGAGAAGGTGAGCCCGCGGGCCGACCAGAAAAGCACAATCCTGCAGATTCCGCTGGAGTCCGAGCTGGAGATGGAGCTCGCAAAGGTCCGCTACACGCAAGAGGAAATAGAAAGAATCAAGCAGGAAAGAGCAAGAAAGATAAAAATGGCCTACCAGTCAAAAGCAAACGCATGGTCCAAAAAAATAAAGAGCAGAGCATACAGAAAGGCTAAGAGAGAGGAAAAGCAGAGGAAAGTGGCTGAAAAAATAAAAATCCAGCTGGCAGTTGGATCAGACTGCGACGAGTTTGAAGCGCAGGAAGTTCACCCAAAAGAGGCGGACGCTGAAATAAAGACGGCAGAGGAGAAGGCATACGACTTCCTCAGAAATACAGTAAACCCGGAGCCAGTTCAGATAATCAACACCCACACCGGAGACGCCAGAAAAGGACACGGAATAGAAAGCATCTTGGAGGTGGACGACGCAGAGTTCGCTGCCGAAAAGAAGGCAGCCGCAGAAGAAGACAGGCCCTGGGAAAGAGAGGAAGTCCTTGTCGGGTGGAACACCTGGGGAGGCCTCTCCGTAGAGCCGGTAAAGAACTCCTCAAACACAAAAAAAGTCTCTAGAACGGGAGTGGAAATCCGAAAAAGAAAAGACTTTGAAGCCTCCCACGTCATCTACAACGAGAAGGCGCACACCACCAGAAACCCAAAATACGCGATAAACCAGCTTCCGTACGGGTACGAGACCATGGAAGAGTACAACACCCTCATGGACCTGCCGGTCAGCGCCTGCCACCAGCCCACAATCATTCTGAACAGGCTTATTAAAGCAGAAAAAGAAAAGAGAAAGCATCTATAAATGAAAAACAAAAGAGCACTCAGAGCACTGCTCTCCACGGCAGGACAGTACTTCACGCAGAACAAAGACAAATACCCGGGCGCCCTGGACAGAATGGGAAGGCGAATCGGGGCCAGGCTGCCGATTGTCCACGGGCTTGGCAGGAGCTGCATCTCCCACAGCCAGGACACATGGGGGCGCGCGATTTCCAACAGGATACTTCGCTGCCTCGGAATAGAGGACTCGTCGCACGGGATTTCAAGCAGCTCTGGGAGAGTGATCGTGAAGATCCCGAAGCTGTGGGAGACAGACGACCCGAGCATGGCTCTGCCTGTTTTCACAGCAGTAATAGAACGAGTGTTCAGCGGGTGGCATGTTCCTGTAAGGATAGAGGTCAACTTGGACAAAAGCATTCTCCTGGCTATAGTTCCGGAGGACAAAAATAAAGAAAAGTAGCAAGCTTTTGTGCGGGACGCGTTTATTCTGTTTGCGCTCGGGCCGGCTGCATCTGGACGCACAGTTGCCCGTGCTTGGCTATTTCTTGAAAGGCGAAGGGGCTTTGTGGCTGTGCCAGCACGGACAGAGACGCGCTTGCGCTTTTAAGCAGCCGGCTGCAGAGCAGGGCACGCGTGTGAAATACGTCTTTATTGAAATCCACTATGCAACTTGAATAGACAAGACTCAAATATTTGTTTGGGTTATTCTCCAATTGTAGAATTTGTTTTGTGGGCCTAAGCTTTAGAAAGGCCCACAGCCAAGTGCGAGTAGCTGATTGAAAGTTCGCCATACAATAATAACCCGAAAGTGCGTAAAGGACAGTCTTTTGCATGAACATCCGGGTTGCAGCCGGCCTAATTTGCGCGTATATGAAGGGTCGGGCGTAGACGGGTGCACTTCGTGGGCGATCAATTTAGGCCCCATCCGGCTGCCCCTCTCCCACCGGACACTCCTGTGCACTGAGGGTACCTAAGCAGCAAATGAAAACACGCACGGGGCAAGGCCAGCCACGCCTTGCGCCAGAAGTACCCCTAACTATGTATAAAATTGCATAAAATTTTGCAGGCGAATGGATCGATCAATAAATCAGCAGTTTATAGGACAGAGACGCATGCTGTGGACAGTTGCTAGCGTGGCATTGCTTGTGCTAGTGGAGGGGGCAAGAGCAGCCGCAGATAATTTTGGCAAAGGTGGCGCAAATCCCATTGAAAGCGCTCCAAATGGGCTTCTGGAGACCATTTGGTTCTCTCTTGCAAAGTTTACTGCGGTGTTCAACGCGTCAATGGGATACTTGCTGTCGTTCAAGGCCATCAACAACGCAATGAAGGGCGGGATTCTAAACATCGGCATCTGCGCCATGCAGGCAATTTTTTCTTTGCTTTTCCTGTTCAACTACCAGAAGAAAAGCGAAGAGCTGTACAAGCCTTCTGAGCTCGAGATAAACGCTCTGAGCGAAAAGGTAGCAGAGGAGCAGCAGCCAGTCCGGGCGCGCACCAAAAACACGCTGCTGCAAAAATACTTGGACACCCCGCTGTTTGAAGAGGTGCGTGACTCTCAAGAAAGCAAGCCCAAGCATGAAAAAACAAAGCGCTCCTACCTGGACACGGCGCAGGGTTATGTTATCAGCGCATTCAAAATCTTCTCTATCTGGGCAATTATATTTGTCTACATAGTCTCTCTGTTCAAGGCGGCCTCGTTTGTGGGCATGCTCGGATTTGTTGGGTTTGACAGGCTTATTATGGCTGGAGAGCTTTCCAAGTTTTTTCTGGAGAAAATACCAGGCGTTGCAGGCCTCCTGCACGTCTTCCAAAGCATAAACACCTTTGCAGTCTCCCCGCAGGGAACCATTATGAACGGGTGCCTTATGTTCTTTGGGCGAGCGCTTGCAGAATACTGCTACATTCTTTCCAAGGAGGACGAGAAAGAAAAAGTGGCTTCTCTGTACAAGAAGAACGGCTCTATTGTTGCAAACATAGTGATACGAGGGATCTTCCTCTATCTTATTGTGACGTACAACATAACGATTCTTCTTATGTTCATGGAGCCCATTGTGGAGTTTCTGCTCTCGAAACAGGTCGGGGATTGGATAATAGAACTTCTCGTTGCCGGTATTGAGACTCCTGACATGATCAGAAGAGACGTGGGCAAGAATGCGAGCTTCAAGCGAGAGTGGAAGATCTGCCTCTTTGTCCGCATGCTTGGTGCAATGGTTGCCTTCAGCTACATGCTCTATGCAACGAACTTGATCTTGCTCGCAAACCCAGGTATAGTTGGAGACATAAAGAGCGCGGTTTCCCGCATGAGAGCCTTTATTCCGGCGTAGAGACACCGCATAAATGCAGAAGGGCGCCATGTGCCAGCCAGCATGCGCATTCGCTTGAAAAACCCTTAGGCTATCCGCCTGTAGTGCCTGGGCACACAAATAAACTATATCATATGTTATCCGAAAATGCGCCTTTATAGGGGCGCAAAGATAGACTTTTTCTTGGTTTTATCGCTGAGGACGCGCCAAGGCTATGCAAATCTTCGTTTTGTGCCACCTGCCTCTGTAATCGGCGCGTGGCTTAGACATAGCTTAAAAGCAGGCCAATTTATTTTTTTATGCAAATTCGGTTTCTGCTCGGGCTATTGATGCCGCACCTGGCCTGTGCTCAGCTAAGCATTTCCGAATTGAAAACTTCGCTTCAGCACACGATAAGCACGCCAGATGGCGATGTATGCATTAATCCCGAAGGCCCGCTTAACATGATTCACGGCTATATTTACAAGAAAAGGGGCTACATGTACAACAAACGGCTGTTTTCGCCGGAGATACAGACGAAGTACAGCATGGCCGCTCTTCCAAGGGAGGGCGACTCGGAAGAGGCATACGCGTACAGGCGAATCCCCACGCAAGACACTGCACACAAGAAAATGGAGAGTGACGTGTTCTCGCTGGAGAAGACTCTCTGCCCAGTCGATGACTACACCCAGGAATACCACAACACGCTGATTAGACTGTTTCCGTCTGTGGACGGGGAGCTGTCGATTGAAACAAGCCAGTACGACGCTTTTATCCGGTTCATTCGGGCCAAGCAGGCTAAGGAGCACGCGCACTACATTCTTGCCTCGCTGCTTCTTCTGAGCGAGGGCGTGGACGTGGACATAAAGTGCACCAAGAAAGAGATCTCTCTTAGAAGCAGGGACACCAAGGAAATATTCCAGGTGTGCACAGAAATACAAGTGCTGAACCCGAAAACGAACGCCCTCGAGAATTCGTATCAGAAAAGAGCAGTTTCGGTTATAAGGTTCTTCCAGAAATACAAGAAAGTAGGAGAAATGCCGAAGACGCGCCAAGAGCTAAAAACTGGAAAGTTTCTCAGCACCCCGCAGTTTCTGATACAATCGTACATCTTCGAGTATACAAACGGCGCGGAGGACGCAATCCTGCTGGCTGAGAAAGTGCACGAGCTGCTGGGCGACATGATCGAGGAAGCGAAGGAAAAAAGGCTTGATGAAAGGCTCGCGGTGCTGACGAAGGCATTTTCTGTCTTTTTTACCCCAATCCATTTGGTTGAGGATAAGGTAAACTGCATACAGTCGATAGCGGCTCTTCGGGAGCTTACAGAGGAATTAGTTCGATTTCCGTTCCCCCACCAAAGCCAGGTTCCTTCACAGATAGGCGTGCCCTCCTACAGCAGAAGCACAGACTCGTTCTACTCAGACAGCCTGCATAACTTTCAAAACTGCGTCGAGGCCAGCACATATGCTCTGATGTGCTGCCTTGCATACAATCCCGAAAGTGCATATTATAGCCTGTCCACGATGCCGAACGCGTCTGAAGAGCTAAAAAAATTCTTTCTGGAGCATAAGAAGCCGGTGGAGTTCACAAGCAACAGCATGTACCGAGAGTGGAACAGGGTGGTTTCAGACCTGCCGTGCGAAAGAATCATATACAACCGAAAAAACAGAAACGAGCTTCGCTCGGGGGTTCTGAACCTTCTGCGGGTTGTATTGAGCATCACAGGAAACTTAGAAGGCGAAGAAGACACATTGGCTGACTTTATGCGCGAGGTAGAAAACTCCACGTGCAAAAAAGACAGCGTGTTTTCCCGGGTGGAGAGATATGTGGAGGCCCTGCTCGCTCGGCTGTCCGTGAACACGAGTGCTGTGATAAGATGCAGCGGCTTTAAAAAGAGGGTTCGGAAAGACGGGCTTGCCGACATATACGGGGACATTGAGATAAAGCACTTCTTTGGCGGAGTGGAGCAAGGGGGGATGTGCCTGCGCGTAAAAAACAAGCACATGACAGCTAGCACCACCGAATCCATGGCGATCGAGGTGACTGAAGATGAAATACAAGCGCTCAAAGATAGAGTAAGAGAACATGAGAACAGAGAAGTGTTTTCGGGGGTTTTGGCTGCACAGCACGTCGACGATGCCTTCTTCTATGGCACAAACGGCGATAGTGTCGATACCTTGATAAGGCTCTCCAGAGTCATACTCTCAAACATTCTAAATACCCAGCAAACAAGTGCGAATGCGTTGTTTATGCTCAAAGAATTCAAAGAGCCGTGGTGCAAAAGTTTCTTGGCAATTAAAGCTGCTCTGTTTTTGAAAAGCACTTATGTGCGAATCTCAAAGGACCTCCCGATCTTCAGGCTGGCCTCTAACATAGTGGGCAGCTGCCAGCTTGACGACCCATCAGTGCACGATGAGATGCTCGCTCCGTTTGCGTTTATTGGCAGCCTAGACAGCCTAGCTCCAGAGGTGCAGCTAAGCGACAGAAAGCGCCTCCATGTTTTCAACCAAGTCTCGCTGAGCTCTTTATTCGTAGTCCAAATGAACGACCCGGGCACTAGGATTCCTTTTTCAAGCTTTGTGTCAGTGTACCGGCAAGAAACAAAGCAGCCCTTTTCCTGTTTTTCTGGGATTGAACGCCCTGAGTCTGTGATTGCTCTATTCAGCTGCTTTTATCGTGGGGAGAGTAAAGACTGTGTGGACAGCTTCTTTGATGCGCTTGACCAGGAGAGAACCGAGGACGCCCGGATGGTGAAAGCTACTTTGAAAATTGCCTGGCTGGGCTTGGCCCTTTTGTACCCTGAGATAAGCTCGAGCACAATCAAGAGGCTATACAGAGAGATTGATGATTTTATGTATAATGAGCACCACCCGATATTTTCTATGCTATTCGAACATAGGGAAAAGCTCCACGCCAAGTTTAACATCGTGCTGGGAGGCGAATGCCAACCCGAAGACAGACACAAGTTCTTCAGGCTCATTATTATATTTGACACGCCTCCCGGACTGCCCGATGAGCACTGCTAGAGCGGCCCAAAAGCACAGCTGCATGCATTGTGCGCTATTTGTCGCATCTTAAAATAAACTGCAGCTTAGAAGCCGCGTCTGTCTAGTATATGCGCTGCATCTTTCCGCATTGCGCGATGTCCAGGCGCTGACTTTCTCATATAAAACCCGCGTGTGGTTTTGCATATTTTTAAACTATTAGTTGGCAATGTAATATGTACCAAACTTGTTTTTAGAGGACTTTGAGGTGTAGGGTTTTAGTTCTACACCCATATTCTATCGGTGCCACAGCGGGTCCCTTTTCTGGATTTTACTGTGCTTTCGGGCATTGAACTCGTTTTGCCGGGGTCAAATCCGTTGAGCGTACAGCCGGCCCGTGGGGGGACCCCAGTCTTGCATATCTGCCGGGGGGTTCTCTAGAATCGCGATTAGTTTTCAGGTTTGAAAATTTTGATTGGGCAGCGGCTTTCCTCTATTTGTAAATTAAATTTTTCTAGTTTCCATATTTAACCATATATTTTTTCAGGAATATGAAAAAAATCACGCAAATAACCTGGATCCTACTTATTCTGGGAGTGTTCTCAAAAGCGGATGTCGGTGACATTTCACAAGAGCTTTGCATTGGGTATCTAGAAAGGAACTACCAAATCATGAAGAGGGTTAGGACCCATATAGACAGGCTTGATGCAGCAAAAGAGAGTGCAGCATTTGCGCTGAAGAAGTTGAAGAGATTCAAGCTTTTTGAAAATGACGTAACTGTGCCCGAGAAAGTCGAAAAAGCAAATAATGTGATTGGCCTAGTGTTCGTGTCCGTAAGCATGCTGGAAAGCGATATTTCATCGTTTTTTGCATGGTTTAATCAAACGAAGATCGATCTGAAGAGAAGCAAGCAGCCGTGCCAGAATTACGAAGAGATATTAGAATATTCAATTGACTCCATAGGCAAGATACAGAGGCGCATAGACCAGCAAGCATGTATTCTGGAAAAAGAGGGCAAAGTAATACAGGACTGGATATGTGACTACATTGAGTCGTTTTTCGAGGTGGATCCGCACAGGATGTGCAGCCTTCCGGAGCTGAGCAAGCTTGGGTACCGCCTTATAAGAAAGCTAAACTACATATTCTACGGCATGCAAAGAATGTCCTTTGGCAAAGCCGCATTCAAGCTCACACTAGACAAGGCACTGCACAGACACACAAACGTCCTAAGCAGAAGAGACAAAAAAGATCTTTTAAGAATGATGGTTTCGGAAAACGCCCCCAGCACAGGCGTCTTGGAGCCCAGCCGCGGAGAGGAGGAGGACGGCCTTGCTCCTAAGAGGGCCAAGGGGGTGACAATATCGTACGAAAAGGCACTAGCCAGTGTTTTGAACAAAAAGCTTGGAAACGGATTGGCCAACAGCTCAGAGCTTCTTGAAGCCTTCCTGCTCCAGAGCTCCTCCACGGCTGCGCCATGCATTGAAATGTTCAAACAGATGGACACAGACCTGGCGTGCAGCACACTGCTTGTGTTTCTGGTCCTCCACAAAATACTCGAAGATCTGGAGGAGACTCCGAAAACGCTTGAAATAGTGGACAGGATAGAAGAAGGCATCAAGGCCGAGGAGATAGAGGAAAGCACAAAGCACGCCCTCGTGAAAATCATAAGCATCTACAGAAACTTGAACAGCAAAAAGTCGCAGGATATGGCGCAGAAGGTCATACAACAGTACGTTCCGAGCTTGTTAAACCAATACCTTCTGCTGGCTATACGAAGCCCAGCATGCAGCCCTTAGCAGAAGTGATAGAGAGTCTTCCGGGCTTATAGGCAAGTGCGCATGCACCCAGCACCCGCTAAAGCCGCCTAAAGGCTGAAAAATAAACTAAAGGTTAAAAAACAGAAGAAGCCCCCGTCTTGCCGCAGGCTGTGCACAGCTGCTTAAAAACAACCCCGGAAAACAGCGTGCAGCCCACTGTATAAATGCGCATAAAAACAGAAAAAAGAACAGCATACTACGCGCCATGTGCATCTGGCTCCGCGTGCTGCCTGCAGCTTGCGCTATATGCCGTGAAAAGCCCTTTCGGCTGCTAGCGCTTGCCCTCCATGGCGCACATAGAATGGGCAGCGCAAATATGCCAGCCCAAGCTGCAGGCCACTGATTGCTAGCTTTTGTTTATTTACACATAAGAGCTCTCAGGCAACGCAGCCAAACTTACTCTGCCTGGAGCTCTTTTCTATTTTCTTTGTTTTTTCTGGGGCGAACTGCTTTTACAGGCTCAAAATTCGGGTTAAGCCTCCAGAACCCCCCCTTTCCGGGCTCGGAGGCGGGGCGCTTTACCTTTTCAAACATCTTGTTCAGCGACAGGTTGTGCCGGATTGAGTTTTGCCACGCCGGGTCTGCGGTCTTGTAGTACGGAAAGTGCATTTTTATCCAATTATATATTCCATTGAGACTAAGATGGCCCTCGAGTGTTTCTGTCAGCGCTTTTTTTATCAAAACAGCATACGAGTGCGGAGGCTTCTGCATGGCCCTGCCTGCGCCTTTCATGCTGTCTATGCTTAGGTCTATCTCGGACAGATATATGCCAGGGCAGTTTTTGGGGTCAAACAGCTGTCTAGGACATATAGCCTCTTCGAGATGGATAGGCTCTATCTTAATTTCCTCCCGTTTTTCTTCTTTCTTCGCTGTGTACTCGAAGGTGTCCGTGTGCAGCCCTCTGTTTGGTATAACAGCATTATCTATTGCATCTTTCAAGTACTGCTCATCGCCAGAGTCCAAACCTATTCTTTTGAACATGAAGATTTGCATGTCTTCAAGCATTCTATTTCTATTTCACTAAATTATAAAGCAAATTAATTCATTTGCCCATTTACAGTTTGTGTGTATTCTATTTTCTGCATATTTGTAATGACATATTTGCATTGCTATTTCTATTTTTAAGTTTTTTTAACCCCAGCAAGAAAATGTCAGCGTATGAATATATGGCAGAAATCCAGAAGCACAAACAGTCAGATGTTATGAGATATCTGCTGAGAATAAGATGCTGGGAGTACAGACAGAGACATGTTGTGCACCGAGCAGAAAGGTCCACATGCCCAGACAAGGCCCGGAGACTGGGATACGTCAAGAAGGCAGGTATAGTCATATACAGAGTGCGAATCCGAAGGGGAGGCCGAAGAAGACTTGCAAAGAAGGGTAAGGTCAACGGAAAGCCCGTGAACCACGGTATCTTCCAGCAGAAGCAGAAGAAGAGTCTGCACGCGCTTGCAGAAATCAAAGTCGGAAGAAAGCTGGGCAGTTTGAGAGTTCTCAACTCATACTGGGTCGGGCAGGACGCCACGTTCAAGCACTACGAGGTGATCCTTATTGACCCAACCGTCAAGAACATCAGAACCGACAGCAGACTAAACTGGCTGTGCAGCAACAAGCAGAAGCACAGAGAGTGCAGAGGGCTCACCGGTGCCACTAAGAAGAGCAGAGGCATTGGAAGAGGAAACAGATTCAACAAGACCATTGGAGGATCCAGAAAGGCCTGCTGGAGAAGAAATAACACAGTTTCCCTTCTTAGATACAGATAAGATCGAGACGCTAATAAATTATTTACTTATCATTCTGTAGGGTGTGTCTGTACATTTTCTGCCTGCGCCGCGGACAGCAAAAAGCTGCAGCTGCAGGCATGGGCTGGCGCCCAATTAATTAGCCGGAAGGCCTGTAAATCGCCGAATGCATGTGTCCAAATTCGGACAGCAAACAGCACACACACAAACAAATCAGTTGGTCAAAAATGGAAAGATGCGCAGGGTGTTTGGAGTAAACACGAATGTGCCCAAAACGGGCACTCAGGCTGTTTGTGTGATCTGCCCGTGCAGCCACAACAGCAGGGCGCTTGCAGTCTATATAGCGCGAATTTTTAGAATATTTTTATGGAGAAGTTCGCATCTGAAGAGGAAAGAGACTCCAGTGATGGATTTGAAATAGTGCTCCATGATACAGAAGATGCCCCTGCAGTGAACGCAGAGCTTTTGGAGACATACACTGTAGAGTGCGACAACATTGCAGACAAACCTTGGAACAAGCCAGGTGAGGACATAACAGACTACTTCAACTATGGGTTTAACGAGTCCACCTGGAAAGAGTATCTGGCAAAGCAGAAAAGGCTCCGAGACGAGTATTACACCAGGCCGCGAAAGAAGGACCGGGACTGGAGGGACGGCGAAAGAAGAAGGAAGATGTAGAAATAGAAGTATCTTGGAAAAATTTTAATGGTTGTAGAAACAAAGCAGTTCTGCCGAGAGTGCAACAACATGCTCTACCCCAAGGAGGACAAACTGGAAAAAATGCTTTACTTGGCGTGCCGAAACTGCGAGCACTTTGAAGAGGCGATATCGCCGACTGTTTTTACGGCCGAGTATAAAAAGAGTGCAGGGCGCGCTGTGATGGGTGCGGTCGTCAAGGAAATGGCCGAAGACCCCACTCTTAGGCGGATAAACAAAGAGTGCACGCGGTGCAGCCATTTAGTGCACGCGGTCTTTCAGACAAAGGACAACCGGGGAGACGAGCCCTTGTCTGTAAACTACATCTGCTGTAGATGCTTCAAGGCAACAAACAGCCTCGACGCAAGCAAAAAATAGTCTGTCTGTGCTTTTAAAAATGGGCGAGCCTCGGAGAGAAAACGCTTTTGGTGGCTCTTGCAAATAAAGGCCCGTGCAAGGCAGCAGTGCAGCTGGAAAGCACAAAGAATAAATAAGCATCGTATACTTGTGGACAGCAGCGCAGGGCGTTTCCGTCCGAGAGAAGCGCAGGGCCTGTGCAGGCTACTCGCTGCTCTTTGAATCCTTGTCTGCTGGGGCGTCGCGGCTGGCCTTTTTTTTGTACTCGGATATTGTGGGAATTGGCGTAAACTTTAGAAAGGTCTCCTGGACCATTTCATCCGCCATGGCGTCTGTGATTTCGTCCTCTGCCGAGGTGCTCAGCTCCTCCTGCAGGCTGCTCTTTGCAGCGGGCAGGGCTTCGGTGCTTTTAGGCAGCGGATTTTTTGTTGGGCTTGAAATAAGCGTTTTTAGCACGCTCGGGCACACCTCTATGCTGTTTAGGGTCTCTTCTTCGAGCTCAGCGGGGGCCTTTTTCTTGGGGCTTAGGCGCGGGCTGGACTCTTTGGAGTGGCGCTTCGTTGGGGACCCGGGCGGTGTCGATGTCTGCACGGGCCTGAGCACAGGGTCCTTCACCGCCGAGCCCAAGGCTTTCTTTGCCTGCTGCAGGAATGTGGGGGCCTCGCCTTTGTCGGCACTTACCAGCGACTTCTTTACAAGGTCGGCCGTGCTCACTGCATACACGCTCTTGGGCGGACTGAAAGGCGCCTTTTGGGGCGCGGCAGGGCCCCGGACAGAGACAGAGCTCGCCACCAAGAGCCCATCGCTCTCTCTGTCCTCGGTTGAGTTTTCCTTAAATTCAAACTCTGCGCTGCCGAGCTCCTTCTGTACAGGCGTGCTGGCGTCCTCGGACGCTCCCCTGCTCGAAGAGTAGTCGTCGTACTCGTCAAGGCCGTTTTTGATGCAGAAAGAGGGCGATTCGTTTGCGCTGCTTAGATACACGTGGGAGTGCGAGGTCTTTGTGGCCTTTGCGGCTCTCTTCTCCCCGGCAAAGCACTTCTCCATAAAGTCCATGTCCTGCATAAACTCAAAGTCTTCGAGGGTAAACTCCAGAAACGGAAGGGTCTCGCATGCTTTGTACGCGTCTATCTCCATCTTCACTTTCCGCATCAGCCTGGAGACTTCTGCGTCGTCGTTTATATTTACAAACCTGCTCCGCACACTCTGCTTGCTTTCTCTGTTTGGCCTTTCGCCAATGTATGCCATCTTCTCAATCCACAGGTATATTCTTCGGGACTCTTCTGTGTTCACCATAAAGTACCCGCTCTGCAGGCGGCCGTACATGTTCTCCAGCGACTTGATGCCAACGGCAATGTTGTCGTGCGTTCTTAGGCAGTCCAGGGCTTGCCTCGACAGATACGCCGTTATTTCGTTGAGGTTGTCTGTTATTTTCATGACAAACCCCCCGTCCTTGGGCTCTAGCACTTTCTCTATTCTAAACAAATACTCATTAAATTTCGCGCGGACAGAGCCTATGCTGTCTCTGGGGTGCCCGTACGGGTCGTCGGAAAGCCGCTCTTGCTGCGACAAAACAGCCTGCGTCATCGCATCCACCTGCATCACATCCCGGCCTATTGTGACCCACTCGCACCCTATGTAGTCCTTTAGTCCCATAACCATGGGCTTGATCCAGCTGCTCATTCACTTCTAATACGAAATAGAAAAAATGCAGAAATAATAGTCATATATGCTCTGGCGCAATATTTATAGATCCTCAAAAAACTCCTCCAGCTCTGTTGCAGGCCTGGCGGGCCATCCTTTTATCTCCTGCCCAGAGTAGCAGTACAGCCTGTTGCAGTACGCAAAGAAGCCCTCTGTTCTTGTGTGGGGGACCACCAGCTTGTCCACGGCCTTGTAGCTTGTTGCTCTGTAGTGGTCGTTTTTGTGCGAGAAGTAGAGCGTGTCCCCTATTCTCTGCACGTCTGTGATCCTCTTTAGGACCCGCTTCTGCTTGCGCAGGTCGTTGTCCGTCTTGTTCATCGTGTATGGAGTCCCGTATGCGTCAAAAACAACGAGCTTGTTTTCCAGTCGGCCGAAGTACCGAATGGGGAAGCGCACGTCGTACGCATCTTTGGGCTCTGTCTCTCCTATTCGGGTTTTTAGAATAATCCCGTCCTCGCTGGCCGTAAATATTGCCTTCTTCAGCGCGACCACATTGACAACTATGTCTTCGTGCTCGGCATAGGTGAACGTGCCGTTCTCCGTCTTGACCGTCACTTTCCCTTCATGGTCCCCAAATGCTATAACCTCTTCGTTGCTCCGTATGTCTAGCGCGGATATTTTTTCAAAGTCCGTCTTCCACACCTCCTTAAGCTCCAGCTGCGTCTGGTTCTCAGCGGATGGCTTCACAATTTTATAGAGCACCGTGGAAGTGGCTATGTACAGAGTCTCGTCAAACATTTCTGCATGCTTCACCACCTCCTTTAGGTCGAAGATCTCGGCGTACTTTTCGGGCGAAGAGGCGTCTGCTTTTTTGCCCTTCTGTTTTGTTTTTTCAAACACTTTTCCGTTCAGAAGAATCACAAGCAGGCGCGGCGCCATATGGACTGAAAAAATGTCGTCCTCAAAGGTGCCGCTCACCCTGTCTATGTCCTTCTTGTTCGTGGCGGGTTTCGGTTGCGGTGTACCCATACTGACTAAGCTGCTGAAAAATTAAAAGTTTTATTAATGCACGGACTGCGGATATCGCCGTGCTTTTCCAAGTATACGGCTTGCGCGTTCTTTGGCACCGCTCTGGACATGCATGTGTGCTTGCCCTCCCCTCTAGCGCTTTCCTGCCGGCTGGCTGCGTCTTTTCCAAATTTTGTGCGTTTAGTCTTTCTCGCCTCTTTAAATAAAAAGTGTATTGGCGCATTGTAGGAACGAGTATGCTTTCTTTTTGTGTGCGACAAATATATTGTAGACTCAAGAAACTGTAGCGTGCAAAGCCCAAGAAAAAGCTCCTGCCACATATTTCTACGCTGAAATGCACTCTCTTACTAAAGAGCAAGCAGGGAAATGCAGTCCTGTAGCAGTCAAGAGCTCAGCCAAGCAGTGCAAATGCAGGGTCTATGCCTGCAGAGCTGGACAAGGCTGGGAAAAGACGCCTGTGAGCAGTGCCATGTGCATGTGCTGGGAAAGAGCGTGGATCACTTGCATGCACGCGGAGGGCTTGGCTGGGTGCAGCAAACATATTTTTGTTTGGGCATCTTTTCCAGAAACATCCAGAAGCCTCCAGAAGCATAAAAGTATAAAGGGCCAAAAACTTTTCAAAGTATGACTTACGGACAAGGACTCAATTCACAAGATTTAGTAGAGATAATAAGCAGCGCCGAGGAGCTTGCCAAGGAGAAGAGGTCGTACACAGTCGACCCTATCCACGTCCTCATGGCGATTCTTGAAAAAAACAGCAAAGAAACAAGAAAGGTACTGAAGGCCTATGCTGAGGTAAAGGACAAGGTGCAGAATTATATTGACGCGCAGCCAAAAGCGCAGGGCCACATAGTTCCCCGCATAAACGAGCAGGAGATGCCCGGTGTGCTGGCGCACGCAAAGGAGCTGGCCCAGAAAGAAAGCAGCGAAATAAAGGGAATACACGTTCTGTATGGAGCCTTGATGGCGCCCAGCGTCAGAAGCATACTTTCGGATGTGAATCTGAAAGAGATACTTGACAAAATAAAGAACGTAAAGGAGCGAGAAGAAGCATCAATCGAGGAGTTTGCAGTGGACATGGTGCAGCAGGCGCGGGAGGGCCTGTTTGACCCAGTGATCGGGCGGGACAAGGAAATCCGAGCTGTTTTGGAAATCCTGACAAAGAAGATCAAGTCAAACGCCATGCTTCTGGGTGAGCCAGGGGTGGGAAAGACCGCGATTGTCAACGGGCTTGCGCAGCTGATAGCAAACGACGAGGCGCCGGCGCTTTCTGGGTGCACCATATACAACGTGGACCTGGGGGCTCTTGTTGCAGGCACAATGTACCACGGGCAGTTCGAGGAAAGGCTAAACAAGCTGATAAAGGCCGCAGAGGAGTCGAACAGAAAGATCATTCTGTTCATCGACGAGATACATATGGTGCTTGGCGCCGGAAAGACGCAGGGCGCAATGAGCGCTGCAAACCTTCTTAAGCCCGGGCTGGCTGCAGGAACGATTCGCTGCATAGGCGCCACCACGTTCGTGGAGTACAAGCAGTACGTGGAGAAAGACCCGGCTTTTGAACGAAGGTTTGTGACCGTGTCAGTCTCCGAGCCGTCTGTTGACGACACGGTTACGATTCTAAGAGGGCTTAGAGAGCGGTTCGAGTCCTACCACGGGCTGAGCATACTGAACGAGACGCTGGAGTGCGCTGCCGAGATGGGGCACAGATACATGACAAGCGGGCACATGCCAGACACTGCGATCACTTTGCTGGATGCAGCCTGTGCGTCGGTCAAGGTTGCGCTGGAAAGCGAGCCTGCGGAGATCATGGAGATAAAGTCGAAAATATGGGCTGCCGAAATAGAGAAGGAGGCAATCCTGTCCGACGCCTCGCGGGACGCAAGCATAAAGAACGAGGAAAAGCTGCAGAGGGTCGAGAAGAAAATAGCGAGCCTCCAGGAGATGCTGATTCCGAAGCAGAGCGAGTACGGAAAGAGGATGGAGAACATATTCAAGCGGCGCAAGTTCAAGACAAAGCTGGAGCAGCTGAAGGTGAAGCTGGCTGCAGCCGAAAGGGCCAGGAACACTTCGGTGGCGTACGACATAAAGTCCTTTGCAATTCCAGAGATTGAGAGCGAGCTGAAAAGGCTGGGGGACAAAGACGAGCACATATGCATACGCCCGGAGCACATAGCAGAGATGGTCTCGAGCATAACCGGAATACCGGCCAAGCGACTGACTCTTCTGGAAAACAAGCGACTGCTGGGCCTAGAGAGCAGGCTCAGCGCTCGGGTGGTTGGGCAGGAGGAGCCCATACGCGCAGTTACCGACGCCATTATACGGAGCAAGGCGGGGTTCGGGCGGATGCATCGGCCAATTGGGTCTTTCCTGTTTTTAGGCCCAACCGGCGTGGGAAAGACGCAGCTGGCAAAAACGCTGGCATACGAGCTGTTTGACGACGAAAATGCGATGGTGAGGATAGACATGAGCGAGTACATGGAGGAGCATTCAGTGAGCAGGCTGATTGGTGCGCCGCCCGGGTACGTTGGGTACGAGACCGGAGGATACTTGACAGAGAAAATAAGGAACAAGCCATACAGCATAATACTGGTGGACGAGATAGAAAAGGCGCACAAAAGAGTTGCCAACGTGTTCCTGCAGGTTCTGGACGACGGAAGGCTCACAGACAGCCAGGGCCGGACGGTGGACTTTTCCAACACGGTTGTTTTGATAACCTCCAACCTGGGGTCTGGCTCAATCACGTCGGAGAACATGGACAAAGACGAGGTGATAGACGCGGTGAAGCGGTTCTTCCCGCCTGAGTTCATCAACCGGCTCGACGGCGTGCAGATATTCAGACCCTTGGAGATGGATGGGCTCCTAAAGATAGTGAGCATATACACCAAAGAGATCAACGAGAGAATGGCCAAGCACAAGCTGCACATAACCCTGTCGGAAGGCGCGCAGGTCCGCATCGTGGAGGAGTCCTACACGCCAGAGTATGGGGCAAGGCCCATGCACAGGTTTATGGAGCAGACGCTGATAACGGACACGTCCAAGATATATCTAGGCCTGGAAGAAAACAACGGGTTTGAGATATGTGTGACCACCTCGCAGGAGGCACCGCCCACGAAGGGCGCGCAGCCAGCTGCCATCACCGAGCACTTTTCGTACTACCTCCAGCCAGGGCCTGTGCGATACTAGGCCGGAAACGGCCCAAACTGCCCGCATTCTTATTGCGGTGAGTTTTACAAATTGTTTGCATAGGAGGCCAATAAATAAACCAAAATAGTTTTAAAAACTCTACAATTTCGCACAGTTATTGGAAAGGCCGGATTACGACGAGAGTGTGCCGTGTATGTGGAAATTACAAGCATCAAATTGAGGAAGACAAGAAAAACAGCCCGAATCCAAAGCGTTGCATGCGGGCATTTTTGCACTTTATCCAAGAACACACGCCAAGACTAGTTGGCACCCGAACACTCCAAAGACTAATAATTCTCCTCTGGAATTAGGGCTAACCCCAACCCAACGGGGCAGGGCCCGGTCCCATAACACTAATAAAGAGCAAACACGTTAAAATCTGGCATTGCAAGCCTGTACTCCAGTTTATTATCAGCCGAGTTTTGCCTTGTGCTGCTTGCGTGCCGGGGTTCCACAGTCGGGCGCTTTCCCATACTTTATGCGGGCGGGGCGTCTGCGTGTGCCTCGTAAATGTACGACCCCTTCGAAAGGACTATTTCCATGGTGCGCTGCTTGTAGAACTCTGGAGCCACCTTCAGATTCTCAATCACGTCGTGCAGGAGCACCGCGCACCCAACGCCCTCGCCCATGTGCGCTGTCTTTATGGAGGCCACGTGTATGTGCGCCCTGTAGAACGTGGGGTAGTAGTGGAAGTACATTTTCACCTGGTCTGCCCGGTAGCTGTAGAGCGCGAGCGTGGCCGCCACTGCCTCCTGTATCCGCAGCAGCAGGGGAATGTGGCTGCCTGTGAGCTCGCGAATCGTGTATATCGCAGGGTCCCGGAAAAGCACGAGCAGGTAGAGGCTGTCCATTGTCTTCCTGTCCCACTTCAGGTCCGGGCATATCAGAAACTCCCTGTCGAAGTAGAGGACTTCCTCTTTCTCGAGCGTGGTCATGGGGGCGCCGCTTTTCTCCGCCTGTCTGAAAATATTGTCAATCCACGCCACGTTCGGGCCCTTTGCAAGGGCGTGGGGGAGGACGCGGGTTCTGTAGAGCTCGTATGTCTCCTTCACAACCACGTGCTCGGCCTGCGTGTACTTTCTGATAAGCTCTTTCGTGGCCGGGTGTATGATGGAGTACTTCAAGGACTCGCACGTCTGCAGTGTTCCGCTCGTGTAAATGTCATTCTGGTGTATGAGCGTGCTCTCCTGCTGCATGTCCACGCTGTCTGGAATTGGGACCTTGTTAAGAACAAGAAGGGCCGGCTCGCCGCCTATGTCTCCCAGGAAGACTTTAGAAATGGGGCTGCACTTATTGCTCAGCGTCTCCCTCCGGATGAATCTGGCAAGCTTATTCGTCATGGGAAAAAAATATTCGGGAAACATAAAGGCCGGGCTGCGGCGCGGAGGAATTTACAAACAAGGCCTGGCCTCTGCCGGGGCAGGTGCCAGGCGGCTGCATTGCAGCTAACAAAAAAGCGAAGATCCGTCCGCTGTGTGCGGGCTCGGAGCCTGTAAAGAGCCGTGATATTATAACTAAGCGAAAGGCATTTATTCGTCCATCTCCGCTTCAGCTGCAATATTGGATTTAAGCTTTCCGAAGAACTGTTCCTTCTCGGCGGAAGTCTGGAACCTACCGCTTCCGATCTTAGACGACGTGTCTATGAACTTGATGTTGATGTTCTCGGCGTTTGCGCCCTTGAACTTTCTTCCAACAACCTTCCTGAGAACAAGCACTCTCTTTCTGGGTCCGACCACGGATCCCTTAACCATTACAAACTCGTTGTTTACGTTACCGTAACCGCAGAATCCTCCCATGGGGTTAATAGTCTTCTCTGTGAGGTCAAACTCTGTCTTGCAGACGCCTGTGTCCTTTCCGTCTCCGAGCAGGTATATTCTCTTGTTCTGCATGACTCTGTGGTGGAATCCTGTCTGACCTGCTCTTGGCACGGAGTACATGACTCTGCTGGGGTGCCATGCTCCAATACAGGCGACCTTACGGATACCCTTGTTTGTCTTTCTGGGCAGAATTGTGGTTCCCCATCTCTTGGTGCAACTTCTGAAACCCTTTCCTTTTGTGACTCCAATGATGTCGATCATTTCCTCACGGGAGAAGCAGTCCTGGACGGAGATTTCCTTTTCAAAGTGGTTGAGCGCAAAGTCGATCTTCTCCTGGGTGGATCCTCCGTTAAGCTGGGACTCCATGATGTGGGCCTTCTTTGTGTTCAGAATCTTGATCTTTGGGGCCTGACTGTGGATGAGCACTCTGATAACATCGCAGTTTTCTCTGATCATCTTAATCTCCTCCTCGATCTTTCCGTTCTTGTACTTCTGCGGGTAGCTGGAAAGCGCAGTCTTCTTAGACCTGTAGTACCTCTTGTAGTACCTTCTCTTGACCGACTCGTCAATGTGCTCTGCAAGCACTGTTTTGACGTTTTCCAGGCCCTGTGGGGTCTTCTTGTATCCAACCAGACCGAAAACTACGCACTTTGGCGTTTCCATGATCGTGACTGGGTCGATTATCTCTCTCTTGTTGAGCTTGCTTCCCTCTCTCTCGCCTACCCGGAGCACGTGCGACATTCCTGCCTTGTATGCAAAGTACGTTGTAAGGTGTACCTTTTCTGTTGCATCATCCTGTGGATAGGACGGGATTCGTGGCCTTATTCTCTCTGCTCGCTTTCTTGGGAGAAATGAAAGAGAACCGTGTCTTGGTGCTTCGTATTTTCTATGACTCATACTACAGGGATAGAAAAAAATTAAAAATATATCCAGCAGAAAAGAAAAAAACGGCGAAGCAAAACCGCTGAATGCACGCGAGGCGGACGCGCTGCAAAAGAAAAAGAGCAAAAACGCGCCCGCCTGCACATCTTCGCCCGGAAAAGAGAAAACAGAAAACCGTCTCTATGCAGCCATCCTTTGCGGCGCGGCCCTCTAAAATGCGAATTTTGTCTACTTATGTGTGATGTTTATTCTACTCATGCTTGTATATTATATTTTTTCCTCCCTTTTTCTCTACCGCACACATCCATATTCTAGTCTTGTACGACTTGTACAACTCCTTAACGAGGTCTCTAAAATCTATTCTCTTGTCGCTCTTGAAGTAGAATGTAAGTTTATTCCGGTCCCACTGGTACTCTGCGCTGACTATTTCCATGGGGAGCTTTCTTTCTTTGACCTTTTCGCAGCAGTTACTCACAGCGACCTGCTCCAGCATGTTCTGCTCGAGCAGCAGCAGCTTGTCCTCGTCCGTGGCCACCCTGTGTATTTTCCGGGTCTCAACCGTTGTGATGTTGTACTTGATGGACAGCTCGCTCATTTGGAAGGAGTCAATTGCGTCGAGTATCACGGACCCGCAGTCTTCCCCGCGATCAGCCTCTATGATGACAAAAGTTCCTTTCATGAGGGATATGTCCTTGTACATGCCAAAGCACCGGTTCCCGCTGCCAAACTGGACAATGCAAAAGCTGCCGGCTGCCAGGCGCATGTTCGGCCTTTCCAGGCTCACCGCTGTGCGGGCAATGCTGTTGAATATGCTTGGGTCGAGCGAGTGCCTTCTCAGGAGCGACAGGTTTCCCTTCTCCGTGACCACGCTCCTGTTTATGTGGGCAGGGGCGGCTTGGGCGCTAACAGGAGAAGAGCCCGAACATGCGCGCGCGCTTGCAGGGTCCTTGTACATGCTGATGTTGTTCAAAGACATGCTCCTTTTTCTGCCTTCTTTTTGCTCGTGGGCGCTCACAGGAAGGGTCGGTATTTTGTTTATGCTGTTTGACCGGGCTCGAAACGAGTTTCCAATGACTTTCCAGTCTTTGTTGTTCATGTACGACCAGATATTGTCGCTTATAAAGGGGGAGGGCGCAAAAGGATTCTCTCTGTCTTTCATAAGCTGTGTGTATATCTCATAAAAAATAAAAAATAAAAAGATAATTGGCACACTATGCGCATTTTAATATTTCCTGATATGAAACCTGGGCGCGCCTCCGGCTATTTACAGACAGGATTTTCAGCACACATTTGGGGGCACCAAAACACGGACTTCACGCCCAAAGCAGGCGGGTGCCCAGCTTTGCCAGCGCGCAGACCTTGTTTCAGCGCCTTTGGGGTTATCTACACGCGCCGGTGGAAACAGACTTTTCAGGCTAGCTCTGCAAAACGTTCAAAAACTCATCGTATGCAGCCTTCACAGCTTCGTTTGTTCGGACAATTTCGCGGATGCTCTCTGTGTACAGCATGTGCGGCCTGTTTTTGTTGAAGGCAAGCTTTGCGTTGGGCATGTTGCACAGTTTTGTGTATATTTTGATGATCAGCTCCAAAAGCTCTGGGGACTGTATGGACTCCAGCTGCACAAGAACCGAGTTCAGGATCATGGAAATCGCCATGAACCGGTCGTATGTCTGGCACGAGTACTCCAGGCCTTCCCGAATCGATATGATCAGGTAGAACACCTCGCTTGCCTCGATTTTTGTCTTTTTGCTGCCCAGCTCCATGTTTCGCAGGCACAGCGGAACAAGCTCTGTGTTTTTGAAAAACTCAATCAGGTTTTCTATTTTGTGCTTGTTGAGAATGCACTTTATGATGCACAGCGTGGTGTACTTCAGCTCCTCTATTTCCGCATTCCGAATCGACGAGTTGATGATCGGGTAGAGAAACAGCAGCAGATTCGAGTTTATTGCATACTCTATGAAGCTGTCAATGTCTGTCAAAAGAATTACTATTTCCAGAATTGTGTAGATGCTTGTCGGGATTGAGCTTCTCTCCATTATTAAGTAGTCGTAGATCTCTGATATCTCCTTAAGAAAGACCGACAGCACGCCAAACTCCTTGACCAGCCTGGACTTGTACGCTGCGCTCTCCTCTAGCTTGGCCTTAAGGCGCTTCAAAGACTCGTCTTTCGACTCGTTGCGCACAATGCATGCGCACAGATGCTCGTATGTGCTGGGGCTATTGGACATGCGCATAAAAATAAGACAAAATAAAATGCGCAAATAAAAAGCCCCGTCGCAAAACACAAAGCGCGTCCGGCCAGAAAAAAGCCCCACGCCCGGAGAGCTGGGCTCTGCCCCGAAAAACAGCAGAAATTCTGCATGCGCCGTGCCAGAAAGCGCATGCAGAAAAAGCACGAGGCAAGGGCCTGCAAGTAGAGATGTATATGCGGGGATGGTGTGCTGTGCGCCCCTAAGAAGGCGTGAGGATAGTGAAAACACTCTTTTCAGCCTTAGCACGGTGCGCCGAGGCAGTCTGCGTGCTCAAAGCCAAAAATTGAGAAAGCGCGTTTGAGGGGCAGGCCAGAAGGCGCGCACGCCACGCAGAAATTGGGCTGAATACGTTACAAAGGCACGATCAGCTGGCATTTTTCTATTTTAATTCTTGCGTTTTAAAATATTTTACTGCATGGAAGACACACATAGCGGAAAAACATTCAGAATAGCAATAGATGGGCCGGCGGGTGCAGGAAAAACAACTCTTGCGTCGCTGCTGGCAAAAACACTGGGGTTTGAGCACGTAAACACCGGGATGATCTATAGAGCGCTGTCTTATACACTATTGAGCCGATTTAAAGATGCCTCCATAGAGGAGCTGGAGGCTGCCATAAAGTCGGAGGACGCTTCCGTCCAGAGAAAAATTGATGAGTTTTCTCCCATGATAACGAATGATCAGGTTGTGATAGATGGGGAAAACATAATAGGCAGCTTGCGGACTCCGCGGATAGATTCTGTTGTTGGAATCATATCAAAGTACAGGATTGTCCGGGAGAGAGTGAAAACCATACAAAAGAGCCTTATAGAAATGCACTCGAAGGTTGTGGTTGAGGGCAGAGACATTGGGTCCGCCATCATACCCGACGCCGAGCTGAAAATATACCTAGAGGCATCCGTAGAGGCCAGGGCCATTCGGCGAAACAGGGAGATCCAGAGAAAAGAGGACATCCTGCCGCGCGCGGGCCAGTTAGAGGAAATCAGAAGGGAAATAAAACAGAGAGACTACCTAGACACAACCAGGGAGATATCGCCTCTGGTAAAACCGGAGGGCGCCATGGTAATAGACAACACTGCGCTAACCGTAGAGGAAACAGTAAAGAAGATCCAGAGGGAGGTTGAAGCCAGAAGAGGAATGGAATAAAGTGCAGCATACCACAGTTGGGCGGCGGATATTCTGGATTTTTAGACGCAGAGGCGGCCGGGCTTCGGGCGATTCAGCAGAGCTTGCCTGCCCGGGCGCATGGCCGCTTGTAGAGCGCACACAAACAGAAAAGCGATGGGCTCTATCATTTCTATGCTCTGTGGGGTTTATTTATTAGTTGTGCAGTTACATATTTAAAGCCTCTGTGCTGTTTAGTAGTACGTGTTTAGGTAGTCTATCTCCTTCTTGTTCAGCGCCAAAACGTCTTCCGGGGGCGGGCCCGACTTGAAGAGCTTCCGGAGGCTGCCTATGCTCTTCCTGCACAGATACAGATTCGTGAACGAGGGAATCTTTTTATAGAATAGGTCGTTCTTGCTGATTAGCTTTGTGAAAAGAATGTCCCTTAGTATGGACTCGCTGATGTTCAGAACGCCAATGTCCAGCCGCTTGTTCATTTCTCGGCAGATGTTGAAGATAGAAAGTATCGTGGTCAGGTGCTGGGAGAGATAGGTGTCCCTCTGCAGGGTGAGCTCTGTTAGTCTGCGCATCATTTGCAGGTCCACCTTTATCTTCTTTATCTTTTCTATCGACGTGTCTGCCTTGCGGGCCTTTCTGAGCGATTTCACCTCTCTTTTGCGGAAGCACACAAAGGGCAGCACGTCCGCCGGAACGTCGTTCTCCTGCGTGATTATCTCGAGCTTTTTTACATCGGTTGGGGGAGAAACGTCGCCAATGTCCTCTAAATACTCCGCGGTCTCTTCCGGCGCGTCTTCTTCGCTCGAGAGCTTTCTTTTCTTGACGTCGTGCCCAGCAGCTCTCTCTATCCTTGGGGTTGGGATGCTTTTTGCTCTTCTAGAGAGTATCTCCTTTAGGTGGTGCTCTTCCTCCTCTTCCTTTTCAACGCCGGTGGTAAGCGCAGGGCCCGTGTACTCCTGCATGCGAGTAATGTCCAGGTCGCTTTCACAGAAGACATTTAGCTTTTTGTCATTTTCTATTTTCTTGCTTCTTACTCGCTTCATGCAAATAAAAAGTTTACTGCGATTTTTCTATTTAAACACAATCCGTCCAGCAAGCCAGCGCCAATTACGCTTTGCTTTGCGCCCTCAAGTATCGTCAAATGGCTATTTATTTAGTTTCTTAAACATGTCAAAAAGACGGATGGAGCTTTTCCGCACGCCTCCAAAAGTAGTGCTGGACCGTATGCTGCTTCCCTGCACGCTGCTTGCCCGTTTGCAGAGCTTGTTGTCGTCCTCTATGTTGTAATGCGTGCCCGAAATATCTACATATTTTCCACATTCTTCCAGCCCAGTCACTTCGTTTATCACAGAGAACACGCCGGCGACAATCTTTATCTCGGACTTGTTGATGGTTGGTATAGACTTCTTCAGCAGGGAAATGTACAGCCCTCCTTGCGTGATCGCGTGTGTGCGGATTTTTGCAAAGAGGCTGATTCGCTTGTGCTCCTCGAACTGCGACCTCTTCCCAAGGATGCCCTTCTCAATGACCAGCTCAAGGGTGCTGTTTATGTACTCTCGGAACTGCAGGTTGGGCGACGCCGCTATTTCCAGGAGGATCTCAAGGAGGCCCAGCGACATGCACTTGTCAAGCTGCGAAATAGTGGACTCCAGCTCCTTTGAGATCAGCAGCTTCAAGTCCCCGGGAACGGTTGACGTCCCCAGGCCAAGCTCTTTCTGGAAGGCTCTTCGAAGCAGGGAGTGGAACAGGTTCTCCTTGTCCTGGCACTTTGTGACAAACAGCTTGAAGTACTTCACGGTGAGCCCGCGCTCCTGGAGGTCCGAGTCGTTCAGAACCACCTTCCTGAAGAGCGTCTTCTTTGGGAAGAGCGACCTAAGCAGAAAGTAGAAGCTCTTCGATATCTGCGCGGTCGGCGTTGACGTCTCAGTGGTGTGGATGAAGAGCACAGTCTGGAGCAGAAGGAACACGTACGTGCGCCGGTTTTTGTCAATAGTGCTGGGAGAGTCAAACATTTTCGTTCTGAGAAACGCCAGCATCGCATTCGCCTGCCTGATCAGCTCCGGGTAGCAGTCCTGGCTTATGTGGTGATATATAATATTCTGCATGTTTTCAATCTCTCGCTCGCTGGACACTTCCAGAGCCTGGTATATTGCCGTCGTCAGGTTTGAGCCGGGCGCCAGCAGGCGAAAGTATCCTTTAAAAATCTCTTCCCGGAACTCTCTGTTGAAGGGCGCTGCCTTAATCAGAGCCTTGTTCAAGTTGCATATCTTCTTTTCAGAGTGCCGCACCAGCAGCCCCGCAGTTTTTATGATCATAGACAGCAAAGAAAGGAAGAAAAGGTCGTTTTCGCTGACCCGGTCGCTTCCGTTCGACTTGACAACAAAGCCGTGCGCAGGTATAAACTCTTTTTTCCCGGAGGCCAGGTCTGTGGAGGAGGCGTTGCTGCTCAGGGAGATTCCCTGCAGGCGGCTGGCCAGCTCCTCTGTGACCCGGTTTGCAGGAGGCACCGGAATTCCGCTGCAGGGCTTCTCGCTCTCGTCCGCGGCCTCTTTTTTCCCGTAGTTTCGGCACGGCTCGGTTTTCTCGGGCGCAGAGAATATTGAAGACGACGAAGACGACTTGTCCTCCGTGTAGTTGTACGACATCTCGGCAAAGTTGTACGAGGCGGTTGCATCCGTGCTGTACGACTCGTCATCTGGCTCCTTCGAAGGCGTCATTCGCTCGTCCTCAAGCTCTCTTTTCCGGATGTTTATGCTAGAAAGCGTGCTCCAGTTTCCAGAGTAGACGTGCGAAATTCTTTCATAAAGCTCCGGATAGTCTGCCACAATGCTTTTGGCAGAGGTAAACCCGTTGTCAACGGCGCTGCAGATTGCAAGGAGGATCTGCGTGCTAAGGCTCTCTGCATGCGAGCACCGCGTCCCTGCATACGTGAAGAAAATAAAGCACTTCATTATCTCAGCACAACATAGGTCTATGAAGTCCTCGGGGTACACGGACATGCTTTTCTTCATGACGCGGATGATAACCTTCAAGTGTGTCTTGATAAGCTTCAGCGCAGCAATCTCAAAGGATGTGCAGAAAATCGAGTAGTCCTGCATTAAGTGCGTCGATATGGTGATCGTGGTCAAGTGCTTCATGTGCTGCCCAGACTGCGCGTATTTTTTTGTGTACTCCTTCAATACATTCATGCTCTCGGATATTTTCATGGGCTTTTGCTGCAGATAGTGCTTGAAGAAGGAAAGTTTCTGCTCGTCCACTGTTCCATCTCGTTTGTATATTTCTCTGAGAAGCTTCTCGTGCTGCGGCCTTAAGTTCATAATCATACAAACTTTAAATAAATTTCTCTCGGCCTTTTCTTTATAGCTCTTTTAATATGCGGAAATGAGCAGTTTCGTGCAGACGTCAGTGAGCGAGGGTTTTTCGCTTTTGGGTCAGAGGGGCGCAGGGCCCAGGAGAGCGAGAGAGCCTGCGGGGAGTGCGCCTGCGGCAGGAAAAAGCGTGTTTTCTGAAACCCCCCGAAAATCAGAAGCATCCGGAAAGTGCGGGCCAGCAGAAACTCGAGGGCGCGCGGTCACTGCGGGCATGCTCGGGCTTCTGCTGGGCTGCGGCGCGAAAGCCACCGAAAGCATCTGCAGAAGGGCCAGCACAGCACAGACTCTGCAGCTAATTTTCTGCAAATTAACCGGCCATCAAAAACATGCTTTTTCATTTAGCTTGGACAGACAAGAGCAGCGCGCACTCAGGAGATTAAGGCATTTGAGCACTTGGAAAATCGGAGAAACTCAGGCCGGCCATCAAAAACGCGCCTTCTGCGGGTGTCTGGGCAAGTGAAAGAGAAAAGTTGGCTGGACTTTCCCAGCATCTGCGACTTGAAGATCATTCTGAGAGCATGCATAGAAAGACGTGCTGATTTATTTTTGGAGCATGCATGTGGACGCAGCTCAAAGGCAGGCGGACGGCGGCAAACCAGCGTGCCAGCTGAAATGCGGCAGGGCTTGGGTTTAAAAATAACCAATTCCAAGGGCGTATTTCCGGCAGAGGCTAGACAGCAGTGTTTCGGGTGAACGTTTCGTACACGCTCTGAACCTCCTCAAGAACTGTCCGGAAGTCGACTGTGTTGTCCATGGGCTTAAGCGGAGTGACCAGCGGGTCAAGGGTGTCCAGGCCCTCGGCTGCCTCCTCGATCCACAGGAACTGCTGCATAATAGAGTACTTCCAAGCATACAGCTGGTTTATGGCCGGCGCTGCTATTTCTCTGAGCATCTCTGTGGGGTCGGCAGAGCTGTGGGCCTGCGCAGCGCTTTCCTCAGAGCCGTTGTACTCCGCCGTGATGTACGCTATTGAGTAGCCGGAGGGGCAGACCTCCTCTGCCTCCCCCACAACAAGCAGGAATATGTCCGAGTGCAGAGTCTTAGACAGCAGCATGGCCTGCTTGCTCTTTGCGTCTGGGAGCGACCGGAGGATGAAAACCCCCCTGGCAGTGCGAAGCACTCTTCTGCGCGAGTTTGGGATTGTAGCGTAGTACTGGTCATTTGCAATGATGAAGTTTGTGTGCACATAGTCGTCCACGCCATCAGCGCGCAGGCTCAGGAGGTATCCGGCTTCGCGCCTTTCCATTCCGGTGATTTCTGTGGACATTCGGGTGATGCCCCCCTTCACAGCCGATAGACGGGCAAACCCCTGCGATATCTCGCTTATCCCGTACTTCGGGTACAGAAAGGGGGAGTTCCCAGACTGCTTTTCCCCGTTGATTCGAGAGACGCTCCGGAAGTACGTTGTGAGCCGCATGATAAAGCCGGCCGGCTCCTCCTGCAGATACTTGCTCGAGGTGTACAGCGCAATCCCGTGCCCAATGATTGTGCGCAGAGACTCGGATATTCCGTAGTAGTCGTACAGGTCTTGGACACTTCTCCACTGGGAGGAGATCGCTTTTTTCTCTATGTCTGTTGCGTTGTAGAAGCCCTTGATCATGTTCACAAACTTGTGCAGTTTAAGGAGCTGCAGCGGGCCGCAGAGGTTGCTTGTCAGAGCCGACGTCTTTGTGGTTGGTATCAGAATGCTGCTGCTGTCTTCTTTCACGATGTACTGCTCGGATATAATGGAAAACTCGATGCAGTGCGCCAGATTGTGCTCTGCTATTATTTTTATAAGGCCTTCGTCTGCCAGAAATATTTTGGGCGTGAGGTCTATGTACAGCTTAGACGCCTCTTTTTCTCCAAAAACACTTTTGAACTGTTTCTGGTGCGGGAACTTTGCCTGCATTTCCCGAATAAAGTCCTCGTACTGGATGGTCCGAGAGGATGAGCCGTAGACAGAGGAGGCGTCCATTTGCAGTATTTTAGCGCCTGCCGCTGAAAGAAGCCCGGCCAGAATAGACTCTTTTACGCCTGTCCCCAAAATGACTGCGTCGTATATTTCCTGTGGAGTTTCCTCGGGCATTGTTTGTATTTATAATTTCTCCTTTTTTCTGACATTTTAATATGGAGGTTGATCAGACAAGAGAATCACGTAGATCTTTCATACCGGATCTTTTGATACGTTTTAAGCGATGTGTGCGCACCAGGAAGCTTCTTAAGTACACGCTGCTTATGTTGGGCTTTGTTTTGGCGATTGGGATCATAGCAACGTTCTATATAATGGGAGCAGCGCCCAGCAAAGAACACCAGGACGGCGATTCTGCGCCTATAGAGCAGAATGATGAGGAGAAAAGCACGTGCATGTGCGAAGAGACAGGCTCCGCAGATTTCCAGCCTGCTTTTGGGAGGGCGCGATTGGTTGCGTCCGCAGAAACAGATACTAGCATGATTCTAACGGAAATAGGGGAGTCTACCCCGCGGGAGAGCTTCAATGCAATATACAAGGAGAAGATTTTCAGCAAAAAAGACTGCAGCGACAACCTGTGCGGAAAGTGCAGGCAGTGCGGATTCTTCAACGACGCAGAGCTGTTTTCAAAGCTTGCTGCCAGCGCAAAGACATACGGGGCCCCAGCCCTGCTGTGCGACACAACCAGTAGCTTGACAAAGATGCTAGACGACGTTAGCGCGCTGTACTCAAACTACAGCAAAAGGTTTGTGCAGGTTCTAGCAGAAGAGATCGCGAACAACCGGGTCCTTCAGGTGACTTTGCAGGTGTATGCGACAAAAAACCAGGGAATGGAAAAAGCGCCGTTTATGTGCAGCATAGTTGTGGAAGGGCTTCAGAGCTGCTTTGCGCACAGATTTAGGCTGCAAAACCTCACGAAGGCCAGCGAAGCCAGCCTTATGGAGATGTTTGAGCTTGCGTTTAAGTACAAGGGGTACAGCTTGCGGGCGTCGCTTAAGTCCGTGTGCAGAGCGATATGCGTGCTCAAGCCTGGAGAGCGCACGGAGGTGGTTCTTGAGGCTGTTTTGCTAGATGCGCGCAAGAAAGCTGCGGACAGCAAGGGCGAGCTGGCCAGGGCTCTGGAGTCCCCCAGCGCGCAGGTGGAGTATGCGATTCGGTACACGAGCAGCGGGAAAGAGACAGTGCAGGAGACAGTTAAAAGGTACAAATGCGCACACTTGTTCTCTCTCCTTGGAAGCAATGGGCCCGAAACAGACAAAATAATGATTGCGTTCTCGCCAGACCCCATTCGGAAAGTCGAGGGTTTTTTTGACTGGGCTATAGACGGGTTTAGAAACTTAATTAGAATGCCCGAAAAAGAAAAACCCAAGCCAGACCAGGGCAAATACTATGGAACAGAGGAGGCCTATGCCATCAGCATGCTTTCTTCCTTTGCCGCGTGGAGGTACGGGCAAGAGCCTGTTCACATAAAAGTGCTGGCTGTGCCGGGAGAGATTAGGTCTGTCGCTGTGTGTGGAAGCGTGCTGCCCATCTTGTGCGAGACGCAGGACGCAGTTGAGCTGGCCGAGCTGTTTGACCAGGTAAGCATACTTGCAGGAAACGCATGCAGCGAGTTTGTAAAAATAGCAAGAGATGCTCTCGAAATGCTGAGCTACGCAAAGGAAGGAAGCCAGGCGGAGATAGAAATTCTGCAGAGCGGCCAGAACATTGCAGCGTCAGTGCACATGGAGGGGCCAGAGAAAATTTCCGCATGGAAAAAATGCTACAAATTTGTGCTTCCATTGGGCCTTTGCAGCGCGCTGAAGGGGGACACAAAGGAGCCTTGGCTGTGCACGTTCATGCAGGCGCTTGCCTTTGTGACCTGTGCAGAGAAGCCGGAGGACAGCAAAGGGTGCGACGAAGTTGTGCAGGTGAGGCAGTTTTTGGGGAGCGAGAAAGAGTGCGTTGCATCCAACAAGGCGCCTGCAGAGAAGGACCAGGACGTTCTGGACTTCGTGTACAGCTACCTGGGAGACAAAGAGAGCAGCGAGATGAAGTATGTGGCTCTTCTTGTGGGAAAAACGCTTTTCCTAAAGTTCACGACGGAAAGCACAGAGGACGCCAAGCAGGTGCTGCACAGCACGCTCTACGAGTACACGAGCGCTGGGCTGACTGGTGCGATCCGAAAAGCGCTGGGCTCTAACGTGTCGTTTGGGATATTGAAGCAGAGAGACTTTGTGGCATGGGCCGGGGTGAAAGTGGCATACGACGAGTACAAGCCAAGCATGACACGCGTGTCGCTGAACGTGGTGGACTATGCGTACTACAGGTTGTACTTCCTGGCCAGGCCAATACTGAACAGCATAAAAAGGGGGAACTTGGCAGAGCTCAGTCTGGCAGATGAAATCCCGAATTCTGAGGAAAACTTCTGCCAATGGCTCTCAGGCTTGGGCCGGTTTTCCAAGTTTTTGTTCTCGCACCCGCTTGTGCCCATCATACTGGAGGCGCCTGTAGGACACTCGCTGGCGCTGTCCATTGAGATGCTGGACAAAAAGGCAAAGAAAAAACAAGAGGAAACCACGTGCAAGATACGCATACGGTGCGGCGCCTTTGAGGAGACGGTCGAGCTGCACTACAGCGAGCTGAATCTTTGCACTTCAAGCGACGCAGACAAGGATAAGCCAGTTAACCTGCTTTTTGCGAGAATACTAAACCTTCCCACTGTTAAAGAGGACCCCAGCGCATACCTCAGCGTGAAGATCGAGTCTCTGCTGCACTATCCAAGCGTGTACATCACTATTGAAGAGCACGGAGACGCAAACGACCGTTTACACATGGAAAAAGAGAAGATAACGGTAAACATCGACACAATGAAAAAGAATGCAAAAATTCTTGCAACGGATTCTGCAGATGCATTCAAAATGAACACGCCCCGCATTATCAATGGAAACATAGGCGTGATCGTGGAGATTCTATAGGCGAAGCAGCCGATAAACGCCGCGCCTTTCAGGCCTGCGCGCATGCTCAAATGCTTAGCAAATATTATGGCAGCCTGCCGCCCGCCTCAGAAGAGGAGCTCGGGTTATTCGGGCTTTGTGAGTCTATTCTCGCAAAAGGCATTTGAAAAATAAACAGCATATTTTAGCTTGCTTTCGTGCACAGCTGCAGAGTGTCTTCCAGCCCAGGCCGGACAGCATAAACCACCGGGTAACAGCGTAGGCGTCTTTATTTAAACGGCAGGCCCCAGGACTCTACCCAGCACAAAAAGTGGCCATGTTCTAGAAAAACTTGTCAAACTGGTCAAACATGGAAGAAAACCCGGGAGGCATCATCTTCTTAAGCTGCTTTATCTGCGCCTTGGCTGCGTCTGGGGTTATCGCTTGGTCCTGCCCTTTGCCAGGGCCGCCCCCAAAGAGCCCAGCAAACATGGGGTTGGAGGAGAGCTGCTGGAAGGTTCTGGCCATCATCCTGTACGACTCAACGGTCTCTCTCACCTGCAGGGGCGTGACACCGCTCCCCTTCGCGACTCTGACCAGCCTGGGCAGAGACTTAATAAAAACTTCTCCGTTTGTTTTAAGCTCCTTCCGGGTCATTGCTGAGAAGATGGTTCCCATGGTTTTGAAGCCCTTTTCGTTGAACATAGTGCTGTTTATCCCCGGGATGAGAGAGAGAAGCTGGCCAATCGGCCCAAGCTCCAGTATCTTCTTGTACTGCTCGTAGAGGTCGCCCATGCTAAACTCCCCTGCCTTGATTTTTCCAATCAGCTCCTCCTGCTTCTCCGCAGAAATGCCTAGGTTCTCAATTTTCTCCACGAAGCTGTTGATGTCCCCCAGGCCCATAAGCTTCCCAACAAACCCCTTGGGGTTGAAGGACTCAATGTGGTTCATTCCCTCCCCGACTCCTATGAAGGCAACAGGCGTTTTTGTTTCAGCAACGCTGCACAGAGCGCCGCCTATGTTTTTTGTTCCGTCTGTTTTTGTAATGATCACAGACCCCAGCCTGACCCGGGACATAAAGCTGCGCGCGTGTATTTCCGCTGCCTGCCCGATCGACGCGTCCACGACAAAAATCGACGCAGTTGGGCTGATTGCGTCCACAATCTCGCCCATTTCTCTAAAAAGCTCGCCCTCTTGCGTGTGCCGCCCGCTTGTGTCTACAAGCACCAGATTGCACCCCTTTCCCTTGAGCTGCTCGGCTCCCGTCCTTGCAACCTCTGCAGGGTCCACGGACGTTGACGAAATAAACACCTCCACGTTCATCCCGGAGACGTTCTGCAAAATCTGCTCGTATGCCCCTGCACGGAACGTGTCCGCACACACAATGCCGACCTTGAACCCCCTCTGTTTGTAGTACTTTGCATACTTACAGCAGGTCGTGGTTTTTCCACTTCCCTGCAGCCCCACAAACAGCACAGTCGAAATTTCCTTCTTTTTTGGCCGGAAGGGCTCTTTTCCCGAGTCCATAATTGCGCAAAGCTCTTCAAACACAATTTTCTGCAGAGCCTTCTCTTTTTGCGACTTTGTTTGTATCTCCTGCGGCTTAAACCGCTCAAGAATCCGCTTCCGCACGTTCAGCACGATCCGCGTGCTTACGTTTGAGCTAAGAAGAGACGTGGTTATTTTCTTTATGGCATCGTTAAGCTCTTTTTCTCCCTCCTTGGACCCAAAAAATCCTTGGAGTGCATTGCTTATTCCTGCGCCTAAGTCTGAAAGCATGCTTTTCACAAAAATTATTTATTTTTATGGCTGCCAGTAGTTTCGGGTATAGGCTGAGCTCATTGGACATGCCCAAAACAGAAACATGCCTCTTTCCTCACAAATGCTCCACGCCCCCAGGCGGCTCTCTCTGCGCGCTTGCAGGCTGTGTCCTTAAAGCACGCGCGTTTTCATCTTGGAAGAGGTCGGAGGCGATGGGGTAGAGGCGCTAGCACGGCACGGCATGCGCGCTGCAGGCAGGCGGGGGGTGTGCGGCGCTGAAAAGCAGCTGCTTGCCAGTTGCTGGCATAAATATCTGCAATTTATTTTTTAATTATTGTTCATGGACTTCAGCAAGGGAGAAGAGAGTATACAGAAATACTGGGAGGCAATTAAGGCTTTTGAAATGAGCAACAAGCTCAGCAAGGGCAAGAAGGAGTTTTCATTTTATGACGGCCCACCTTTTGCAACGGGCCTTCCGCACTACGGGCACATTCTATCGGGGACGATAAAAGACACGATAACGCGTTTCTACTATCAGCAGGACTACCACGTAGAGCGAAGGTTTGGGTGGGACTGCCACGGGCTGCCGATTGAGTACGAAATAGACAAGCTGTACAACATCAAGACCAAGCAAGACATAGAGAAGATCGGCGTGAAGCAGTACAACGAGTACTGCCGAGAAATTGTCATGAAGTATTCGGCGCAGTGGGAGAACATAGTTGGCCGCATGGGGAGGTGGATAGACTTCAAGAACGACTACAAGACCATGGACTTCAGCTTCATGGAGAGCGTCTGGTGGGTGTTCAAGGAGCTGTACAAAAAGGGCCTTGTGTACAGGGGGTACAGAGTCATGCCGTACTCCACGGCGTGCAGAACCCCGATGAGCAACTTCGAGGCAAACCAGAACTACAAAGTAACCACAGACCTGACAGCAACGGTGCGGCTGCCCTTGCTCAAGCCAATAACTTTGAACGGGAGGGAGTACGCGAAGGTCTCGTTTTTGGCGTGGACAACAACGCCGTGGACGCTGCCAGGAAACTCTGCTCTGATGGTGGGCCCTGGAATGGACTACGTTCTTATCCCGGACAAGGTGGAGGGCGCGCACGTTATTGTGGGGAAGTTCTACGCAAAGAAGGCAAAGCCTGCTGAGGCGTTCAAGGGCGCGGACATACTCGGCGTTGAGTATGCGCAGCCGTTTGCGCACTTTGAGGAGAGAAGAGGCAGCGGGTACTTCCGAACGTACGGAGCAGAGTTTGTGGTCGAGGGGGCTGGCACAGGAATAGTGCACTGTGCGCCCGGGTTTGGAGAGGAGGACTATAACGCGTTTGTGAGCAACGGCATCATCCGGGAAAACGACGAGGTGGTCTGCCCGGTCGACGAGAGCGGGTGCTTCACGCAGGAGGTGGCCGAGTATGCGGGCCGGTATGTCAAGGAGAAGGAGCTCGAGAAGGAGATCATCCGGCGCCTTAAGGACAGCGGGGCTCTGTACGAAACCACGTCGGTGGACCACAGCTATCCGTTCTGCTGGCGGTCAGACACGCCCCTCATATACAAGGCAGTGCCCAGCTGGTTTGTGCAGGTGAAGGACGCAGTGAAGGACCTCACGGAAATGAACAAAAAGATCAACTGGAGCCCGAAGGCAGTTGGGGACGGAAAGTTCGGGAAGTGGCTGGAAAATGCGCGCGACTGGTCCATATCCAGAAACCGGTACTGGGGAACGCCCATTCCCATCTGGATACGGGAGGGCGCAGGCGCCAATCTGACAGAGGACGACATCATTTGCGTTGGGTCGTCGGAGGAGCTTAACGAGCTCTCGGGCGTGAAGGTGACAGACCTGCACAAGGACATTGTGGACTGCGTGGTGATAGAGAGGAACGGAGTGAAGTACGTCAGAACCGAGGAGGTCCTGGACTGCTGGTTCGAGAGCGGAAGCATGCCGTACGCACAGAAGCACTTCCCGTTCGAAAACGAGAAGCGGTTCCAGATGACGTTCCCCGCAGACTTTATTGCAGAAGGCCTTGACCAGACGCGGGGGTGGTTCTACACGCTCCACGTGCTCTCGGTGCTGCTGTATAGCTCTCCGGCGTTCAAGAACGTGATGGTCACGGGGCTGGTGCTGGCCTCGGACGGGAAGAAGATGAGCAAGCGGCTGAAGAACTACCCAGACCCCGTGGAGATAATGAACACGCACGGGGCAGACGCAATGAGAATGTACCTGATCTCGTCCACGGCAGTGAAGGCAGAAAACCTCAAGTTCACAGAGGCCGGCGTGACAGGCATTCTGAGAGAGCTGCTGATTCCGTGGCAGAACTGCCTTAGGTTCTTGAAAACAACGTCGAGCGCGCAGGCCGAGGACACGACCGGCTGCGACGTTGAGGACATCGCGCTAAGCGTGTCTGACATGAGCATAAAAATGAGCGAAGACGAAAGCCTGCTGGACCTTTGGATTCTGCAGGAGTTTGAGGAGTTCTCGCTCTCTGTGCAGAGGGAGGGCCTGGCCTACAGGCTGCACAGCGTGCTTCCTATGGCCGTGGACTTTTTGGGAGACCTTAGCAGGTGGTACATCCGGCTCAGCCGAGACAGGCTTAGAAACACAGAAATGAAGGTGCTGAAACACATTCTGAAAGGCTTCTCTGTGATTATGGCGCCGTTTGCGCCGTTCTTCAGCGAGGTGTGCTACCAGGAGCTGTGCGGAGACGGCGAGGGCTTCTTTGCGTGCGACGTGCCGGAAATGGTGAGCCGGCGGGGAAGCGAGGCCGGGCTGTCTGTGCACTTCCAGATGTACAAGGCCCAGATAGAGAGAACAAAGGAGAAAATACTGAAAATATCCAAGCAGACAAAGGCAGCTTCTCTGGACAAAATTTTGACAGACTTCAGAAAAGTAAAGAGCGTGATAGAAACCGTGCGCGTGATTAGGGAAAAGTGCGAAATAGCGCTGAAGATGCCGTTGATGGAGATTTCAGTCGTGGGGATGGAGGACTCTCCGGTGCTTACAAACATCCTGAAGAAAGAGTCTAACTCCATGCGCGTGGTGTATAGACAGGAGAGCGACTACGCGTGGAAGAAGGAGGTTGTTCCAGACTTCAAGAAAATCAGCGCGCTGTACGGCGGGGCGGAGGTCCAGAAAAGGTCATCTGCCATCCGAAAGTGTGCTGGGGACCAGGAGTCGATAGAAGGCTTGATGCGCTCGGGGAGTGCGCTGCTGGATGGGCTTAGCATCACCCGCGAGGAGGTGATTTACAGAAGAGAGGCTGTTCAGCTGCCGCCAACCCAGAGAGGCGCAGCCGCGTCAGACACTATCTACGTGGTGGTGCAGACGGAGCGGACCCCGGAGATAGAAGACCTGTGGATCCGGAGAGAAGTCAAAAGCTGCGTGCAGAAGCTCAGAAAAAAGGCAGCTCTCTGCATATCAGACAGAGCACTTCTTCACGTGGCAGGGATAGAAGCATCTCACGTGATCTGCGACGCAAACACACGCATAACAGGAGAACTGCCTGCTGACGCTGTGACGGAGGTGCTGAAGCTGGCCAAGCAGACGATTACGCTGTCGCTATCAAAGGAAAAGTAGCGGGAGCGCGCTAAACAAAGCAGCATGCTGGAAGCACACAGGGTGTTGAAGGCTCTGCCGGCAGCAGCGCAGGCGGAAATAAATGCACACTTTTAAAATTAGATTGCGCTTGGAGGGGCTGCCTGCACACGCGGGCTGATGCTGCTAGATATTTGCCGCGGGGCACCGCTTTGGCGCAGCTGGAAAAGCACTATTGTGCAGAATAAGGCGCGCCTTCGGTCTGAATTTGCCAAGGTGGCTGACGGGCGTGGGCAAGAGAATTCGGGTTTGGGCTGGAAGTGTTCGGACGGAAAAGTAAATTTACAGAAATTTACAGAAATTTTAAAGGGGCATGCTAGATGAAACAGAAAAAAACGACAGAATGAGCGCCCTGATTGGGCAGGTCATTCAGCTCGAGGACGAAGTTCAGCGAGTGCGCGAGGAGAACCGGGTGCTGAAAGAGAACATTGTAAACTCAAATCGCAATCTGTCGCAGGAAATAGTATGTGCTGTTGTAGCGCGCATAGATGCGCTCAGGCAGGAGCTGCACGCCAGCAAAAAGCCCGAGCTGGATGGGCGCGTGCAGGAGGCTGTGCACGTTCTCCACGCAGTCACTGAAGGGCTGAAGAGCATTGCAGTCCAGCTCGAGCAGGAAATAAGGGGGCTCCTTGAATCGAGCTACTCGCAGTACAAGGAAATCCAGGAGATGTCCCAGAAGCTGGAGCTGTACGCAGAGATAACCCGGAAGCTTCTGGTGATAAAGGATGAGTACATGAAGACCCGGCGCATGGGCTAGCACACATAGCGAAAACACACATGCAGGCACTGCGCAGGTGCTGTACAGTTTGGAAAGACTTGGCGCATTGTCTGAGGCGCCCTCGGACGGGCGGCGCGCCAGCAGAGAAGGAGCCAAAAAAGCAGCTGCCCGTCCGAGGGCACACGCTGAGGAGAGCGCACAATAAATACGCGCAGAAATAGCACAGTTCAGAAGCAGAAGGTTTTATTTTCTCTAGAGTTTTTGCAGGAACCCCACAAGGGAAGTCTGGGCTTGTGCGCGCAGGGCCTGCCCGGCTAAGGGCTGCGGGCTCAGAAAGCCTGTTTCTGGGGACCGCGCGCTGGCTGTGGGCAAGGGGGCGCTTGCAAGAAAAGTGGAAAGTGGAAAAAGCTGAAATGCGCCCAGAGCCGGCAGTGTGCAGCGCCTTTGGAGTCTGCTAAGCAGCTGCGGAGGGCCCCAACGGCGCGCTTTTACAGAAGGGCACTTTGTGCAGAAACTGATCTGAAAATATTTATATGAAGCGCACAAATTTATTTTTAGTTTTCGTAGAAATGGACAGCCTTAAGGGGATGTATTATATAGATTACATCTTGTATATGTATATAAGCCACGCTATATATAAAAGCGAAAGAAACGCGCGCATCTCGATGCCAGACTCGAATTTGCAATACTTCTTGTCTATGATAAACAATATAAAAGGCCGGTTGGATGCAAAAGGGCATCCTCTAGAGGAGGAGATTCTGGTAAAGTACATTATTTTTCTGGCGCATTACAACATAGTGACGAACTTCTTCACGCGAGACATAAACAGAAAGTTCTATAAGGTGTTTGATTATCTCAAGAAAAGCGATGCAGAGTTTATGACCAAGCTAAAGAGGGTGGTTATATGGGGATACAACGGGCTTCTCGTGGAGAAAGGCGCAGAAGAGTGGGAGGAGTACTCTTTGCTCTGCCAGGAAGAGTGCGATGCGAGGATAGACGAAATTATGAAAAACGCAAAAATTGATGATTCTCTGATAGAGGGGAAAGAAAGAGAGAACTTTTTTACCGCCTTCAACAGAAAAATGATGGACGAGATAGCCGAGCTGCTGAAAAAAATGAACATTCCTCTGCTGTCGGAGATGAACCAGACCGGCCGGGTGAGAGACGTAATGAAGGAGATCTTGAGCCACGCCGGCTCGTCGACGGACACGGACATGGTGCTGTGGCACGGCGGATTTGACAACAGCGGAAGCGTCTGCATAGAGTCAGAAGACGAGAACGTGTCAGATACCGACGCCAAGCAGGAAAGGGTGAAGCCGAGGAAGCCGCTGCTCAGACGCGACGCGATTTCGTTCACGCAGAGATACCGGCACATAGACATTGAATCGATGTTTAGCAAGAGCCTGCAGGGGGTCGAGGTGGAGTGGGACGAAAGCATACCCGAAGAAAAAGAAAAAAGCTACAAGAGGCAGCACAGACCAGACCCAGCAGAAACGTCTGCAAATATTATAAAGAGAGTCCGCAAGTCAAAGAGGGTGTGGACTTCGAAAGAAACAGAAATACTCATAGACGCGATTAAAAAGCACGGTCCTGACTGGTCGGTGGTCTACAACTCGTGCGGGTTCAAAAACACAACGCGAGAGCAGATTATAGACAAATACAAAAGCTTGATAAGGTCCAAGAAAATAGAAAGGGTTTCTAGAAAGTTGCTGTAGGCTTTAAGCGGTTCGGGGCTTGAGCATGCACAGAAGAAGCCCAGCGGTTTTTTGCCAAAACCCCGAATAACCCGAGCCCGAATAACCGGAAACCAACGCGCGAGCCGGCGCACTTCCACAGTGCACAGAGGCCAGGGCGTTCTGTGGATGCAGCACATCCGCATGCCATCCTAGCACAGCCGGCCAATTTGGAGTGCCCAGGGCCTTTCAGCACATTTAGAGCGCGCTCCAAGTTCTGAGACCATAAAATAAATATCACATTTTATCCACTGGGCCCATGTTTCTATAGCCCGAAAAAACAGCAGGCTGTGGCAGCGCACAAAAGCCTGGATCCGCTAAACCATGGAAAAGACGCCAAGCTGGCGTGGCACACTTTTGAATTACATTTATATATTTTCATGCTCTACTCTGGAAGCTCTAGCTCATCCTTGAAAAGAAGAGAAAGAGACTCGGCCTCTATTTCCCTGCCTTTCTGCTCTATTCTGTCCTTTACTTCCTTCTCCACATACGACATGTTCTCCTTTACTTGCGAAATGACCGCGGGCAGCTTGCCTGTGAGCTCGCTGACCGTTCTCTGTATCCGAGCAATTTCTTCGTCAAGCGCGTCGCATGTTTCAGCCTCAGGGGCCTCCACAACTGCGCGCGCTTGCTTTATCTGCTTGACAATGCCCTCAAAGTGCTCGGTCAGCTCGTCCTTCAGCCGCAGAGGCAGCTCTTTCCGCAGCGTGCACAGCGTTTTTAGCGTGCTAGTCTTGCTCTTCTCGGCCTCTTCAACCTGCGCCACAAGGCTTGCATGCTCTTTTTTTCGCTCCAGCTTCTCCTGCGTGACTTGTCCAATGTCCAGCTCCTCGCCCCCTATCTCCACGTTCTTCAAGAACAGGTTTTTTATGTGCATGAGCACGTCCAGCTCGGCCTGGCTGTGCTTCGCGTTTTCCTCCGTGCCAAGCATCTCCTTGAAAATGTCCTCAAACATTTCGACACTTTCCAGCTGTATTTTCATAGCCCGCAGAAGTAAATAATTTAAATACAAAAGCTTCTTGCCACCAACGCCCGAAAGCCGGCTGCTGCACGGCAAACGCGCAAACCGGATGCAGGGCCAGCACAGTGCCAAACACGGCGCAGGGTGTGCGCATATCCCGAAAAATCCAAGTTCTAGAAGCCCGAAGTGCATGAATATTTATTGCCCAAGGAAACCCGCGTACTATACAGAAATTGCTCCGGTGTTTTCCTCCATTAAGTCTAAAATGCATTTCAGAGAGATAGCATGCACCTCTTCCTGCGATGCGTTGAGGATCCTTTTGTGCCTGTACGCTGCCAGGAGCTGCTTCATAGAGGAATACACCTTCTCTTGGAACTCTCGGTTTTCGTACAGCTCCTCCCCAAAGCCCGACCGGGTCTCAACCGTGGCAGGAGGCACGTCCAGAAAGATGGTCAAGTCTGGCTCGAGCATCCCCTTGTCGGAAAACGTGCAGAACTTTTCAGGAAGTCCGTTTGCAATCGAGTAGCTCACGCCTGACAGAATGTACCGGTCGCAAAGTATAACCGTGGGCAGGCTTCCGGGCTCTTCCGAGTTTCTGAGAAGGCCCTCCAGCCGGGCCTTGTCCTCCCATCTGTTGGCCGAGAACAGCAGGTGCATGGCCTCTTTGGCAATTGTGTGCTTCCCGCTGAGCACCTCAGATATTAGCTTTCCAGTGTGGCTTTGCCGGTTTGGATAGTTGATTGCGCTGGCCTGAAAGCCCTTTTTCTGCAGACTTCTTTTCAAAGACGCAACCAAAGACGACTTTCCGCTCCGGTCTATCCCCTCTATAGCAACAAAAAGGCTTTTTTTCATCCTTTTTTTTTCTTGTCTCCTTATATGCTTGTCTTTGCCGGCCAAATTTAAGCGCCAAAATAGCCTTTCCTCCAAATAAATGCCGTGTGAAGCCTTGCTTGCAGCAGGGCTAGAGAGCCTGGGCTGGCAGATGCAAAGGGGCGTGCAAAAAGGGCATGTGTGTATCCAGTGCGTGTTTATTTGTGTTGGAGAAAGCGAGCAGCAGGCGTGTCGTCGGGGCTTGATCCCCCGCGAGCCTCTTACAAGACAAGCGGCAGGTCGGACTTCAGGTCTAGAAAGTCAAACACGTCTTCTTTGTACTGCAAAATCAGCTTTTTGCTGTCCTCTTCGAGGGAGTTTTTTATAGCCAGCTCCAAAAGGTCGTTGACCAGGCTGCCGGCAGGCCTCGAGGGGTCGAGAATCGCCTTTTGGTACAGCTCAATCGCCTTGCAGTACTTCTTCTTTGTGTGCTGGATGAAGCCCAGCAGAAGGTAGTACTTGCTTCGGGTTTTGCTGTGGTACGAGATATTTACATCGCATAGAGCCTTTTCAGCAAGCGCGGTGTTGTCTTTAAATAGATAGCAGATGCTTTTGAGAAGGGCTTTTTCGCCCGAGCACTCCTCCTTCTGGACAAAAGCAAGCGCCTCGGTGTGCCGCTCCTGGGCCACCAGAAGGGACACATAGGGGTTGAAGCAAAACTGCAGCCCGTACTTTTTCTGTATCTCGAGATACTTCATCTCTGCCTTCTTGTAGCTCCTCATTCTGTGGTACTCCAGAGCAATGCCCAGGGAAGGGATGTGGCTCTCTTCCAGCAGAACCTCCGCCTTTTCGTAGCAGGCTATGGCGTTGGTGCCCTCGCACAGGAAGGCCTGGCAGTACCCCAGAAGGATCCAGCCCATTCCAAACAAGTTGTTCAGCTGCAGGGCCTTGAACAGCGACCTTTTTGCGTCAGAGTGCTTTTTGATCATGATATAGTACATCCCTGCAGCCACATAGGTGAAGTAGTGCGTTGGGTACACAGACGCCATGTACTGCGCCACCTGGAAAATCTCGCTGGTTTGCCCCTCGTTGAACAGCCGCTTTGCAATCCTGCAGCAGGAGAAGGGCGTGTGGAAGGACCGGGTGAACAGGGAGAAGCCGCCCGCGCACTCCATTAGAATCTGCTGGAAGAGCGCCTGGACCTGCGGGCTCTTTATCCGCCGAATGTACTCTGGCAGCTCGCTCAGCGACTTGTTCATGCCCACGTAAATGTAGGCCTCCAGATTTCGCTCGTCGTGCTCAAGAGACGCCTCCACGCACTCTCTTCTCTTCTGCTCGCTGCCCCTTTGGACAAGCGCTTGGTAGTAGCTGTTCAGAGACTCGCTTTTTATGGGCCTGCACACGCCCTCGTACGTTCTCTCTATCTTTTTGCACGATATTTGGAACTGGTCTATCTCCGAAAGCTCCCCAAGCCGCTTCATGGTCTCTATGTACAGCCTCTGCACGTCTGCATATTCAAGAAACTCTTTCCGTCTGTGGATAAGCCACTTAACTGCTTCGTAGTTTGACGTGGAAACAAGCGACGTCAAAAGGATGAAAAAGGTCTCCGGGGTTTGCCTTTGCTTGAAAATGTGTTCTGCCAAAAGAATTGTGCTTTCTTCAAAGCCAGCCTCTTTACAGGCCAGCAGCAAGTCCATCTCCATCGTAAATAAAGCAATTTTTTATTCATTTAATATTTGCTCCAGCCTCTCCGATGCAAACTTCCAATTGAGGATCGAGTATACTGAAGTTACATATTTTGCTTTGTCTGAGTGGTACTGCATCAGATAGGAGTGCTCCCACAGGTCGACGTTCAGAAGAACGGGGGTCTTTGGAAAATCCTGGTTCATCGTTGTCTCCAGCTGCAGCAGCTCTGTTGCCCTGCTGTATGTAACCCATATCCACCCGCTGCCCCGTATCCTTGGCAGAATGTCCACCATTTCTTTGCACAGCCCCCTTGGGAACGACGCATTTATCATGCTGAGCATTTTTTCCGAGGGCGTGTGGAACTCCTTCTTTGGGCTTATGGACTTCCAGAAAAGGGTGTGGTTTAGGTACCCGCCCAGGTTGAACAGGAGAGCTTTCTCCTCCTCCTTTTCGGGCGTGTACACGAGCTGGGTCATTTTCATGGTGCTCTGCGCCTTGTTGTATCGATCGATGTATCCCTGGTGCAGCTTGGCATAGTGCAGGTCCAGCATTTCAGGGGCCATCACGTGCGCCATTTCCTTGTAGGTGTAGTCCAGCTGCGGCAGCTGAACCACAGAAGGCATCGACTCTCTGTACTTTACAAACTCAGTGTGCATATTTTTATAAATATTTTTACTCCTTTATATTGAAGATTACTATGTTTAAACGGTATATAGATCAGGAAAGAGATAGAAGAAGCACGGGGATTGAGGAGCTGGACGTTCTTTTGGGGGGAGGGATCCGAAACGGAGAAATTCTTCTTCTGGTGCAGCAGGAGAGCGTGCGATACCACATTGGGCTGCACCGGGTGTTTTTGGCGCAAGGCCTGGAGGAGAACGAGCGCGTGGTGCACTCTTCTCTGGACAACCCGGTGGTGTCTGTTCCGGGGCTGCAGCAGGCGCAGGAGACAGGGCCAGCCACCAGCCAGGAAAAAATAGCCTGGAGGTACACGGCCATGTCTAGAACGGCGAACACTGCGCGCATACAAGGAAGCGCTGCCAACACTGCGCGGCGGTTCAACCTCAGAGCGCAGCATCCGAAGCAGGAAAGCGTGGCGTACGTGAAAGAGGCCAGCCTTTCTGCAATGCTGGCGGGGATAAAGGCTGCTCTGGGCAAGAACACGCGGGTCTCGCTCAGCTCGCTCTTTTCTCCGATATGGGGTGCGTCTTCGCAGGAGGCCAACGACTTTCTGTTTGGCCTGCGCGCGGCGATTCGGCAGAGCGGCGCTGTTTGCATGGTTTCAGTGCCCGTGTACCTGCTGGACTCGTTCAACTACGGGTACTTCGACTCTGTTGTCCGCCTGGAGGCAAACACCGTGAAGGAGCTGAAGTACGACGGGTTTATACAGTGTGTAAAAACAGAGGTGAACGACGTGCACAAGTATGCGGTTCTCTGCCAAAGCACAGGGATCCGGGTGGAGAAAATAGTTCTTCCGCCAGAGTAGACGCCCGGCTGTAGCATGTATGCTGTATATTTGTTAAACTATAGATTTATTGTAAGCTGCGGGCATTCGTGGGGGCGTGTGGCCGGCGCAAACAGCAGGCTGGGAAAGGGGGAAGGCGCGGGCCTTGGCATGCCGCGTTGCGCCTAGCATTCGGGCCGGCCCTAAGCTTCTTTCAGACAAGCAAGAAGCAGCCAAAAACACAGTTGAAAAGTGCAAGAAAAGAAATTCGGGGTGCGAGCGAAATGCTGCGGGCCAGCACAGCGCGCTGCCTTGAGTGCTTCGCCGAAAGGCTGGCAAATGCACACTTTAATTTTTCAGTCACATTGATTTTTGTCTGATATATTGACATAAATAAATTTTATTTTCTTCAGAATGCGCATGACAGCGCGGGGCCTTTTCTGCCTGCTTTATTGATGATGCAGAAAATTAAGAAAAATATGCAGCGCAAATAGCGTGTCTGAGGGCGCGCCCCTGCACTTAAAAATTAGGCCTTTCGCCTGTTAGTCTTGAAGCTCTTTATTTCTTGTCCTGCAGCTCACTTCTGCTAGTACTTCTTCTTCTTGAAAGACTCCTGCGCAGCCGACGGCCTCTTCATGGCAAACTTGTTTGTCTGCGCAAGCTGCATCTTCTTTGACGCGTTCTTCTTCTGCGACAAGGCAGCCACTCGCTTTTCAATGTCTTCGCGCGCCTTTATCCCATAGTCGCCCGAGGCCTCTTCGCCCGAGGCGTCGCACCTGCTTGCTATCGCTATCTTTGACGCAAGCGTCCTGGCCACCTGCCCCTTTATTTCGAGCGGAGCCTGTCCAACATATGTGGAGTTGTACACGATTCCGTACTTGGGCGTGTTCTTTTTTTCTTTCATGGCCTTGAACAGCGCCTTCTCTGCGCCCATCATCTGGATGGTTGAGGCAGGCTTTCTTGCAAGCTCGGTCAGCGACCCAGCCTGCGCTATAATGCGCGCGCCCATCAAAGACCCCAGCAGCTCCAGCAAGTTTGGCGCTATGTCAGCCATTCGGCTGTAGAGGTGCTCGTGCAGCTTCTCTCTTGCCGCATACATGTTCAGCACGGTGGCTGCAGCCTCTGCGATCAGGCTGCGGTCTTCCTGCGTTATTTCTCCGCCGAGGGTCTTCAAAAGCGCCTCTTTGACACCCTCGGGAACTGTTTCGTCCTTCATCAGATCCTCCTCGCTGCTTGCGTGCTTGCTCACTATTTCCAAGTACCGGCTGTTTTCCTCCACAAGCTCGCCGATTTCCGGGAAGTGCATCCCGTACCACTCTCGGAGGCGCATGCATTTGTTATTTATGTCTTTATCAAGCTTATCGATGACTTTGATCGTCTGAACTATGACCATGTCGTTCTTCTGCGGCGTCAGCTTCAGCCTGTCCCTGCACATGGCATGCGAGAGAAGCAGAGAAAGCTTGCTCATCTCTTTCTCCGAGATGTCAAGGAGCTCGGGGAGCCTGCTGTGTATCTCCTTAATAAGACTCTCAGCCTCTTCTCCCTGCACCATTTTTGGCGCCTTGCCCTGCTTTTCCATCTCTGTCTGAACAGCGCTTGCCAGCTTTGCGTTGGAGACTGCAAGGGACTTTACATTTCCTTTCGTGAGTAGCTCAATAACCCCGCTGGGCACCTCTCCGGAGGCTGCTTTTTCTATCGAATCGACCGCGTCCTTTGAGTCTGAAAATCTTCTTAGCTCTTCCAACTCGAGCGGGCTGCTTCTGAACAGCGCGTATCCAACTGTTGTCTCTTGCAAAATGTGCATTCTATTTTCTAAAACTTTTTCATCTTTATGTCAGTCCCTGGCACAAATGCCAGCTTTCCCAAGGCACTCGAAAGATTAAGCAGCCAGCACCTAACCCCTTTTCCGCCCGCTGGATCACACTTGCAATATAAAGCTATAAAGTATCAGCATAAAATTTTTTCGAACTGGAATGTGGACAACAACAACTCGGCTCCATTTACTAAATGCAATAGCACGATACGGATTGAAAAAGACCTCTTTCATTGCTGCGTATCTTAAAGTGTATGCAAAAGTAGCTTCCAATAACTGGAAAAATGAGTACAATAAAATGGTAAAGGAGTATTTCAAGAACCGAGGCACCGCAGAGTCTGTTAAGGACTACTTCAAGAAGAAGAGAGCCCACGAAATAGAATTGTTGATCGAGAAGAAAAGAGAAGAGAAAAGCAAAGTGATAGAAAGAATGATCTATGGCTATGATAGCTTGGAAACATCCAACGAAGAAAGCGACGAGAGCGACGAGTTTCTGTGTAAAGTAGAAGAAGAGATCTCCCCAGAAATTGCAGGCCTTGGCGAAACAAGCATATCCAGCGTGTGGGGCATCAAGACGCCAAACACTCTGTTTAGCACGCTGCTGCATCTCTCGACGCTGGGCAACCTTCCCCCGCACTTGGAGCTTCCGGGCCCGAAGCCAGAGACGTTTACGCCCATTGACATGCATCCGCACGCGGTTGAGGAGGGAGACGTTTCCCCCGACGGGCACACCGCCCTGTCCACAAAGGAGCAGGAGCTGGAAGATCTTTTTACCACGCTGGAAACGTCTGCCTACGGGGTCTCTGTTTCCGCTGTTGACCAAAATGCATTTGAAAAGTTCTTCCAGTGGACGCAGGAAAGGCTTGCGTATCTGGACCGAAGGAACCAGGAGCTGGAGGAGATTACAAAGCAGGAAAACGAGGCAGAAGAGAAGGCGCGCGAGCGAGTGCGGGAGTTTTTGCAAACCCCAATATCCGACGCAATGAAGGAGTACTATGCTTTGGACTTTCACGAGTATCCAAGGAAGAGGTCGCCCCGAGACAAAACCCGGTGGATGAAGGACTTCAAGCTTGTCTCCGAGCGAATACGGTCTGTGCTCAACGGAAAAATCCGCTGCGACTCGCACAAGCCCCAGCCTGGCACGCATGGCGAGCCCAAGAAAGAACGGGAAGAGCGGGGCAAGCCGCTTTGCGCGAAGTGTTTTGACATAGATCTTTTGGAGCAGGGCCTGTCTGGGGAATTTGGCGCAAAGCCTACCATGGCTGAGTGCGTGTTTAGATCCATGCTGTTCCTGCAGACCGTCATATTTACACAGCACAAGGTGGTTTCAACAAAGGACGTGGAGTTAATTAAGACAGAGCTGTACAGATTCTATGAGTATTACAGAAAGTAGCAGCCTGTTGAGAAAATAAATAAACGCAATTTATTATAGCCTGAGCACCAGCACTTTGTGCAGACGCAGCCGCCGGCAGCCCGTGCTTTTTCGCCCGCAGTGCTTAGCGCACTAGTTTCTGCGGCATGATGTGACATCTTTTTGCATCGCCCTATCATTCTGATGTTTGCGGCAGTCTTTCTTTTTTCGCCTCTTTCACTGGGGCGGCGCTGTGCATGCGCGTATTTTTCTCTTTTCTCGGCATAAACACCCAGGAGTGCATGCACGCGCACTCTCCTCCAGTGAAAGAAAGGGCTCGGCACAGGCCCAAATATCCCGGGTCTCTAGATTGGTCTGTCCCCAAGCGCTTGAAATTGCCCAGGGCGTGCTTTTATTTTCAGATGCTCCTCCACAGAGGCTGCAGAAAGAGGCGTGGGCCTGCCGCGGTTCGGCTTGGCACTGTCCAGAATTGCACTATAGTGCGTAGGCGGGCGAGCTTTGCCTGTTTCAAGCGTAGACAGCGCAGCTTTTTTTTGGCGTCTTCTTGGAGCTTTCGGTGCTCGGGCATGTTTTCTATAATAGCATATATTAGGAAGAGCGCAATAAAATTTTTTATGAGTCAAAGAATAAGCTTCGAAACATCGCAGGAAATTGGGGCGTTTGTGCGAATGACAAACATGTATGCGCTGGTTGCAGCAACGGACAACACCAGCTTTGTGTCTGCGTTTGAGGAAGTTTTGGACATTCCTGTGATACAGACCACAATAAACGGAATAAAAATGGCAGGAACCCAGACAGTTGGAAACTCAAAGGGCCTGCTGGTGTCTTCCTCCACAACCGACCAGGAGCTGCAGCACCTGAGGAACTCCCTCCCTGAAAAAATCCGGGTTCGCCGAATCGAGGAAAGGCTGAACGCCTTGGGAAATGTGATCGTGTGCAACGACAGCAGCGCGCTTGTCCATCCAGACGTGTCTTCGGAAACTGTTGAGTTTATTACGGATGTGCTTAATGTAGATGTTTTCAAGTATGCCATGGCGGAGAACAGCTTGGTTGGCTCGTACGCGGCCATGAACAACACGGCAATGCTTGTGAGCTCCAAGGCCACGGAGGAGGAGGTCGCCGAGCTTTCAGAGCTTCTAAACCTTCGCGTGGTTCCTGGAACTGTCAACAAGGGCTCGGACGTGATAGGAGCCGGCCTGGTGGTTAACGACTTCGCGTGTTTTGTAGGGGCAAAGACAACCAGCACAGAAATAGTTGTGATTGACGGACTGTTCAAGACAACGCCCACCTCCGAGCTGGGCGACGACGAAAAGAGAGCCTGGATCGATGCGCTCCAAATATAAAAGGCCTTTGCATTTTATGCTAATTAAAATAGAACTTTATTAGGTCTTCTCTACCGTGCGACTCTTCTTTGGTTTATTACATCTTACGAAATTGTTCCGTTGATTACTTCTGGCGTGCACACTTCTTTTCCGCTGATCTCTGCTGTCAGATCCTGGTACACGAGCTTGCCTTCGCGGATGGCCAGCCGGTCGAAGAACAGCTCGAGCGTTCTTTTTGAGCCGTCCCCCATCTTCACTGGAAAGGGCACAAGGCTGTCCAGCGGGTACTCCAGCAGGCCGAGTCTGTCGCCGTTTGTCTCTGTGAAGATGACAGAGCCCTTCTCGGGGGCGTCCGTGGACTTCCCAAAGAGTATCATGCCAAAGGACTTCGTGCCCTTAAAAGTGACAGGCTTCAGGTTTACAGTGAAGAGGCAGCATGCGTTCAGAAGCCTGCTCTTTTCAAACTTCCCCTTGAGGCCGCTCACAATGGTTCTCTTCTCGGCCTTGAAGTCCACGTTTTCTATAAAGAGCGTGTCGGCCTCCGGGTGGTCCATAATAGACTCTATGCGCCCAGACATTATCACCAGCTTGTAGAAGTCCGCAACCGGCCGCACGTGCTCCCTCTTCACAAATATTTCGCCGGTCTGCTCGCAGAAGACCTTCTGGTACTTTTCGTGGAGATCCGCCAGCTTGTCTATCAGATGGTCTCCTACCTTGTTCGTTATCTGCCCCTCAAAAAGCCACTTCCGCACTTTGGATATGGCCAAAATGTTGTCTAACCGCTCTTCAGGCCCGCTTGCAACGTACGCAAGCATCTGCTGCGGCCTCAGCCCAATCACGCTTGATATGCTGGCAACCGTTTTTTCGTCCAGGCCTTTATCTTGGAATAAGTGCGCAATGCACTTCCCAGGCCCCTTCGTTTTTTTCCCGTCTGTGTCGGTCAGGATCGTGTCTGTTTCTTGCGTGATTTCTATCTCTATTGGAATCAGCCGCTTTATGACGTAGATGTACGAGTGCTCTGAGGACAGCTTCAACTGCGGCACAGATTCGTGGCTGGCTAAATTTTGCATGGGAATAAAAGAATTTACTTTTTTATTTGGCTTTCGGCAAAGCCAGCCTACGCATACTCCCGTGCCAGTTCTGAGAAAACGCGGCATCTTTGGCAAATCTGTATCACATGGAATATCATACTTTGTCTGGAAAACTCCTTCATATGCGGCCGAATGGCGTGCGCCTGGGCGCGCACTGAAGCCTGTTTCTCTGCGGCAAGCCGAACGAAATAAGAAAGCGGGCAGTAGAACCGTTGCAGGCACGGTCACACCATATCGGGTTCATTTATTTGATCTTTTTTGTGGAAAAGGCGGGGGGCTTCCCGCGCTGCGCAAAGATAAATACCCGCACCCACTCCGGAAGCATGAAGGTAGAAAAGAAGCTGTCTATGAAAATTGTTTTGATACTAATGCACGTGGGGTTTTTGTATTTGATTTTGCAAAATAACTCGCTCTGCGTGCTCCACAACATAGCAGGGTTTGTGCTGGGGACGTTTGCGTTCAACAGCATATTCCTCTCGGCAGGGACAATATGCATTACAAATGGGGTGAAGTACTCGAAAGTGGTGACTGCGCTTCCGTTTTTTAGCATTATTTTTAGGTCGGTGTCAGACCTCATCGACTGTGACGAAGACGGCAAGGCAGTCTCCCAGAACCACGCTGTCTCGGACAACGCGCCCCCTGCCATTTTGGGCGGAGGAGAGCCTGCAGAGAGCTTGCAGTTTGCTGAAGAGTATGCGGCGCAAGATTTTGGCTTGCCAGAAACCGAGGGCATGGCCGATGAGGAGGGCATGGCTAATGAGGCATGTATGGCTGATGAGGCGTGTAAGGCCGAAGGACCTGAGCTTACTGCTGAGCAATACCGCCATCTGGAGAAAACTATATACAGGAATGTGCTGGAGGAGCTTTTCGGAGAATTGCAAGAGGGCGAACAGGAGAAAGTGGATGAAGAACAGGAAGAAGCGAAGGCGGAAGAGCAGGGCGACGAAGAGCAATATGCGGACGAGTATTATGCAGACGAGTATTATGCGGATGAGTATTATGCAGACGAGTATGATGATGGAGAGTATTATGCAGACGAGTATGATAATGGAGAGTATTATGATGAGGAATATGTGGATGATGAAGAATATGAAAGAATTCTCAACGGAGAGGCAATTGAATGCAATTTCGATACGGGCGCGCCAGCAGAAAACAGCGAAGGCCCGGCTGAAGAATACAGCAAGGAATACCTGGAGATGCTCCAGAAAGCCGAGGAAGAATATATGAGCTTCTACCAGCAGAATCCGGACAGGGAAGGAGAAGAGTCTGCGGAAGAAAGAGAGCTCACGGAGGAAGACTTTTTCCCAGCGTATTTCCTAAAGCAAGCAGGCCTATCCGGATTGCTAAACCGGCAAAATGGCACAACCAAAGAGGTTACACAGGCAATGAATGCCTTGAGCTTAAAAAGCGGTGAAGATACCGGCAGCGGCTCGGGTGGCTTGAAAGACCAAGGGATGCAGCCTGACATTGTTTATGGCGATGGATCGGAAGGAATATCTGAAGAAGATGCGCCAGAGCCTTTTGAAGAGCCGAAGCCCAAAGCCCTTGATGCAGGCCTTTCTGGCCCCAATCCGCCTGCCCTGCCTTCGCATGAGGCCAGTGCAGACGGCCCAGAGGCGGCGCTGCTGGCTGCCTAGGACTGTGTTTTGGGCTTGTGCGGGCCGCCTGTGGGTGCGTGCGCTTTTGAGCAAGCTCGCTGGAAGTTTAATGAAGGCCCAAAAACGGCCGGCCTGCGCTGCTACTTTCTGCCTGCCTGCTTGAACTCGGGCGCGTATATGTTGCCCGTTTTCTGGCGGAGTCTTAATGGAGGCATTGCAGCCGCGCCCTTTTTTCTGTGAATAAACAATGGCTTTTCTGTTTTCTTTTCTACTCTAGTGGGGGATTTATTGTGCTTTGGCTTTGATTAGATAGTTGGTCTTTGGGGAGTTTGGCTCGTTCTCGCTGTCTTCTGTGTACAGCCTGGTTAGCTGCTCTCTTAGCGCGAGCCTGTCCGTGTACCGGACTATTCTGCTTTTTTGGAAGGGGCCTGCTATGTCTGGAGTGCTTACATGTGCAAGCACCAGGAGCTTGCTTTCCAAATAGTCCACAATTTTCAGCGGGAAGTCAAACCGGCACACGTGCGTGGATATGCCAAAGTCTGCTATTTCCAGCAGCCCCAGATAATCCTGGTAGTCCAGGAAGACCTGAATGACCTGCAGGTTTCCGGCTTTGCAGTTTATTTTTTCTTTTGTTGTGATGAACAAAACTCCGCCCTGCGGAATTTCCAGGCTCTTGATCTCCTTCAGAAGCTCTTTGATGTTTTCCTCTTTGGAGCAGCTTGTGCTGCACACTCCTATTTTCTGGAAGCTTTTGATGCTCCCCAGCTTGTCCCCGTACTCTTTGTATTTGGTGGACAAATAGTGTAGAAAGGCGACTCTGTTCAGGCTGTGCTTTCTTTCCTGCCTCTTCTTTTTTGTTATTTTTCTTAGCTTCATGTCGGTTAGCAGAAACGGCTTTTTTATCCGGTGCTGCATAAAGTACTCCTGCATCGCCTGCGTAACCGTTATGTTTTCCACCATGCTTGCAATGCACCTGTCCATAATCTCCATGAAGCCCTCGGCGATTCGGTGCCAGTCTATGATCACCCGAATTCGCAGGAGCTTGGCAACAATCACGGGAAGTATTACTGTGATCGTAGGGGGGACCACAAATATCACAGCCCCGCCCCTGCTGTAGAACTTGCACCCTGCGCAGTGCCTTTTCAGCCCGTTTTTGTACAGATCGTATTTGTACCTGAACAGATAGAAAATGCTCATGAAGACGATGTAGAGCATCTTTGCTACCAGAGTAGCCTGTCTGGCCGGAAAACCTTTGCCTTTTGTGACAATGTTCCTTATGTAGAAAATGCTGAGCCGGCTCTGTTTTTCCTGTGCGCCATGCTTTCGCGTTCCGGCGTACGACACCAGCATCACGGAATTTTTCTCCTTCTTAAGGTAATGCGCTATTGCCAAACTGCGACCTGACTGATCAATTGGTGCAAGATTTATAACTAACATGTCGGAATATAAATATTTTCATTACATACATAATTTATATTTAAATTGCTCTGCGTAAATTGCAATATGCACAGAAAGTGCTGCCTGCTGGTATTGGACGGGTACGGATGCAATGAATCTCCTGAAAAGTCTATAGTTGACGGAATAGAAAGAGCCTCGCCCGAGTGCATAAACAGCCTATCGCAGGCATACCCCAGCACCCTTTTGTATGCGCACGGGACACACGTTGGCCTGGCATCAGACGAGATGATGGGAAACTCAGAGGTTGGCCATCTTACCTTGGGCGCAGGCCGGGTTGTGCTGCAGGACAGCGTCAGAATTCGAAAGACTCTTTCTTCGCACGCGGACGAGGTTGTGGATAAGGTGCTCCATGAGAAAAAAGAGTGCATGCACATTCTTGGCATTCTTTCCGACGGGGGAATCCACGGGCACTGGCTGGATGTGCTGGACCTGTCTAGAGCGGCTGCCAAAAAGTGCGAAAGGGTCTATGTCCACAGCATCTCCGACGGAAGAGACACTAGGCCCGCGGAGTACCTGAAATACCTGGACATGCTGCTTGCAGAAGCCCCTGAAAACGTGTGGGTTGTGTCGGTGTCTGGCCGGTTTTATGCCATGGACCGGGACAAGCGAGACGAGCGAACGCAAATGGCGTATTCTGCCTACACAGAAGGCAGCGCCCACACGGACCTGCCCAAAACACGAAGCGAGTGCGCCTCCCGCATACGCGAGCATCTTGAAAGGTCGTACTCCGAGGGCGTAACCGACGAGTTTATCCAGCCGCTTTGTCTTGCAGGCGTGGTGAAAAAGGGAGAAACGCTTGTCATAAGCAACTTTCGAGCAGACCGCGCCAGGCAAATATACGCATGCATGGACAAGCATGCGGATGTGTATACAATGACCAGGCTGTGCCCGGACCAGAGGGCGGAGAAGATTCTTTTCCACCGGCCGGAAATAGCAAACACGCTTGGGGATGTTTTGGAGAGCAGCGGGAAGACCCAGGCCCGCGTGTCCGAGACAGAAAAGCAAGCGCATGTTACCTTCTTTTTTGACGGCGGAAAAGACAAGGCACGAAAAAACGAAACCAGAGAGATCCACCCAAGCAGAAAGGTGAACGGATTTGACGAGGTCCCCGAAATGGAGGCTGCCGAAATCTCTGCGTCTGTGCGCGCACACATGGAGAAAGGCACAGACTTTATTCTTGCCAACTTTGCAAACTGCGACATGGTCGGCCACACGGGCCTTCTTGAGCCCACCATCCAGGCAGTAAAGGCTGTTGATGCTGAGATCCACAAAATATACCTCTGCGCAAAAAAGCACAACTACGGCCTGGTGATCACAGCAGACCATGGGAACGCCGAAATAATGGAGGATGCGCGCGGCGTTGTTAAGTCGCACACGGTGAATAGGGTGCCTGCGATAACTATCACAAACTACTCCGACAGAGATGCTACAGCCCCGGGACAAAATGCATTTGCACGCCCCCCCATTGGAGAGCACACCCTTGCAGATGTAGCTCCAACGGTCCTGCGTATAATGGGCCTGCCACAGCCTGCTGAAATGACAGGAACGCCTCTGCCCGATGCGCCCACTCCTTGAATAAACAGGCTGTCTTTTACATTTTGTCAAACGGCCCGGCTCCTGCGTTAGCCTTTGGTGGCGCGGCCTATGCTTCTCTTTGGTTTTTCTTGCTTTATGCAGCGCCTTTGCGCAGAACTGCTCTATTTTCTTGGATCTTTTAATTTTTGCTATGAATAGCGACAGCACTACAGTATGCGGCATAGTTACAGTTCCTGGGGTGTACCTTGAAAAGATACTCAGCGACCCGCCTAGAAGAAACCCCGCCAGCCTTCTTGATGGGCTGGTTGCGTCTCCTCGGGTGATTGCATCTTTGGTCCAAAGCATTCCCATGCCTTGGGAGGCTGAAAAGACAGTAATATGCTTCTACAACACGGACGGAATAGTTCTTGAGTGCAAGTCCAGCAGCAGCGAGGACAGCATAAACTACATGTGCAAATGGCTGCGCCTGTTGCAAAGGCCCTGCCCAAACGGCGCGGAAGCTGCCCCCAAAGCGCGCAACTTCACTTTGGGCGAGTACCGAGAGCTCAGAAGCAAGCACCCTTTTGTAACTCTTTCCGCGCGGAAAAGAAAAGAGCAGATGTTTCCCGCACTGTACGGGCGCGCAGGCGCTGCCCTAGAATGCAAAAGCCACCAGCCCAGCACAGAAGAAGCCCCTGATGCTGCCAGAACGGTAGCCAGCCGAAATTCTGTTCGGGTGCTGCTGCGCATGGACCGGCATAGGAAGCAGCGCAAGAAAGCCAAGAAAGCGCCTCAAGCGCCCGAAGAGCCTTCGCCAGGCACGGGCAGAATAGCCAGCAGCAGATACAAAAAGCCGGAAAAGGAGTATAGAAGCTCGATGGAGTGGTGTAAGTTGTCCAGGCTTTATTTGTCGGCCTGCAACCGGATGCTGAACTATGTTGTGAAAGAGCGGCGCCTCAACTATGTAAGCGTGTCTGAAAAGTATGAGGTAGAGGCCAAAAGGGCCCTTAAAACGCGAGAAAAGAAGAAAAGCCGGCTTGGGCAGACATTTCATACGGTAAAAGAGCTGGTCAAGCTTTTGGCCAGGCTTGTGGATGCTGTGGAAGAAAGCCGGCGCCCTGAGACATCGCCTAATGAGGGCATGCGCAGGCTGTTCAAAGAGTTTTCATCCGTTGGGGTGACCACTGGGATATACAAGTACAAGCACTCCGCGATTCGGCAGGTGCACGAGGCCTCGCGCGCATCAAAAGCGCTGGCGTATTACGCAGAAAAGACTCGGGTGCCGTACGACCTGCTGTGGTGCGAGCCTTGGAGGGTGTGGGCTCTTTTTCTGCAGGGCGTGTCGCCCCTGCTGGAGAGCCGGCTTGCCTCGTACGTGCTCCGGCGAAGAGAGGGCCGCAAAAAAAGAGAAAAGCCCGTGACAAAACAGCGGGCGCTCTCCCACAGCGACATTCAGTCCAAGGCTCTGGTGTTTCGGGAAATAGCAGAGTTTGCTAGGCTGGGAAAGTTCCAAGAGCAGGCCGTCAAAAACGTGCTAAAGCTGGCCTGGAAGCTGTGGAAGCGTGCGGATGGCTATGCTGCAGAAATACAAAAGTGCGTGTCAAAGAATAACTTTCCAGGGCTTTCAGAGGCCGCGCTGCTTGGCATTCAGGGGTGCCTAGTCAGAAGCATCGAGGAGAAAGGCAGCGCTTGGTGTGCATCTGCAGTGCAGCAGTGGAACCGCCTTGTTGCATGCAAAGTCAAAAACAAGAAAGAGCTTGTGAAAGCGCAGTCAAAGGCTTTGCGGCTTTCTATGATTTTGAACAAAACCATGCAAAGGCTTGCCTTGGAAAAAGAGTTTTCCGAAGACTTTGCGCCGGAGGAAGCTGCGGCCTCAGACAGCGCGACAGAGGCCCTGCGCGACAGAGAAGTGCTCTCGCTTTCAACGTACAGCGAAGATATTTTGCTGGACATTTTGTCGGTTTCTTTGGACAGGCTCTCGAGCACGTACAGCCGGCACTTGAAGAGGGAAGAGGAAAAAGAGCTGGAGTATATAAAAGCGCGCAAAAACGCGCTGGGCGAAACCCTGTCTTTTGTTGCCAAAAGAGTGGCCCAAAAAAGAGGCTTGGGGCGAATATGCATAAAGTACGCAGCGCATGGAGTGTCGTATTCCTATGGGATAGAAGAGCGGATGGCCGACTCCTTCTTGGACCATCTTATTGCTTACCACGCGCGGGCGCACGGAGGATGCAATACTTTGCCGCTCGACAAAGAGCCTCTCGCACTGTCGCTGTCAAAGCGTGCCGGCGATATGTGCACCGCAATCACAGGCTTTTTCGAGAAAGCGGCCGCGCCTTCCTCCGTTTACTTTACCTCGCTAGATACTTCTCGCATGCTCGCTGAAGTCGAAAGGCCTCTTCTGGAGAGGTGCCTGCGCCAGGCACTCCACAAAGACATTGCCTCGTATGTTTTGCAGCGCGCTTCGTCTGTGCTGGAGTATAAAGACATTGCCTCTGCGCAAAGGCTTGGCGTGTGCAAAGGCCTTGAATTCTACCCGTCAGTCAGCGAGTGTCTTATGCAGGAGATGGACCGCGCCGTGCTGGCAGATGCACGCTCTTCTGTTCTTATGCACTTTAGGTGCGGAGCCACGTCGTACTTTTTGCACACAGAAGACTTCTTCTCGCGCATTTCAAAAAAACGTGCAGCTGCAGAGGGACTAGCAGAATGCAGCTTCCGGGCCTTCCTGGGCACGCTTTCCGAAAACAGCGAGGGCCTGGGCGCGGTGGACCCCCGCACAGACCATTTGGCTGGGCTTCCCACCCATCTGGGAAGCCGGGTGTTTTCGCGCCAGCACAACGCTCGAGACGCAGAAAAAGAGCGCTTTTGCGTAATTGCAGAGGGCCTGGCAGGCAAAATGCACAGCACCCGAATAGACGCATTCCCTTTTGTTGTTACTGTGGGCGACTTTGACCTGGTGTTTCCGCGCGAGCGCAGCCCATACCTGCTGTCCTCTGCGCCTAGCTTGGATCGCTTTAAGCTGAGCATGAACAAGCTCCTGTACGACTCCACCGGCAGCTCCTTCTCCACTATTGTGGAGCGGTGGAACCGCGCTGTTGTGCAGTCAGTCCTGTTTTTTCGCGAGCATATGTCCTTTGAGCTTTCAGAAGCCATCCGCGCGCACGAGGAAGCGCTCAAAAGAAGAATTATGTGCTCGATAAACACAAAAATGAAGAAAAGGTTTCCAAACGCTCTTTTCTATTCGGGAAAAGAGTTCTCTGGCCTGGGCTTTGTTTCGTTTGAGGTTCTCAGGCACGTGGTGCCTTCTTGGTCCGACGAGGCCGCTCGGTCCCTATCTGTGTACAGCAGGATACTGGCGGCCGTGGAGAAAGCAGGCCCAGCAGAAGATAAAGAAGCGCTGGCTCGCGCAGTGCTGGTGTCTCTGAAGAGCGAAGGTGCGGATGCGCGCTCTGTGGGGGTGCCTCGGATTTCCGCGTTTCTGCACAAGCCAAAGAGCTTGCATGTGGAGGCCGGCTGGCGGCTTAGAAACTATCTCTGCTCTGGGAACCGGAGATGGACAAGCGAAGCCCACGACGGACAGTGGATTTCCTGGAAGAGCTACAAAAAAGCACTTTCTCTTTCAAACGCATACTCTCTGAAGTGCTCAACTGTTTCGATGCGAAATTCCTCTGGGGACAGCACGCATGTATACGCCGGGAGCTTATACAGAGCAGTGCAGCAAAAGTGGAACAGCGCTCCCCCGCCCTTGGAAGAGATGTACACCGGCAGTCTGGACAGCTCCCCCCACGCCCCCAGCTTGGGGGAGTCTAGAAGAAAAACCAGAGCCCAGATTGGCAGCGCTGCACGAATGCCAAACAGGATGTTTACGCTGTGGTGGAGTCCTATAATCAACAGAAGCAGAATAGACGTGGGGCATCCTGAAGTGGTTGAGTCTACTGGGATAACCATGCGCAGCAAGATTTCCTCCCTGCGAACAAGCTACAAAAAGCTATTCAGCGACGGGCTATGGGCAAAAATGCACAAAGAGATACTCGCGCTGGTCGCAAGTTCTTTGGAGCAGGGAATCATCAAGCATGGGATTTCGTGCATCGACCTGCCCCCGGTGGACGAGAAGGCGGACTTTTCCGACAGCCTGGCCCCCTCCATGCGGTTTGACTTAGAAGGGCTTCCCTGGCCTGGCAGCGCGTGGGTTTTTCTTAGGCTTAGGTGGGGCGACATTGATGCGGCTCCTGTTGAAGAGGAATGCGCTTCGTATTGCGGCCGCATGACCGCAGAAGCCTCTGCATACACACACAGCAGGTTTGGGCTTGTTGTGCTCTTTGACATTTGCCAGTGCAAGTACGCGATCCAAGCAACACACGAGCTTCTTCAAGGCCTAGCCGGGGAACTTGAAGAGCGCCTAGACATGCATGTTTCTTCCTTGGACTGCTTTCGAATTTTCCAAAGCAGACTTTGTTTGCTGGTGGGCCGCTCTCCGAAAGAGCACAGCGAGGCAGTCACCGATCCTAGAAGCATCTTTGCAGAAAGCCATCTCGGAACCTTTTTTCTGCAAATATCCAGCACAGCAGCACATGCACTGGACATGGCAAGCGGCAGGGTGTTTAGGTACGAGTTTAAGCCCGGGGCCAAAATATCCAAAATTCTTGAGCGCGTGCATGCACTGCTTCTCCAACACAACGTGCAGCGGGTGTGTGCTCCGGCCAGAGAGCACTCCCTTCTGCGGAAGTCCGGCATATCCTGTGCGTTTTTTCTCTGGGAAATAGAGATTGATCTGGCACAAATCCCGCGTTCCGTGCGCAATGCGTATGCTGCCTGGCCCGGCCTTAAGAGCAAAGCCTGTGCGTTTTCTTCTTTTTGCAGGCTTGCTCTTGTGCTCAGGCACTCCTCTGCATGCTCGCCCGAGTCGCTCAGCCTGATGCTTACGCCCATGCCAGAGGAGGCGTGGGAGAAAACAGAAGTCCGTCTGTGCGCCGACCTGCTTGTGCTTGGCTCACCCAGCGGCACAAGCGCTCCCGGCCCTTCTAGCCGCGTTTCCAGCAGTAGCGAGTGCATGCAGCGGCTTCTTTTTGGAGCAGCCGGCTCCTCTGAGAGGCCGCCAGCCCCTTCTTCCGGCGCGTGGACGCGCATGACCAGCTGGAGAGACCGCTATAAAATAGCCGACAGCTTCTCCGCCCTGCAGCAGCTAAAAAGCAGCGCATGCACGCATGTGCCGATGGAAAAGCGCGAAAGCAGCGAACTTTCCTCGGCTGAAGACAGTGTGTGCATTGGCCAAGACGTTCTCCAGCACATTTTGCACATTTCAGACTCGCTTACGCCAATACTTGGGTTTGTGTGTGAAAGCGCGCAGGAGGGCGCGGTGTTTGTTATGCCTCGGCAGCTTTTCAGCTCCAAGCATTTTTTTATTTCTCCGTTCGACACTACAGCCTGTTCTATTCGGGCAGTTGTGCAGACAGTCACTCCTTTCTCGCAGAATATGGCGTTCACCTACAGCGGAGTGGCGTTCCCCTCGCCTGTGCCCGTTTTGCTTGTGGATGTTGCAAATGGAGCGTGCCTGGGGTCCAGGTGCACGCCAGAATGCGTTGGGGGAACGGTTTCTTTCTCTGTCAGAAGCCGCATTTTAGTTGAAGTTCTGCCTATTAAGAGCGCTTTTCTCACAGCTGCTGGGTGGAATCGAAATATGTGCGAGCCCCACGGGGAGCCCCACCTTACTCCGTGCATGCCGCTTCCTTTCTATGCAGAGGAGTTTCGGGCAAGCCACTTCCGCCTTGGCTAGATCGCGCAAAGAGTGAATCTGGGCCTGCGCATATGCAAGGCGCCCATTGCTGCGCTGCACACCAAAGTCAAACTGTAATAAAGCCTGCTTTTTCTGAAGACTTTTTCTTTTTGATGCTTTAGGCGCAAAATGCGCCCTTTAATTGCGACGCACGGGCACGCACTTTTCTCTGCCCTGATGAAGCGGCAGACTGCTGTGAATAAACTAACCCGAATTCCTATTTATTTTATAATTGCTCCATGACTGGTACATAGTGTGCAAAGCCAAACAGCTTGGCTGCCCTGGCTCATCAGCTCTTCTTTTTCTTCTTTTCGCGGTCTTTCTCCGCCTCGTCCGCAGTTTCGTCTGCCTTGATGACCCCCACCGTGTTGTCTCGAGTGAATACTACGTCCATGAACAGAATTCCTATGACTATGTACTTTAGCCCCGCCCACGTGCCGGCCCATATAGTCACCATTCCCACCAACGGAACTGCAGCATACACTATGTTGTTCAGATGCTTTCTGTTGATGTAAGAGCACCCTGCCTGCCTGTAAAGGAATGCGTCGTTTACCTGGTTGTTGTCGCCTTTTGTCATGTACTCAAAGTGGTTGGCATTTGGGTACTTTGTGCTGTTTGGATTCTCCGTGGGCACAAGCTCTTTTTTGGAGTACCTTTTCTCCACAACCCTGTGCACTATAGGTATTTCTCCCTTGGAGAGCTCAAACACGCATATGTCTCCGCTGTAGTACTCGCTTCTTCGGTTTGCCAATAGCAAGATGTCTCCCCTGTTGAAGCCCGGATGCATGCTTTCGCTGAGCACAACAACAACAGGCGCACTTGAGTTGCAAACCAAAGCGACAAGCATCCACATCATGTACGAGCTGCTCAAAAGATAGGAGGCCTGCAGGCCCTGCAGCAAAAGCTCCTTGCCTGTTATTTTGTTGTAGTACTCTAGATCTTCATTCGTGAAAATCCACTCTGACATAGGGATGGCCCGCAACACGTCTCCTGCTCGCATAACAAATAAAATTTACAATTCCAGACTTTATAGCAGAAGCCCGCATGTTTGGGTGGGCGCCCAACAAAGCGCCAGCAGAGCCCCTTTGCGCAGCTGTGGGCGCCCGCAGGCGCTGAGATCGCTTTGCGCGCAAATTTTTATGGGACTTGGGCACCTTCTGCGTCCGCATCTGCAGCAAAGATCCTTATGATATCCTGTGCGATCAGAATAAACCAGAAACTGCACGTGCAGAAGATGCCTGTTTCTCTTGGCGTGCCCGCTTCTGTGCTGTTTTAGAGTCTTTTGGTTCCTGCGCTGGGCACCGAGAATATATTTAGTATAACTCTACTATTTTTTTCGCATGATTACACTTACAAGCACAGAGGTGAACTACTTGGTGTATAGGTATCTTATAGAGGAGGGATACACGCACGCTGCATATGTTTTTGGGCACGAAACAATGATAGAAGACAATCCAGCAGTTCCGCTTTTGCAAAAGGACGCGCTAAAGAACTACATAATAAAAGGGATTGAAATGGAATACGTCGAGAAACACTCGAATATGGGCACGGGGATACAAAAGTGCACGTCAAAGTACAGCATATCCACGCCGCACATGTGCATAGAGCAGGAAATAGAGATACACCCGCTCTATTTGGAGACGCAGGAGAGCGACGTGAGCTTGTGCGCGTGGGCTGCGAATGGGGAGGTGGTGACCGGAAGCCAAAACTGTCTGCTGCGGCACTGGAGCCTGCCTGCAATGAAAAACGAGTGGAAGCTGGGGGTAAATCAGAATAACGCCCACGGGATCACGGGCGTGGCAATTGAGTCGGACTCGCCGTTTGGCGGCACCAAAGGAGGAACGACAGTGGTGGGGACAACGCACAACGGAGACTTGTTTGTTTCAAAGGGCGAGGCTGAGTGGAAGTCGCAGCAGGGGCACCGAGGCCCCATTGTCGCGGTTTCCTTGAAGGGCGAGGAGCTGCTGACTGGCGGTTGGGACGGCCTGTGCAAAAAATGGAACATAGAAAACAACTCACTTGTAGATACAAAGGCGTGGACACTCCACAGCGGCCCCATCATGGACATTCTGTCGCTAGACAGGGGAGTTGTGACGTGCAGCGCAGACGGCACGCTTGCGTGCATAGACAGGAGTAAAAGCGACTTCCCAGTTGTGAAAATGGAGGCGCATGAAGGAGAGATAAACTCCATTGTAAGCATGCAGGAGCGAATTATTTCGTGCTCGGACGACAAAAGCATAAAAATATGGAAGTTCAACCAAAAGGACCCGCTAGCAGTTCTGAGCGGGCACACGCAGGAAGTCTATGCCATCGCCAGCGCAAGCAGCGTGTTTGCATCTGGGTCTTTTGACGCCACTGTGGGGCTGTGGTCCCCTGAGAGAAGCGAGCCCCTCTGTTTTCTGGTTGGCCACGAGAAGCCCATCTACACAGTGGACTTTTCGCAGGACGGAAGCCTGCTTGCGTCTGGAGGCCTCGACCCCATAGTCAAGCTGTGGGACATCCGGTCAAACGAACTTGTTAAGGAATTCGACATTGGTGCAGCAATATATCAGATTGAGTTCTCGCCCATCAGCAATACTTTGCTGGTGTGCAGCTCAGACACGCGCCCAATCGTCCTTGATATTCGAAAATAACGGCATTAATAAACAATTGGACATAAGCTTGCCCACCCAACACATACACTTTCTCTGCCGGCGCCGGCTTCTCTCTCGCTGCCAAATATAAAAGAGTATGGCTTTGCAGAAGTTGGAAGGATTTATTTTTATTATTTTCCAAATGTAGCTGCGCACACAAAACATTGCAAAAAGCAAACACACAGGCTCTTGAGAATATGCTCACACCAACAGAGAAGACATGCCCAGAGTGCGCACACGAAGATAAACACAAAAATCTGTAGAAATGTGCAATTTTTTATTGGCTTTCTCTGCTTGCAGTCGGAAGGCGCGCTCCTGCTGAGCATGCGCCAGCTGTAGGCTGATCCCGTGCTGTTTTCCTTTTATGCCTCTTTTGGCGTGTCTTCTCTGACGTGCCAGCTGCTGGCAGGCCGTGCTTGACCACAAAACCGGGCGCTGTCTGTGCTTTCACAAAGCAAGGGGCCTCTGCCTTTCTCACCTGCTCTCGCCTTAAAACGGCTGTCCGCGGGTGTGTTCCTGGGCCAATATGGGGATTGCAGTCTTTTTTATGAGTACAAATACGAGTGAAATAATTTCGCGAATAAAATATTTGAATGTCAATGAGAAAAGCATCAAAGAAGCCGAAAACCAGCGACAAGCCCCTTCCAGAAACCCCCACGCGGGCCTCTAGAAGAAGGTCTGTGTCGCCAGAGGGGGGGTCAGAGGAGCACTTAGACGAGCTGGTGCTGAGCAGCGACTGCCAAAACAACGAGAACGCACCCAGCAACCGGATAGACAGCGAGGAGGAAGAGCTTGTGCTGAAGCAGCCGGCCGCCTTCAGCGAGGAGGAAGATTCTGAAGCGAAAGAGTCCGAGGAGAAGGATGCGCAGAGCGAAGACAGCATGGAAAGCGGCGAGTCTTCCGAGGAGGACTCATCTTCTGAGATAGCGGAGAATCCGCGCGGAAAGAAGGCAGCAGCCTCGCCAAAGGCGGCAGCAAAAAGGAAAGCCCCTGTAAAGAAGGACGCCAAAAAAGAGGCCCCCGGAAAGTCCAAAGTCATGACAAAAACCGCGAAGAGCGCGCTTCTAAGGTACATCAAAGAGAAAAACGAGCCCATGAACTTGGTTGAGCTAGGGCTGATTTTCCAGACGGGAGAAGCTGCAATGACGGCGGCCGTGCTGAAAAAGACTCTTGCGGAGCTTGTGAGCGAAAATCTTGTTGAGGAAAAAAAGCCAGGAGTGACCACAATATACCTCCCCGTGCATACGAAGGAGGACAACAACGTGGACACGGCGGAGCTGGACGAGGAGATAGCGCAGCTGAAAGAAGAAGTGGCTGGGCGGCAGGAGAGAGTGGCTGAGCTCAGACAGCGGAAGAAAGAGCTCACGGCCGACCCCACCGACGAAGAGCTTGTGCAGGCTCTGCAGGAGATCTCCGCGGATCTGTCGGAGAAGGAGGCGCGGGTGTGCAATTTTGAAAAGAACCACAAGCTGGTGGACCCAAAGGAAAAGGCAAAAATTGAAAAGGAAATACTGAACAGCCAGAAGCTCAAGAAAAGCATACGGAGGCACTTCAAAAACATAGTGGGAGACATTTGCGAGGGCGCCGGCAAAAAGCCTGCAGAGCTCATGGAGGAGATGGGCATAGAAGAGCCTAAAAATTGAAGAATAAAGAGTTTACGCTACAGCCTGTCTTTCATGCGCCAGCACTCGGCCTGTGCGATTTCCGCGGCGTGCGCTGGTAAGCAGCACAGCACCCTCTAAAACCCGGGCAATAACCAGAAAAACCAGCATAGATGAAGGGAAACCCCCAGTTCACGGTTTATTTAAACTATTTTCCGCGCGCAAATGAGGATGGGAACTTCACCTCAAGAACAGCTTCCAGCTTTTGGAACAGATTCTTGTCGTACTTGCACATGTCCTTTTCCAGGTCGGAAACCGTCGAGGCAGGCTTGCTTAGCTTGGTGGCAAGCTCTTTCTGAGACAGGCCCCTCCTTTCTCTTGCGACCTTTACGGCTTTTCCAAAGCCCTGCGGGAACTTAAACACCTTGAGCGCCCCCGTTTCCTCGTTGTACAGCACGGAGGGATCTCCGCTTACCGGCCTTGCCACGGAGGCAGGCTTGTGTATTGTTTTTTTGAGAAAAGACACTTTGTCGTTGAAGTTGTTTGCAAACATGCTTTCGCTTTCGCTTTTTCCTGCGCGCTTTGCCATGGAAAACCAAGTTAGAAAACAATAAATAGACACAGTGGCCCAGGAGGGGGCTTTGCCTGGCAGAAAGACGGGGCGCTAATGGTATAATGGTAGAACGCAACCCTTCCAAGGTTAAGACCCGGGTTCGATTCCCGGTTAGCGCACTTTTTATTTTTGCAGATTTTGCCCCCCATGTCCGCAACTGCAGAAGAAAAATTGCGAGCTTTGGCAGAACTGCCCCCAAAGGAAATGTACGCCAGACTGTGCGAGGTAAAGCAGCAGGCCGCAGAGGAGGATCTGGACTACCTGGGCGAGAAAATAGAGAAGCTGCTGAAGGCGGAAAAGACCGCAAAGATCATGCCTGTTTTGCACTCTGCAGTGGAGGTGCTTCGAATATCCGCGCCGTACAACCCGTTCTCGGAGGAAACGGTGCAGGGCCTGTTCAAACACCTTGCAATTCGAGGCCCAAAGCAGGCAGAGGACAAAAAGGCGCTCGAGATAATAGCGTGCTACAAAATGGTGGCGCTCCTGGAAAACGTAAAGACCGTGAACAGCCTGGCAGAGCTTGCCTTACTGAATCTGTCGCAGAAGTGGAGCCTTGAAATGCTCCAGTCTATTGTTGAGGAGAAAGAGGAGGATCTTGGAAAGGAGGTGAAGGCGAAAATTGTAAAAAAGATTGCAGATGGCTCGTCTGTTCTCGGGGGTTTCATAGAGAAGCACCCCCTTTTGTTTATGCCTGCGGTGTGCGAGCTGATCACAACCGCCAGCAGGTCGAAGATGGGGCTTGTTGCAAAGTTCAACGCGCTCAGCAAGGAGATTGTTTCGCGGGAGGCCATAGAGGCGTGTCTTGACGAAAAAACAAACAAAAAAGACTTTCTCAACTTTGTGGGAGAGTCCACGGTGCGTCGCGAGATGCTGGGGATAGTCGAGAGCCTGGCAGAGGACCGGTCCATGTGGGTCCGGTGCAAGGTCCCGGAGATACTCTATGCGAAGTCGAAGAGCACCTTCTACACGTCGGCAACTGCAGCCTCCATCCGAGAAAGTGCGGTGGAGATATGGGGGCGGCGCATGCACGACTCGTCCGCGCAGGTCAGGCTGGAAATGCTCAAGAAGACGACGCCGGCGCAGATTGCCGAGGTGCCGGAGATGCGGGCGGCCGTTCTGGAAAGGCTGCGCGACACAAACAGAGACGTCCGAAGGGAGGCGCTGAAAATAGCAGCGCAGGAGTGCATGGAGACGCTCCAGAAAGACGCAGGCAGCGCGCACGCAGGCGCATGCTTCGTGTGCAGAAAGCGCGGGATTAAGACGTTTGCGGTGGTTGACGTTTTAATGTCTATGTTTATAGACGATCATGCAGCGCAGGTGGGCCTGGTAAAGGCCTTTTTTGCCTCTCTGATGGCAGGGAAAGCGTCCTGCACGCTTGCGCAGCAGCACATTTTGGCGGAGATATTCTACATGGTGGATGCGGCGCCGGAAGACATAGAGAAGCTGACAGGCTGTGCGGCGGCCCTGAGCGTGCTCGACATAAACGCGTTCGACGTGCCGGATGTCTGCAGCGCGCACCAAAACACAGTGAAGCTGCTGGAGAAGGTCCTGGGCCCGGAATCTGCGCCCACACACGCAGTCCCAAGCGTGGACTCGCCCATAAGCATAGTGGTTATGCTGTGCGAGGGATACCCGAAAGGACACATTCCCGGAGAGCTCATGGAGATTTTGAGAAAGCTGGCGAAAAAGGCGTCAGAAGACATTTTTTATAGAGTGGCCCGGCTGATATCAGTTGCAGAGTACAACACAGGGAGCGGATGGGGGGCGCCGCTGGAGTACGACTCGGGCCTTCCAAGAGAGTATCTGGAGATAAAGCAGGCGTGCACAAGCGAGGGGTACGACTTCTCAATGGACATGTCCAGAATAGAGGACAACTCCTTGCTGGGCTCTGTAAGCATGAGCACGGACATGGTGGAGCAGGAAAAAAAGCTTGAAGGGTTCAGCAGAAAAATGCTTCTCATGGTGCAGATGGACCTGCTGGAGTGCTGCATCCGGTCTGCTATTTTGGAGAGGACCGTGTTTAAGCACCTCCTGTCGCGCCCGTACGAAGAGCATGCCTACTTTGAAGGGTCGCTGTTTTTCAAGCAAAGGCTGGTGATAGGGATCAGGTCGCACCCGGACACCGAAATACGGCTGATCTTTTCGGTGGTTTCGGTTTTGGTGTGCAGGCAGACGTCGCTGGCCCTGAACGGAAAGAGCGTGATAAGCGTGCTCGGGCTTCTCTGCTGGGTGTGCATAGAGTACACCCGGGAGAGGGCGGTGGAGGCAGTCATGTCCTTGTTTAGGTCCAACGCGCAGATCGCACAGGAGTTTTTCTCGTTCTTTGCAAACCTCAAAAGGTTCTCTGTCGAGGACCAGCACAAGAAGACCGAGCTGTACGTGCTCTCCGAGGAGGTGCACGCCATGCTTGTGAAGGAGGCCAGCAAGCTTGGCATAAACCCAGCGCAGTACTCAAACGACATGCCGGCGGGGCTTGTCGAGGAGCTCAAAGTCCGGGGCGGATGGGCAGCGACTCTCTCAGTGCTGGATGACGACCACTTCAGCGCAAACCTGCTGACAGTGTTCAAGCCCAAGCCGAGCAAGCAAACATAATATCAAATCGTAATAAACGCATGCGTTCGTGCACATAAACAAATGGGGAATATCGTGGCTTTCCTGCCATGCGCTAGCAGGGAGGAAGGGGTGCTTTATAACTTTGCAGGCAGAAGCTGGCAACGCCAGCGCTGGAAACACACAGCGCCTTTTTATTTTCAGATGCATCTGCGCGGCAACAAAGAGATAGCGTCTTCCTTTTCGTGCGAAATACGACCGAAGTCGCCAGCACTGCGCCGATGCATTATTGCCGCAGCTGGCTGGGCCTGCAGAAGAAGAAAAAAGCCTGCTGCCCCAAAACGCGGGCATGCAGAGAAACAGAACGTGCACGGCGTAGGCAAGGCAATTCGCACTGATTAAGACGGCTGCGCATGCGCTGCGGAGCAGCGTTTTTGGATTCCCCATTGGCAGCTCGAAAAGTTGAAAGAGTTGCTCATTTTTATTTTCCATGTACACGGAGCTGACAGAAGAGGCGTTTAAAAGCAGCGTGGGAGAAGTGGTTCTGCTGGGAGAAGTGGGGATTGAGGAAGAAGACATATTCCTAAAGGGCTCGGACGGGTACAAACTCCTGCTTGAGTTTGAAGAAGAAGACGACCCAATGCGGCACCGCCTGTCTGAGTACGAGGGGGAAACCGTGATTATATACGGCGCTGTGCAGAGCAGCAAGCTGAAGGTGCTTGGGCACAGCTCGTTCAAGACGCCAATAAACATGGAGCTGTTTAGGAAGGCGCGGTGCGAAATGGAGAAGCACGAAGACTTCTTTTCGCAGGAGACAAAAAAGTAGAATGGCTTGGTTGGGAGTGCACCAATAATAAATAAACGAGGAGAATAGGTGTATATTTATTTTTCCGCGCTAGAATCACCATAGCAATGAAACTAGGTTTTACACGGGCATTTAAACATAGACAGAAATATGAAAAAGATGGGAGGCAAAGTGAGCTACATTAATAAGGCGCAGTCTGAGCAGAAGGTTCTCTCGCTGGACATAGGGAAGAAAGGGCTGCAGAGCATTCCAGAAGAGGTCTTTAGATCGCCGACGCTAAACTGGCTGATCGTCTCGAACAACAAAATACGCAGCATACCCAGCGAGATAAGAAACATGACAAATCTGACTAGGCTGGCGCTGAACGACAACTGGATCGAGTCTGTGGCCGAGGAGATGGGCGAGGTGACGAACCTGACGTGGGTGGATCTGACCAGAAACCGGCTTAGAGACCTGCCTGCCAGCCTGTCCAATCTGAAGAACATTGCAGGCCTGGGGCTCAGCGAAAACAGGTTTGAGAAAATCCCAGACTGCGTTTTTGGAATGACCTCTCTGTGCAAGTTCGGGTTTTTCAGCAACAAGCTCCAAGCAATCCCTCCGGAGATATCAATGCTGCACAATCTGACAAAGATAGACCTGAGCAACAACGACATAGTGACTGTCCCCAGAGAGATATGTAAACTGTCCAGGCTGGTGTGGCTGAACCTGAGCAACAACAAAATAAAGGAGCTTCCTGCGGAAATGGGAAAGCTGCATCTTTTGCAGGAGCTGGGTCTGGGGAACAACGCGCTCACCCACTTGCCAGATTTAGGGGCCCTAAAGAGGCTTACGATTCTGCCCGTGTACCGCAACCAGCTGCAGGAGCTGGGTAGCTGGGTGGGCAAGCTGGAGAAGGTTGAAAAGCTGGACTTTAGCAACAACAAGCTGAAAAAAGTGCCCTCAAACATCTTCTCACTGACAAAGCTGCGGTACCTCAACATAAAAAACAACTTCTTGGAGGAGCTGGACATGCACATACATCCTTGTACAACGTACCCGCTGGAGGTCATAGATCTAAGCGACAATCTTCTCAAAAACATACCGTATAAGCTGTTTACGCAGTTTCCGTCGCTAGCCACCTTGCGCGCAGGCGGAAACCCATACGACATAGAGAAGCTGGTGGTTCCAAAGACATGCCCAACATTACGCCAGCTGTGCAGTGTATATATAATTCCAGGCGCAGGGGCGTGGCCGCACCGAGAGTGTGCGTTTATGAAGGGCGGAAAAGTATGCGATTGGTGCAACAAGTGGTTCACATACGAGCCTCGGGTCATGCTTAAGAAGCAGACCTCGCTTGACGGGAGGCCGGTCATCGTAAAAAAGGTTCTGTGCTCTACTAGCTGCCAGATGAACAACTAGACAGAGACAGCAATGCCGGCCAGCCCGCAAAAATAGGATTAATAAATTATCACAGTTGATCACAAAAAGCAAGAAATTTATACACTGATTAAATATCTGAGAAATCAGGCATGCGCGGCATGCCAGAAAGAGCGCAGCCAAGCTCTGCGGGCTACCACGCGGACAAACCCTGCACAGGGCGCCCATACAAACATCTTCACAGTGCGCAGTTAATTTACTTATTTACGCTGGCCTGGCCCAGTTGCTTGAAAAGCTCGTTCATCTTCTGCAAGAGGCTCTTGACTTCTGGGTCCACCGGCTTCTCCTGGCCGGTCAGCTGCTCCAGATCGTCCTTTCCAAAGGAAAACGACATGTCGTCAAACGTGACTACCATAGACTTTCTTCTTTTGCTTGAGGAAGACTCGCTTCTGCACGCCCTTTTCTTTTTTTCTTTGCTTTTTTCCTGGTGCTGCCGCTTTTTCTCTTCTATGCTCTTGAAGTACGCACAGATGGTTTCGCTCTCGCCAGGTTGGAAATTGCCCAGGAAGCTCTCTATCTTTTCGCAGTAGTTGGTATACATCTCGTGCATATAGTCCTTTCGCTTGGCCATAAGCTTGATTACGAGGTCGTCCACTGCAAAGTGCTCCATTGAGAAAATCTTTGCGAATTGGCTCATTTAATTTACGATAATAAAGTGTGTGTTGTTGGTAAGCTCGCTTTATTTGCTATCTTGTGTGGCTGAGAAGAGAAAGCACCTCAAGGACCCCAAAGGACGACACGGAAACAATCAGTACCGCTGAAAGAATCAGCGAAGAGAGCGAAAGCACGCGCATGGGAGAGCTTTTATGCGAAGACTTGAAGAGCGACATGGACTTTTCCACGGTCATGCAGATGCTTAGAATGGAGTATCCTGCGCAGAGCAGCAAGAACAGGCTGCTGGCACTTCTTTTTGAGAAGAAAGAAATTGCAGAGTGGAAGCAGAATATCATGCAGATGCTGAGCCCCACCGAGGTCATGGCGTTTGCAGCAAAAAGCGGGAAGAAGTGGAAAAACTCTGAGCTCATTTCAAAAATGTCACTGGTTCCTTCGCTTAGCCTGCTTTTTTGAGAGCTGTGCGCAGAACTGGCCGCAGAACTCGACATAGAGCTGGGCACAGAACTAGACATAGAACTCGACATAGAACTGGGCACAGAACTAGACATAGAGCTGGATAAAGGTCTGCTAGAGTTCGATCCGAAAATCGACTTTGATAAAGGCATGCTGACAGAGCTGCTGCCCATCGAGCCATGGCTGTTGCTGCTACTGCTGCTACTGCTGCTGTTGCTGCTAGATGCCTGGGCTGAGCTGCTTCCAACGCTTTGGCTGGACAGCGCACTGCTTTTGTGCGAGCTGGAAGACTCACTATGGCTGCTGCTATGGCTGCTAGATGGCTGGCTGGAGCTGCTTTTGTGCGAGCTGGAAAGCAAACTATCGCTATGGCTGCTGCTATGGCTGCTAGATGGCTGACTGGAGCTGCCGCTGCTTTGGCTGGACGGCGCGCTGCTGTTTGAAAGCTTGCTAGTGCTTTCTGACGGCAAAAGCGAAGAATAGAACACCTCGCTCTTAGACGGCATTATGCTTGCCATGCTGGAAGACTCGCTGCTGCTGTTGTTGCTGTTGCTGTTGTTGCTGCTTCCTTTGCTGCTGCTCTCGCTGCTGCTGGAAGACGAGCTTCCTAGCAAAGAGCTAAACGGCAAGCTGGCCAGAGACCGGTGCGAGTATCCAAACGTCCAAGAGAAGAACCGAATAAACACCCCGAACGAGGCCCAGCTGAAGAGCAGCGCAGCTAAAGCGCACGCGCTCACAGCAAGGGCTGGGGTGCTGGCGCTTGAAAGCATGGGAAGCATGCACTTCCACATAACTATGCATATGGTGCTGACCAGCCCAAAAACGAAGCTCGATGAAATCAGCAGATTGTTCCGCACAAAGTGCACATAGCAGGACAGCATCTCAAACGAGTCGGAGGAGCTTGAAATGTGTATTTCTGGGCAGGAGCTTTTTCTGATGATGTCTTTGATAAACTGCGTGCCTGTGGAAACTCTAGAGCCAAACACCCTTCGGAAAGCCTTTGTTAGAAGCGGATAGTTGTCGTTTGAGTGTGTCGGGAAAAGGATAGAGAAGATGGCCTTTCTGTCGCTTTTGCTGATTGAAGAGTCTTTCACAAGCTCTTCTACCTCCTGCAGCGCCTGGTTGTACTTGGAGTAGTGCTCAAGCACCTTCTGGTTCAGCGAGTTTTGAATGCTTGCGAGACTGACTCTGTTTTCCGACGAGGAGTACAGGCTGAAGGACTGGCTGGGCCGGCCTGACTCAAGGCTGGACACTATCTGGCTCTTCTGCGCCATAAGGGACGAGTGCACGCTGCTGATCTCTTCCAGGAGCCGGTCCTTTCGCTCAATCAGAAGCGTCAGCTTGAGCCTTAGGATCTTCTGGAGCATGTGCGGGTCCTTTGAAGACGAAACACTGCTGATTTCGCTGTAGTTTGTTGACAGCAGGGAGCTTCTCTTTCTAATCCGGCTGTCCAAGCTGGACAGTTCCTTCAAATACCGACTAAGCTCCTTCAAATACTCTTTTGCACCCTTTTCCGGCGTGCTGCTTCCTTTCTCTTTCAATAGCTTGCTTTTAGAAAATACTCTGAGCGGCTTTAGCGAAGCCACTGTGCTTGTTGACGATTTCATGCGGGGGTAATTTTTCTCGTATATATAATCTCCCCTGCCAGAGCTGCATGGTCGCCCAATCACATGGCGACCCTTTGCTCTCAGCAAATCAGAAGCGTTTATATCACCCTATCAGAAAATCAAGCAATCAAATTGCAGAATGGGCTTGTCCAGGAGAACCCGGAGGCTCTCTGCTCTTCTTGCCGCCCCAAGCCCCCTTGGGCTGGCGCGGGATAGCCCAGCCGTGCTTGCAATGTGCGCAAGTCCAATTCAAAGCACTACAGACACATTTTTTATTGTGGTAAATAGGGCAAAAAACAAAGCAGAAGAAAGACAGGAAACAGCGGCCTGATGCACAAATGTATAAGCTTTATTCGCTAAACTCCAAAACTGCAGCTGCACGGGGCGCTCTGCACGGCCTGTTCCGAAAAGCAGGAAATACCCGGATGAAAACTGCCAGTATGTATACCACAGCCAGCACGCTATATACCGTGCGCGTGGCCGCTGCATTTTCTTTCATCTTTAAGCAGGCCTCTCGCAGAGAGAACATAGCCTCGCGAAGAAAGTACCCGAGCACCTCGACATAGTCCTTCAGAGTATATGCAAGGGTGGAGAGGTGCGCAGGCTTTTTGTCCAGGCCATCAAATATGGCAGGCGAGTGCTTTAGCTTATACTCCAGCAGAAAAGACAGGTCGAATGGGCTGTTCACGATCACGTTCACGTTCGGGCTGGACAGCACCGTGTTTCTAAGAATTTGGTTGCTGTGCATGGCAATGCAGGTGCACCCAACCCAGCAGACGCACTTCTTCTTTATCCTGTGGAAGTCCTCAGCCGAATATATTATAAGGGGGCTGCTGGGGGCGTGCTGCTCTTTTTTCACAAGCGTTATGTTGTTGAAAGGGAGCTCGTAGTATACGGTCAGCCCAAACAGCAAATACATCGCCATTGCAACCACAATAACCAAGTAAACTCTATCCGTGGTCTTATCTTTCATGCGAAAAAAATATATTCAACATTAATACCCTCAAAAAATATAAATATGATAGCCGAAGAAGCCGCAAGGAGGCTGCAATTGCAGCACACAGTGCTTTTTTGTGGCTAGGCAACAGATTCGCAGCGCCAAATGCTGGCCCACAGCACTGAAGCGATGGCTTGGCGCATCCCTGCAGAAATGCATAGTGCTGGGCAGCCAGGGCGCACATATGCCATCTGCAGGCGCCCAGACGGCAGGCCTGCGTGCATCGCCCTGCATGGAGGTTGGCTATTTAGGGGCAAGCTATGCAAAAAGTCAAAAATGTTTTTACTTTATTGTAACGGCACAGCGCCTAGGCGGCGCCAGCACAGGCACGCTCTCTGCGCATTCACAGACAAGCTACTCAACCCACATGGGCTGGCTGTTTTTGTCTATTTTGTAGATTATATTGAAGACTCTCTCTGCGTCCTGCCGCGTAGCACACTCAATCACGCCGTTTTCAAACACATTTACTACTCCGGGGTATGTGTGCAGGTGCTCGTTTGTCATCCAATCTTGTCTGTTGTTTATAATAAAACGCGTGCTGGCTTCTGTTCCAGAAGCGCTGTGCATGGGGCGGCCTCGACATATAAGCCGCCTCAGCTGGTCTATCAGCGACCGCACATCCGCAGGCAGGTCTGCTCTTTTGCTGAGTATTTCAACTATTCTTCGCTGCTTGTCCTGAATTGCCTTTGGCGTGTTTAGATGCCGCTCTTCCCGGGGGTTAAACGCAGGCCTTTCGTCGATTTCCATCATGGGGAGCCCTACCGGCGTGTGCTTGAAATAGCACCCAGGCCTCCTGCAGTGTCCGTTGTCGCGGCACATTCTCTTCTGGTATCCAAACAGCCTGTTTACAAACGTCTGCGCCCTCTCCCCAAGTTCTGGCTGGAGCATGTTCTGCAGCTCCTCTCTGGGGTTTGGAATGTTTTCCTGGCTTATCGCCTCTATTTTTGCTATTATCTCATCTGGGTGCATGTCTGTATAGTTTCTTATCTCTTTTTTTAAGTAGAATCTCAGATTTTTGTCCATTTCCGGGATTCTTTCCTGTGTGTACTCTCTGGGCGCGTCTCCTATAAAGTTTCTCTCCATAAAAATGAAACAGATTTTTTTCTAATGACTAAAGAAGACGAAAGAGGGGCGCAGAAGCAAAACGTTATCGAGGAGGCCGTCATTGAGATGGTTAGCGCGGAAGCTTGGTCTAGGCTGTGCAACCTGAAGGCAGTTGACTTGGAGAGGTATTACAAAATAGAGCAGCTTTTGTACAAGGTGTACATTTCTCGAAATGCGCAGAAAATCTCAGACAAGGAGTTTCTGAGCATAATGCAGAGCACAGAGAAGCCGAAGCAAACATTCGTGTACAGAACCCGGGTCGACCTTATGGACGATTTGGACTGATCTGCTTTGTAGTAAAAGGCGGCGGAGGCTGCAAATTTTTTATGGCAAGCAACAGAGCGAGCAAAATAATTGAGAATCTGGAGGCCGGCTTGAAGGGCGCAAAGTTCAGAATTTTGAACGAGGTCCTCTACAGAAAGACGGACAAGGAAATGAACCCGGAGCTATTCCAGAAGTACCACGAGGGGTACAGAGAGCAGGTGGCCAAGTGGCCATTTAATCCGGTGGACAGAATTGTAAATCAGCTGCGAAATGTAGACGCAAAACACGTTATTGCTGACATGGGGTGTGGAGATGCAACCATAGCAAAACGGTTCAAGGAGAGGCAGGTCCACTCTTTTGATCTAATCAAGCCGGAGGACGACAAGTATGTTGTGGAGGCAGACATACGAAACACTCCATTGAAAAACGAGTCCGTTGAGGTCGTTGTCTTTTGCCTGTCTCTTATGGGCGAGGACGCCAGCGCATACATAGAGGAGGCCTACAGAATACTCAAGCCCGGGGCCTTGCTGAAGATTGTGGAGGTAAGGAGCAGGCTGCACAAGATAGACGGCTTTGTGCGCCCGATGTCTTTGCACGGCTTTACTCTGCTGTCCAAAGACCTGGAAAGCAACTTCTTCTGCTTTTTTGACTTCAAAAAGGTCTCTACGCGGGTCAAAAGGCTGCCCTCGATTCCGCTCAAGCCGTGCGTGTACAAGAAGAGATAGAGATGCGCATCTGCTAGCATGTAGGCAGCGCGTGGCGGGCGTGCACAGCTCAGAAAGTGCCGCACTGCACGCCAATAATTAAATAGCAAGCAAGCAGGCATATGCCACTAAAACAGACTTATAGAGCAAGCACATGCGTTGTGCAGTTTATGTTGTCTTCTTTCTTATCTCGTCTGGTACTGTGTGGGCAGCACACATGCCCTCCTGGCCTTTTTCTGCGCAGTCGCGTCTTGGAATAAAGCAGTTATGCATGGGCGTCTAAAAGCCTTTTTCTCATGCGCCTCTCGCTGCTTGGAGCTCCCAGGCAGTGCACGGTGCATGCACAAAAGTGTTTTCGCAGACATGCAATCATCAATAGATATGCTCTATGGTGGACAGTGCCTTCATATACAATTATTTTTTTGTAAATTACCGCATGGCCATTTTATTTACTCAAATCGTCAGACCCTTGGACAGCAGAATAATTGTGTCTGCAGAGTGCCCACTCTCCAGGCACTTCGAAACTGTCCACAAGAAGGTGCTTGATGAGATGTCCAGCATTCCAGACAAGTTTCCAAACGAAACGCAGTTCTGCAGCACAAAGTCTGCGGAGGAGGGCATAAGCATATACTTCAAGCAGTTCCAAAGCATTATGATTCTCAGTGCTGTGGAAATAGGCCTATCCAAAACCACAATTTCCCTGTTCTTTGAAAGGCTGAAAGACATATTTGAAAAAAACTATGGGACAGACCTATCAAGCGAAATGTCGTACATTCGGTTTGAGGAAATCATAAAGGAGGAGAGCAAAAAGTACAGCAAAGACAAAGGGTTTGAGGAAACCCTCGAAACTCTGAAGGAGACAAAGGAGGTGTGCATACAGAACTACACAAATGTTTTGCAAAGAGGCCACAAGATAGAGCAGCTGGAAATACTTGGGCACAAGCTGCAGAACATCTCTGAGAAGTTCAGAAAGAAGAGCAGAAAGATGCATGTGGAAGCTGTTGTGATGCAGTATGTGTTCTATGCTGCCATTGTGATTTTGTTTTTCTTGATTCTCTACTTTTTCATTAGATGAGATCCTGTGAAAAAATAAAGACTGTAGCTTCTATTTTCTGCCAAGCCGGTTTCCGTCTCCATAGTGGAGCTGGTCCTTTTCCTTTTTCTTTCTTTCCTCCTCGGTGTCGTGCTGCATGCTTTCTTCGTTGAAAAGGTCCTCGTCCTCTGGTGCTGTGGAGGCGCTCTGCACGACCGGCTCGATGGACAGGCCCATTTTCTCCATCTGCTTAAGCATTCTTTCGCCGTACTGCTCTATCGACATGCTGGGGCCGTTCTCGGGCGCGAGCATCGCCTGTATGTCCGAGTGCGAGGCTCTTCCGCTTATCCTGATAGGGTGTGCGGCGGTGCTCGGCACCTTTTGCACAAACATGCTCTTTCTCGGCTCGGTGCTCGGCGCGGACTCGCCCGGCGCGTCAGGGGACAGCTCCAGAAGGCTTTTCTCTATTCTGAGAATCTCCATGCGCCCAACCAAATGCACACAAACGTACACAAGCGCTTTGTTCATGTCGAACTGAAACAGGAGAGAGTCGTGCGCGCTCTTTCTCTCCTCCAGCAGAAAAAGCTTGTCCTCTCTTGTTATGTACTGGGAGCTTATGGACTTTTGGACAAGAGAGCGCACCCGAGGGCCCATAAATATCTCCTTGTTGTCGTGCAGCTCCAGAACGCTGGTGAGGTACTGAGTGTACTCTGCGTACACCCGCGCGATTTCAGCCTTTTTCTCGCAGTGCCTCTTCCCTTCCATAACCACTTCTCTGCTTCTTGCTTTCAAGTAGTCCACCAAAAGAGACTGTGGTATGGAGAAGCTCTCCTGCGCCTGCATTCTCTGCAGAAAGGCGTCTATTTCCACACATGAAGCCTCTTCTTTTGTTATTATTTTGACTATTTGCGCAGCGTCTTCCATTTCTAAAATTTTACTCCTCTATTTATATCTTACTAAGGACGATTAATTAACCCTTTCATAATTAGAAAAACTCAGAAGCTGGAGCAGAGGCACGCACAGGCGCACATAGCATGCCTTTTCTGCTTTTCTTCTTTAGGAGCTTAGAAATAAAGTGCCCAAAACAGTCGAGCGCTGCTTTTCTGAGCCTCTGCCCTCGGCCCTTGGGAAGCCTGTCTCTGCGTGCCTGGGCTCTCGCCTGCAGGTTTTCTTTCTGGCTAGGCATATATGCAAAGGCCAATCAGCCATATAAATAAAGAAAAAATTAAAAATCCAACATGGAGGAAAAAGAACCGCTGATAGTGGCCGTCTTTGATTGTTTAAAAGTGCATGTGTGCCTGGGCCAAATTGGGCGCACACTCAAGAAGTACATGCCGATGGAAATACACAAGAAGGCGCCCATATCCGACGACATGTGTTATGACCTACTGTCGTGCGTTCTGGAGGAGAGCATACGCTTTGTGTATGCTGCCGAAGACATGCTGGAAGACAAGAAGACACTGCTTGAGACCATACTGCGGTCCAACTTGCTAGTGAGCATTTTGGAGAAGCCTAGCAAGAATCTGGCCGCGTTCAAAGAAGCGATTATGTATCTGGCAAAAGCCAGCCGAGGCGAGGCCACAAACGCGCAAGAGCGCGTGCGGCAGCAGACTGTCATTTACATGAACTTTCAGGAGAGCATGATAGACAACAAAATCACACTAAAGGGCGCGATCTGCTCGCTTCTGCACACTACTTTAAAAACCATGGCCGCAACAGAAAGGATCTGCGGGGTAAGCCCGGAAAAATATGCGCGCTTTCTTCTTAAGCTCGCCCTCGAGTATGCAGGATACATAGAGCTGGTGTACTCTTCGCATTTAAACGCCTTAATAGAGCGTGTGCGCCGGGAGTGGGAGGCAGGATGCATACCACTCCATCCGAAGCATACCTATGACGTTGACGAGACGCTTTTTGGCGTGCTGAGCAAAGAGGCCATCTTTCTGTGCAACCCAAACAGGTCCATGCGGCCAGTTCTATGCGGCTCGGCAGGCGAAAGGAACCTCAAAGACATACTGCACCATGTGTGCGCCAGAATGTTTCTGCTGGGGACCATCAAACGCTACAGAAGCGTTGCGCTGAACGAGCAGTACTTCTACTGCCGGCTGATGATGGGTGTGTACGACAACTCCATAAAACTGGAGCTGGGAAGGAGGAAGGCCGGCGACTGCATAGTGTACGCTGCATCCAGCCTGCATGCAATAAGGGCGTTCAAGCAAACGGTGAACCAGAAGCTGTTGCACATGCTTTTTTCAGAACTAGACAAGAAAGAGGCGCCACAGCCGCCCCAGCAGAAATGCGCATGCACAGACGCGGGCCCAGACGACCAAGAGAGCAGTCTGCTTGACCGGCGCGTGCTTGAGCCTCTGTCGCCTTTGCAGAAGATGTATGTTTTCAACAAGGTGTATGAGTATGCATCGATACTTGGAGTTAAGCTCAAAACTCCACACTACGTGAAGTTATTCCGCAGGAAAGCATGCCACATTCGGAGAGTGTTTGCTGTTTGCGCGATTTTTTTTCTGGTTTTTGCAATATGCACTATATTCACATGTTTCCGCGCCTTGGCAAGGGCGCTCGATAAGTAGGCGGAAAATCCACTGAGTGTGCGCCAGCACGCCAGCACCCAGCTACTTGCTGCGGGCTCTTTCGGATATTTCGTGGGCGCCTTCTAAATTTGAAAAGGCGCTGCTTGGCTCGGCCGCTATGCTTGGGCGCGCGCCTGCGCAGCCAGAAGCTTTTCGGCAGAAAACCGAGGCCTAAAAAAGCGCGTGCATCAATGTCCGGAAATCATAAAATCCAGAACCAATCTATCTATTGTGCATCAAAAGTCACACATTTTAGGAGCTGCAGGTCGGGGAGTATAAGAGAAAAAAGTAAAATTTAAAAAGCAGAAATGAAGATAAAGCACCGATCGAAAATTACAACAGACATTATAACCATCGTACTAAGCGCGCGCAAGGCCACAAGAGCAATCAAAAAGTTTATTTGGAGCAGGCTAAAATTAGACATGTGCATAACAGATGCGCACGAATATGATCTGCTTTCGTATGTTTTTGGAAAGTGCACAAAATTCAAGTTTGTTGAAAACAGTGTGCCAAGAAACCGGATGGTCCTGGTGGAGGAAATGGTGAGGGCCAACATGCTGCACAGCTTGCAGCACTCGCCCAACAGAAACATAGTTAGCTTCAGAAACGCCGTGCTGGCCCAGGCCAAGGACAGGTCCAGAGGCGTCCCCATTTGTGAAGAAACGCAGGCCCAGCAAGAAGAAGTCATACGCAGAAACCTACAGGAAATGGAAACAGGCGGCAAAGAAACAGTCAAGGGCCGGCTGTCCAGACACATACAAACCATTTTGTACAAACTGAGCACAATTGGAAATATATGCAGCCCGCATGCAGACAAATACATAAACATTATGCACATGCACATGCGCGAGCACGATGCACACATGCGGCTGAAAAACTCCGCATACTTGAAAGCCCGCCTGGAAAAAGTGTGCAAGCGGCATGAGAAGAAAAATGGAGTGGGGGCATGGGACGAAACGATGTACAGCCTGAGCCAGCTGTATCTCACGGTGTTTGGCGAAAGAGACGCCATCCTGGACACGATTTTTGACGCCATTGGCTCCCGAAAAGAGCTGAGGGTCAAACAAACCGATGCGTTTCGCATGACCCAGTGCCTAGGCCTCAAGTGGTACATTCCCATAATCAGAAGTGTTAACTATCACAGAAATCGCATAGTCCAGGAAACTGATTTTTATTTTCAGATGATGAAAGGCGTGCATGGCATGCCCATACTGTGGACTCCTGGCGCCAAAGCTCCAGAGGGACATATAGCGCAAGCTAAGTCTAGCCCCGACGGCATACAAGCGTTCAAGGCCACCGTTAGCCAGGCCCTGCTCTCGGCGCTGTTTGAGAGCCTGAACCAACCCGCAAAGGCTGAGTGCGTGCAGATCCCCTCCGAGGACCTGGATTGCTCGGGCGAAAAGGCTTCGGAGAGCGCTTCTGTCGCTGAGACGCCCGCAGAAATCCCGCCCGAGGACCCGAACATACTAAAACTTCTCTCGTCTCTGGATGTTTCTCAAAGGATGTATGTTTTCGAAAAAGCGCACCGATATGCGCGCGCCCTCCGAGTTGAGCTGGTGACCCCTCGGGCGCTTTCCTCTGCACATAGGCTAGTTCAGAGCGCGTGGGTGTATGTTTTTTTGCTGAGCACTCTGATTGTGGCTTTTGCCGCGTCTATTGCGCTGCTGGTATGTAGGGATATTTTTCTGTAAATATTCAATAAACAGCAGCTTGGGAGCAAGCGCATGCGCTTTTTTGTCTTCGGCCAAGCCTGCTGCTTTCTTGCTAGAGGCGCATGCAGGCTGTGGCCTGAAAATAAATGGAAGCACAGCGGACCAATTCGGGTGGTTTTCTTTTTGCCTTAGATGCTTCTCGGCTGGGCCCAGTGCCCGCGTGCCGCTTTCCTGCGCATTGCCCGAACGGCGGCCCTCGCCAAAATGCGAACTCTAGAAGCGCGCGCAGCGGCGCCCAGCCGAGAAGTGTGCAGAATATGCGCAGCGCGCTCTTAAATGGAAGTGCATAATACTTTATTAGTTTCCTGTGAAATATTCCACTTTTCTGCAGAGCTGCAAAATAATCATTCCTCGCTTTGGACAATGTGCGTGTAAATATGCGAGGCAATGCTCTCTACGAATGGAATCACTTTGCTCTTTTGGTTGTTGTTAAAGCTCCCCACCCACAAAAGAGTGTCCATTCTAGCAGCAAACAGGACGTTTGCCTCCTCTGGGTCCTCTTCGCCTGCAGACTTCACCTTTTGGTAGAAGCTTATTGAATACCCGTCCTGGCCCTCAACTATGTCTCTTACATACAGATACTTTGCATCGTGGATAATAACAGAGTTTTTGGGCGTGGTCTCTTGCCACAGCGAGCCCACAGTTTCCTCGCTGAGGAAACCGTCTGTGTACTGCGTTGCCACCACAGAGCTTCCTGACAGAAGAGCGCACTCTCTGATGCTTTCTGGCATTTGCATATATGCGTGGAAATACTCAGACCAATCCATAAACAAAAAAAAAGATCGACCTTTATTAATTTATTCTGCGGCCTTTCTCCGCAATACAGACCTTTTTGTGGTGAGTGCTTTGTATCCCTGCTGAATTGCGTTGACAGACTGCGAAGCGTTGCACGTTGTGCACTTCTTAAAAAGCAGCTTGTCCTCCTTCTCTAAAGTCGTTTCTAGGGACCCGCATATGCCGCACGAGACGTACTGCTTTATGTAGTTCCTGACGATTTTCTGGAGCTGCGTCTCTGGGAATATTCCCTTGATGACCAGCCGCTCCTCTCCGTCTATTGAGCAGTTCACGGACAGCTCTACCTCTATAAACTGCCTGAGATGCGCCACGTCCCTGCAAATGACTCTACATATTTCGGTTATGTTCAGGGACGTTTTTGTGGCCCCGTCTCTTCGTATGGAAATAGGTATTTTGATCTTGCTTTCTATTTCAACGTCCGAGGACTTCAAATGCTTTTCTATTCTTGCCAGCAAAGACTCGTACGAAAGCATGCTTTCCTCTGTCTTTTCCGGGGCCTCGGGCTTTTCCAAGTGGAGAATGCCCGCTGCCATCGTGTTAAATCCGTCGTAATCAAATCCGACTGGCACAAAGTCCGAGTCTTCGTCGCTTTCGTCGCTGGACTGGCTGGCTATGTGCATTTTGGAAATTTCTTCGTCTAGCGCTGGCTCTTTTTTCTCGTGGTTCATAGAAAGTCCACACATAAAAGTTAAGAAAATTCAGCAAATTATATAGAAAGGCCCAGAAGCATGCACAAAATAAAAAAGGCAAAAAACAGGAAAATGCGGGTGCTTGCTTGGTTGAGCTTTTTCCGGATGCGGTTGTGCGAGGCTTTGGTTATGCGGGTAAGGGTCCTGCACAGATACTGGGCCATGATTGTGGCTATGAGAATAAGCGACTGGTACTTCAAGTGTGTTTTGCAGTATGCAACTGTAATAAAAATGGACAAGGCCAAAACCGCCCCCTCCACCGCATATCTAGCTGCTGCGTGATGGCGCGGGGTCTTTTCTCCGTCTAAAAACTCAACCCGGAAAACAATCAGAGCGCATGTTATGTGCGAGGCCAGAATGCAGACAAGGAGGCCGTTTGGTATTTCTACGCCCACAAAGGACTCCAGCACAAACAGAATGGAGTGGGCCAAGCAGACGGCGCCCTCCAGAAACGGGCATGCCATGTTAAAGAGCTCCCCTGCGGTGTGCGCAGAATAGTCAAACCGCTCGCTTTTCCGGCTCTTCCATGCGCTGTACACAATGCCTGCAAACTCGCAGTTCTCAGGGATCAGTATCGCTGTCAGAACGAGGATGTCCACAAGTATCTCAAACCACCTGCTCACAAATATGCTCATGAAGAGCGCCATGAGCCTCCCTGTGGCTTTGTTCTGGTTAAACTCCTTCTTTATTTCAACGTTTTTTTCTTTGTTCGACTTCTCGCCCAAGTGAAAAGGCTTCAGCTTTTTGTTGCTTTCGCTTTTATTAAAGGATTTGGCGCTACTTTTCGGATGCACTTTTTCCTGGGCGTCCGCTGTGTGGGAGGCGTGCGAAAAAACGCTGTGTCTTCGAGCTGGGTTGGCTCTGCGCCTTGCCAGATGGCTTTGTTTGCGCACAAAAGATCCTTCCATCAGCAGTAAAACACCGTGGCTTTTAAATAAAAGTGGGCCAATCACGTACGCCCCGACTGCCAGGACTGCCAAGCCTATGAAACACATGCTCCTGCGCACATAAAAGGCTTGCCCGCGGAATTTCAGCGCAAACCTGCGCGCACCAAGCGATGCTGCATTTGTACATACCACTAAAGATCTTTTATTTTCTTTCTGGATTAGGGCTGCTCTGTGGCCGCGCTGCCTTTTCGCAGCACGAAGGCACACACAGAGCAGTTTATAAAATATCTGCTATCTCCCAGGACGTTTTCAGCATAAAGGGCTTTGATACGGTTATGCCTTCTTTTGTTACTTTTGATATCTGAATGCTTGGAGACGCCCGTGTGTCTCTGTAGTACAGCGTGGTCATTACCGACACAAGAATCTTGTGCGCCTCCTCCTCTGACATCTCGGTGTTCTCTCCTACCTGTGCCCGAAGTATAGGCAGAGCAAGGTGCGCGCCTATCCCTGTGCCTACAATGCTGTCGTAGTAGAAGTTTCCAAGGTGGTCAACAACCCCCAGAAACTTCCCGCTTGGGTCATGCTCGTACGGAAGCACGCGAGACTTCAGCGGGCCCTCTATGCCTGCAACGACGTGCGTGTTTAGCTCGGGAGTGCCTTTGCACCGCTTGCCGTACATGTGGTTTTTGACCAATTCAAAGCACTCTCTGGGCCCCATATACACCTCCTTGTCGCCCGGCGGGTTTGTTTTTACCCGGAGCACCTTGAGAAGCTCCTGGAAGTTGCTGTACTCCCCGGAGCTGGCCAGAAACGTGTTCTTGGACACAGCCCCGCTCCTTTCTATGTTGTTGTACTTCCCGTACGAGCCATAGGACAGCTGTGTGTCTGTAGCCAGCATAACTCCGTCTTTGTACTTCATGGCCAGCACGGTGGTTCCCATGATGTACGACTTCATGTGCGCGCGAGTAGGCTCCTCAGCAAACACACCCGGCGCCAGTTCCTGTCCCTTTATGCGCATTTATTTACAAAATAAAAGTTTACGCATTATTAATAGGAAACACAACGCCTATGCATATGGAGACGTCCATTCCAGAGTAGAGCCTCTCCTTTGGGTGGTGGATGTGCACGCCTCGATGGCTTAGAATAAGGTTCTTCTTTTCCAGGTACTTTTCCACCTGTCTGTCGACATACCGCTGGGCAAATGTTCTCATAATGTTGCCTATTAAAAAGGGTGCGAGAATTCTAAAGACAAGCCTGTCCCTTCTTCGGAGCAGGGCGGTGTTTAGATACTTCATTATTCGGCTCCACTCGTCCTCTGACACTCTGCCATAGAGCGGTGATGGAAGCGACTCCTCAAAGACGCATACTTGGCTTCTCTTCAGCACGGGCACGTAGACAATAGGCATATATATTTCTGTTTTTATTTACAGGAATGTTAAGAGTGGATTCATGCGAGAGTGCAAGGACGCAGCCGGCTGTTTCTCTGGGTACAACCATCATAGCAGTAAAGTATAAGGACGGTGTGATACTGGGCGCAGACACGCGAACCTCCATGGGGACGTATGTGTCAAACCGAGTCAGCCGGAAAATAACCAAGCTGTTGGACAATGTGTACACCTGCCGGTGCGGGTCAGCTGCCGACACGCAGGGAATATCAGACTATGTAAAGAAGACGATCCAAACGGGAATTTACTGCCATGGCCAAAAGCCGCTTGTGAAGGATGTGGCAGTCGCCATGAAGAGCGTTGTGTGGAACAGCACCGACCAGGGAATCATGGCTGGGTTTATAGTTGCTGGCGTAGACGAGACGGGCGGCCACGTGTTCTCGATCCCTCTCGGAGGCGCGCTGATCGAGCAGAACTGGTCTATTGCAGGGTCTGGCTCTGTTTACATAACAGGCCTGGGGGACCGCGAGTTTAAGGAGGACATGACAAAAGACGAAGCGATTACATTTATTAGGATGATGGTGTCGCATGCAATATACAGAGACAACTCGTCTGGAGGCTGTGTGCGCATGGTGGTCATAACCGAGGAGGGCGCCGAAGAAATAACTGTATTAGGTAATGAAGTGTCCATATGAGAGGCTTTGCAGAAATAAACAACGTGCATTAACACCAGCGTGCGCCTGCGGCACAAAGTCTAACAGTTACTTTAGTATTTTTATTTGTAGAAAGTGCATGGGGTTGTAAAAGTATAAATAGAATATTTTTTTATGCCCATGTGTGAGTGAGGATAAAAGCCGCCCCAGTCTGATTATTGACGAGTGGATTGTGTCTGACACATTTATAATTAATTTCTTTCGGTGGTGTGGCTCTGCCTTCTTTGCCGTGCGTGTTTTTCCTTAACCTCCTGTGCTTTGGCGTGCCTTCTATTTTTTTGAAGCCTGCTGCCTGCACCTTTGGCGTTGGATGATGCCTGGAGGTGTGAACAGGCGCTGTTCAGGGCGGATTGGCTTGGCGCGCCTAGCTCTCTTCTTTCTGGGGAGGCGCTGCCTGCTGGGCCAGCCTGTCTTTTTCTTTCTGCTCCTCTTTGTCCTTCAGGGTCTTTAGAAGCTCTTTCAGATACTTGACCAGCTGTATTTTAAGCTCCAGCTTGGCCATTTTGCTCCCAATGGACTTGCAGCGCGTCACCAGCACGCAGTTGTGGCCTTCGACTTTGCACACAGACTCGGACTCGGACTGGATTGTGAAGGTTTCATAGAACACGTCGTTGTTCGTGCGCAGGTATTTCAGTATGTGCTTTTTTATGGTGTTGAACTGGCTTTTGCATGTTGAGGGCTCCAGCTTGAAGCTTATGTGGATCAGCTTCTGCGGGGCTCTTGTCATGTTGATGATGTTTTTGTTCCACAGAACCTTGTTCAGAAACGATATCTTCCCCCCGTCTATGCCCAGCACCTCTGTTTTGTACAGGCTTGTCCTGTATATGGTGTAGCTCTTCCCGTCTATTATGACGTCGTCTCCTATGTCAAACGGGTGCGTGATGATGAAGGACGCATTCAGGCAGAAGTCTTTTGCTATGCTGCTCACAAAAAAGTTCAGAATCAGAGCACTGCTCAGCGAAAAGGCCACAAGCTGCTTGATGGGGAAGCCCAGGACTATGAGGTATATGATGACCAAGGGAATAGCCACAACAATGATGGACAGGTTGTCCAGCACCTCTATAAAGTTGTTGAGACTGTTGAAGCTTGTCTGCAGGTTTTTTCTGTTGTAGTGGAACATGCCCAGGGTGTCTCGTATGTCCTTTTTAGTCAGCTTTTTTGTGTTCTCGCTGTCAAAGTAGAGGAAAGCCTGGATGGCTGCCTGTGCATTCGGGAAAATTTCGCAGAAGTCGTTGAACGTGATGTATTCTTTGTTTTTCGAGCACTTCATGAAAACGTCTCTCGCTAGGCACAGAATTTCGTGCTGTGTCAGGTGGTTTTTTTCGAATATAGAGGATGTAAACATGTCGCCAATCACCTTGTCCAGGTCTCCCTTTATAAAGTCCATGCCGCGGTTGCTGTTTGGGTTTTCGTCTTCGTCGTTTATGCAGCTCACAAGAAAGCACGAAACCGGCTGCGTGTCTGACCCGTGCTCGCTCTCGTCTTCATAGCAGTACTCGCGCAAGGCGTTCACTATTCTGTTCTTTATTTCCACGTCCTTCGCCTTGTCTTTTAGGGTGTTTGACAGGAACTGCTCTCTGAATATCTCCATCATGATCCCCTTCCCCGAAAGCGCCAGAATCGTGAGAAACCCGCATATGAACATTTTGTCCAAAAAGACCCGGGCCCACGGAATAAACGTGTTTAGGTGTATTCCAAGAGGTATCATTTCGAAAAACCAGACCCCAATCGTCACGTCAAGCTTTAGCTTTTTGTTGTGCAGCAGATGGCTGTTTGTGATGCTGTCTCGGATAATAATGCACCCCCCGTGGACCACAAGCCTGGTCAGAATAAGGAGGGCTGAAAGCAGAATAATAAGAATAAAGATGTGCTTTAGAGAAAACCCTTGAATAATCCGCATTCGGACCGGGATAAAGTTGAGAACAAAAAGCCCGAGCAGCGAAATGCTTAGTATTGCTATGGACACCGGGATAATCCCCTTGCTTATTCTGTGCGAAAATGATTTTTTCTTGGGCATGTCTTCTATGTCGTCAAACCCAAACTCAGTCGTGTCCTCAAACCAGTTGAATTCGTCTTCTTTTTTGCCTGCGCGCTCTATTCTGTGGTTCTGGCTTTGTTCAGTTTCTTCCATGCACGCTGTGTTTGCCCATTGCGGGGCACCGTGTTTTATATAGACTGGCATGTTTCGTTTTTCATATAAAACACTGTTTTCCTTTGGTTTCCAGGGCGTCTCTATTTGTGTCGCTCTTTTGCCGCATAGGTGCAGAGCCCTGCTATCTGTCAAAATGCGTGTTTTCTCTTTTCTGTGCACAAGCATCCGGGTGCATCTGGTTTCTCCGAGCTCTAGATGTTTTCGCTTTCCATTTAAAAATAAAAGTATCCAAGCACAACTTAGAGACTTTTTTCTAGAGGGAGCAGTTTAAAAAACAGCGCATCCAGAGAAAGGATGCGCATTCAGGGCATTCACGGGGCAAAGCAAACCGGTGGGCCAGAAAAGAGCAAGGCCCATGCAGCTGCGCTTTTGCTGGCCTGGCAAGCGAGAAAACAAAGCGCATGGCGAAAAAGCATAGTTTAGCGAAAGCCTAGGGCTTTGAAGAGGATGAAAAGAACGCGGTCTACTTTATTCATTGCAGGGACCTCTGCGGCCGTCCAAAAACAAAAGTGCTAGGCCCAGCTTTCGTGATTCATGGCTGAAGGCGCCGGCAGCGGCGCTACCGCGAGGGCGTCCTCGCTGCAGAGGGCACTTTTCTGTGCAGGCGCATGCAGAGAGCCTTCCTAGTGGTAGAAAACGCTTTTTTTACAGGAAGTGATTACCAGATGGGGCCTTCCATTGTTTTCCTCTACTCTGCCTTCCATCACGCCCTCAACTATGCCTTTTTTGTCCTTCAGGTACTGCAAGGCTTCTTTGCTTATGCTTGCAGTTGTGTGCTTTGGCCTCTCAAAGTACATGGTGGTTCCAATCGGGGGGTGCATCGTGGGGATGGAGAGCGTCGTCTCCAGGATCTGCCTGAGCCTTTTCATGCGCTGGATGTCTCCATGCACGAGCACTATCATGTCGGGCTCGCACTGCTGGACCAGCGAGAGTATCCCCTTCTGGTCTGCGTGTGCGCTGAACGGCATGTTTTTAACCTTCATGCGCACGGGATACGCTATTCCGCCAACCTCGATCCTTTTTGCTCCGTTGAGAACTCTCTCCCCGATGGTTCCGCGCACGCAGTATCCTGGGAATATAACCATGTTCTTCGGGTCTCCGCACCACTTCTTGAACATGGCCAGGCTTGGGCCCGAGTGGAGCATGCCCGGCGAGGAGAACAGAACCATGGGCCCGTCCGAGCTAGCAAGCGAGGAGTCAAACTGCTTGACGTGCCGGAAGTCAAACAGATTCCGCTTGTGCATCGTGCTCCGTATGTGCTCGTGTGTGTAGTCTATAAACTGCTTGTATATGTCGTTCGCCTTGTGCGTAAGCGTTGCAGACGTGCATATGGGGATGTCCAGCCCGATTTTCTCCCAGTGCGTGTCCAAAAGAAGACACAGCTCGTGCGCTCTTCCCAGCGCAAACACCGGCACAAGGACCTTCCCTCCGCTCTTCACGCACTTTACCACGGAGTCGATAAAGTCCCGCTCCTTCTCCCGCCGGCAGTCCCGCATCAGCAGAGCATACGTGCACTCCGTGATCAGAAGAGAAGGGCGCACTTTGGGCATCCACGCGCCATCCAGGTGCCGGTCCGGCGACATGTTGTAGTCTCCGGTGTAGACCACCGACTCGTCCCCCACCTTAACGTGAAACATGGCAGCCCCAAGGACGTGCCCTGCATAGTACGGGGTGATGGTGAAGCCCTTTTCAATCTCAACAGTCTCTTCTATGGAAATCGGGATTATTTTTTTCATGCACTCTTTTATGTTTTCTTCATTGTACGTCGGATAGTGGTGCTTTGCGTGGTCTTCCCGGTCGCTGTACACTTTGCAGTAGTCTTGGAGAATTATTGGAAGGACCGCCTTCGTTGGGTGCGTCATGTACACAGGCCCAGAGTACTTGCACTTTTCTGTGAAGTATGGAAGACCCCCGCAGTGGTCCATGTGGAAGTGGGTTATTATCACACAGTCGATGTGCCCAGTGTATGGCCCAGGCCCAAGTAGTTTAAAATCAGGAAATCTTCTTTGATCAGAATGGCCCATATGCATTCCACAGTCGAACATGATAGTTCTGTTTTGTATTGTCACAACAACACACGATCTTCCCACGTCCTGGCCAGCGCCCAGCACGACAACTTTCATAGAGTCGCAATTTAAAATAAAATTTATAGCAAGCGGTTCTAGGCCAAATGAAAAAACAAATGAAAGATCCGCCCGAAGCCAGAGTGCAGCGCGCCACACGGCAGGCAGGCAAAGCCTTTTCGCTGCAAAGTGCACATAAATGCAGACGGGCGCTGCCTATCCAGTAGGCGCGTGCACGAGAAGAAAGAAAAAATGCGTCATATTTGTATATTTATTGGATTTTATGCGAGCTGTTTTTATATATAACTCTTTATAATTTGGCTCTAAAGCGCCTGCATTCGCACGTGTTCTGATTATTGGTGAAGACCCTTTGAGCAAATGCAGACAGTCTGGCACTTATAGTGATCAGACCACCAATGAGCTCTTTTGCATATGATGTATCATCTTCTAAAATGTGTTAAGCATGCTGGATGATCTGTCTATTGAGATGTCGCTCTCGCTCCTGTCGCTTGGCATGCACACAATGGGAGAGCCAAAGGAGCTAAGGAAAGAGTCGTACTCTGAGAAGCTGCTTGTGCCTATGTCAAACAGGGAGGAAATGCTGCTGTAGCAGTCGTCGTACGACATTTTCAGGCAGTTTATGTCAGCAGACGAAAACATCGCATCAGTCTTCGCGAAGGACTCGCTGTGGCCAAGCGCATTTGTGCCCAGAGCGTGCATGCTGCTGCCTTCTCCCGGGCCCTGCCATGTGGCTCCGCCCCGTGCCGGCACCCCCGCCTCTTCGCTGGCGGCATTTCCGCTGCTTTCGCTGTCGGTTTCTTCCTGTTCTCTTTTTGACTTTTCTTTTGCCCTTTTGTTTTGAAACCATATTTGTATGCTTTTTATTTGCAATCCCAAGGTAGAGGAAAGCCTTTTTTTTGCTTTCATTGACGGGTGCGAGTCATCATCAAAAGCCTTCTCCAGAGTTGCGATCTGCCAGGAGTCTAGCTTTGTGCGTGGTTTTTTGGGGGACTGCTTGGCTGCGAAACTTTTTCTGATTTCTTCAGTGAAATCAATAAACTTAACTTGTCTTTGGGTTACTAACTTAGGTGCCATTCTCTTTATATTTGTTTTTTAGAGTATTCGAACTTCTTATATCCTATAGACGATCAATATGGTAATGCAGGTTTACCCCGAATTTGGGAATTCATTATCTCAATGGGGAAATATCCCTATTTATAATAAAATTTGCCTTATTTGAATTTGAACTTTGTTGGCCTAGGTAATTTTTAGCTAATTTAATGTGCGAAGTTATTTTTTTAATTTAATGCATTAGGTAACTTTTTGGCGGAAACACAAAAAAAGAAACAAATTAATTACCCAATGTTCCAAGTATAGGCATAAAAATGCCCGGGAAAATCAAATGGGAAAGATTGAAAACCCACTCAGAGAGAATTCGGCTAATTGCCTGCGCAATGTGCACAGGGCGGCGGGCCGGCATGTTCAGGCTATTCAGGATTTTTCAGAAGAATTTCTGGCTGGGCATAGCACAGACAGGGCGCGGGCAGGTCTTGAAGGAAAAAAGCAGGAGAGAAAACTTCGTATGATTTTTTAATGAATGCGAGTGAGGATTCCGCGCAGCGCCCAGACAAGGCCCGCCGAGAGCGGGGGAATTGGCTTGTGCAGTGGAAAGCGTGTTTTTCGCGCAGCTCCTGCGCCTAGACTTTCCCAGGCGCGGTAGAGCATGGAATGTGCAGCGCAAGGACGTACGCTCTGGGTGGGCACTCATCGGCACGTGTGCGAGGCATGCATTCGGCCTTTATTCGGGCTCTTTCCTTGGCTGGGCCTTTTGGGAGCGAGCGTGCTTGCACGGGCCTTTTCTGTAGGAGGCTGTGCATGGAGCGTGCTCGGGCTACTTAATTTAATTTTTATTTCCACGCAATGAACGGAAGCGCATTTGGAGGAAATAGGCTTATGCGGACGAACACTGCAGAGAGCACGGGAATTGCGTGTGTACTGAAGAACATAGAGGGAATTGTTGGGCTGTGCGACCTGGTGAAAACATCGTATGGGGTTGACGGGATGTTCAAGCTTGTTGTTAACGCGCAGAAACGGGTGCTGATGAGCAGGTCGGTCGCCACAATTCTTTCGGGGTGCGACATCGAGCATCCTGCGCTGAGAATGATTGTAGAGCCAGTGGCGCACCTGGCGCAGATGGGAGACTGCACGGGGTTTCTAATGGGCGTGCTTGGGGAGGTTCTGAGGAAGTGCAGCCTGCTTATAGAAAACGGAACGCTTCCAACCGAGCTGGCAAGCGCGCTGAGGGAGTGCGGAGACGAGCTGCAGGACATTGTAAAAGAAGTTGTTCACTTGGAAGACTTTTCCCTGGACAATGCGCAGGTGCTGAGAAAAGTGACCAGTGGAATTGTAAAAAATGGCAGAATATCTGAGCTGCTTTCCCTGTCTATTTCTGAGATATCGAAAAACGGGTCGTTCCCCATAGACAGCATCCGCGTGACAAAAGTCAACGTAGGGTCTATTGAGGAGTCGGAAAGGTTTAAGGGCATGCTTTTGGAGAGCGCGCCGGAGACATCAACCACTGCAGGAACAAAGCTGAAAACCGCAGTGTACACGTGCCCGCTTGCCATCAGCAACATGGAGACAAAGGGGACTGTTCTTCTGAAGACGGCCGAGGACCTTCTGGCGTACTCGCAGGACGACGAAAAAACTGTCCGGGAGTTTGTGGACAGGCTGACCTCGAACGGGGTTGGGCTGATTGTGTGCAGCGGGTCGGTTGACAACCTTATGCTGGACTACCTAAACGAGAAAGGCGTGATTCTGCTGAAGATCCACAGCAAGTTTGACCTGAGAAGGCTGTGCATGCTGTTCGGTGGGCGGATGTCAAACGTGCTGCGGCCGATAGACGAGCAGTATTTGGGGGTGTGCGAGGCGATTGAGATCGCGACGTACGGAGAGAAGAAGTACACGAAGGTGCAGGGAAAGGGGCAGATCGAAACAATTCTTGTTAAAGGAACGCTTCCTGCGCTGCTGGAGGAGACGGAGAAGCTGATAGCAAAGGCTGTGTATGCCCTGCAGGTGTGTGCGAATGAGTCGATGCGGACCGGAAAGCTTCGGCTTATGAAGGGCGCGGGCGCGTGCGAGCGCGAAATCGCAGAGAAGCTGAAGGTGCACGCAGAGAAGCACACAGACATCCGGCAGGTGGCGACCAAGGCATTTGCGGAGGCAATCGAAGTCGTGGGAAGCAAGAGCCCAAGCCAGGACGGCGAAGAGGTTTTTGATGTGGCAGCAATCAAAGAGCGCGCACTCGACTATGCTATACTGCTCTCCTCCGACATACTCAGCATATCGCAGATGTTTATCACAAAAAACGAAGACAAGCTAAGCGCGCCAAAGAGGCAGGGGCACTGGGATGATCGTGACTAAAAATAAATATTTGGAGGATATTATAGCATGTTGCTGTGAGTGCACAGGAAGCTGCGCACACGCATTTTTGTTTGCATGCGCATTCGGGCTATTTGGTAGTCGGGCAAGGGACGTGCATTCTTGCAGGTGCTCTGCAGGCGATTCACAGGGCTCTGGGCTGTATGTGCAGATGTGAGGCATGCAAGTTACGAACTAAAAGTAGAAAAAGCTGCTGCTGCAACAGATGGCCCAGCCCGAAAGGAAAGCCTGCTTCAGAGACTTTGCCAGGCTAGACGCTGAAACCGAAAGCCTACAGTTGCTGCCCACGCGTTTTTATTTGTTCATTCCAGACGCCAACTTGCATATAAACGCATAAGAGCTGGACAGCTGCCCCGTGCAGAGGCAATTCTGCGCCAGCCAATATAGCTGCTATAGTGCGGCAGCAGGCCTGTGCGCATTTGCAATAAAACCATGCACGTGCGGCTTTTTTGGGTAGAGATGTGCGCATGCGGGGTGTGTAGGCTGCACGCAGCATCAGAATAGAATTTGTATTTAGTACGGTTTGTTGGCTGCTTGGGCGCGCTGCTTGTATGTTTATGTTTAAAGAATGCTCGTTTGGAATCACGCAGGCGCAGTTTCTAGTGGCAGGCCGCTAGGCCTTGGGCGCTCTAAGCGTGTACATCATAATGGTCGCGCCTGGTATTTTCAGCGATTTAGACTTTTTGCAGCCTAGCCCTGCCATTATTTTGCTTACGACCGCAAGGTCAAACCCAAACAGACATTTTATGTGGTTGGCCAGGTCTATGGTCCCTCCATTCTTCAGGAGAAGAAGCACCATAAGTCGGGTCACAAGCGCCATTTTGGTCCTTTTTTCTAGGTGCAGCTTGGCGTCAACCTTCGCTTTAGGCCCAATAAATTTGCATACTAGCTGCTTTATAAGGGTCACCTGCGGAACCTCTTCAATCTCATATATGTAGCTGAGCTTGTTCTTGTTGTTAAGCGCCAGAAGCTTGCAGATGCTGTCGAAAACGGCAGCCCACACGTACTCATTCCGGTGCTTCGCATACGTAAGCGGCTTCTTCTCCAGCACACTCGCAGCCACGTCCCCCAGATTCAGCTCTTTGTTCTCCTGTATGTTGGAGCTGTTTTCCAGCACCGAGTATGGATCAAATCCAAGCACATCTCGTATGCTGTAAACATCCATGGGGCTGCTGGCATTTGTATTTTTAACCGGAAAGTCAGGCTGCTGCGAGGAGCTCTCGCTCTTTGGGAGAGTGCTCGAAGGCGCTATTGTCTGCATGAGGATTTCGCTCTTGCTGTCTATGCCCTTTGTGATTTCTGATATTTGCTTTCTTTTTTTGAATTTTCTGGTAAAGGCCGCGCTTCCAAACTCCAGAGACAGCTGGGTGAACGTGTTGATGGAGGCCTTTCCGGCGTCTTCCAGCTCTTTCATGTCTTTTTTGAAAAAGGTCTTTGCTTTAAAGTACTTCACGCCGTGGATGCCTAGCACATTTCCGTCCACTTCAGCGACTCTCTCGCTTTGCATCGTGCTGCTGGCTAGCACGTACACGCACGGTATATCCCCGTCGTATTTTGCCACCACAAACACTTCTCGCTTTTTGCTCTCGGACTTGAGAACAGGGATGCCGCCTTCGCCGGCCTCCTCGACAAAAAAGCACTCTTTCTTGTACGGAGCGACTATTTCGATGAATCTTTCCATGGAAAAAGAAAAGATGAAGAATTAAATATTTTATGGCAAAAAAAGAGAAAGCCTTTGGCTCCGCAGAGGGCTCAGCCCGGAAGAAAAAGAGCGAGAGCCCCAGCCCATACCAGGCCATAGACTGGGCCGGGGTCGTGGCGGGGAAAACCACGGTGTGCGCGCACAGGGGAAAAATTCAAGCGAATGCGAAAGCGCTTATAGAAGAGCTGGGGAAGAGCGTGGGCCAAGGCGTTCCAGAGGATCTAAGCCTGCTCCTGGCGCCGCTGCTCTCGGGGTATTTAGAGCACAGCGCACAGCCAAGCGCGCATGTGCCAGCTGAGGGCGCGCATGGAGAAAGAGGGCACTGCAGAAAAAAGCACAAGGCAGATGCGCTAAGATCAAATATAAAAAAGAAATATATAAGGAGAGCGTTTGAAGCTGCCTCTGCCAAAATCATGGAAGAAATGCAGCTTGGCCAGAGAGAAGAGTGTGCAGCAGGGGAGCCCGTGGCGATCCCAATTGTGCTTTCGTCTCTGTCTGAGGTGCCCCGCATAAGAAAAGAGTACATAGAGGAGGCGCCAATGAAGCTGCGCTCCAGAATATACAGAGAGGGAATCAGCAAAAAAGTAGGGCGAAATGCAGGCGGGCCAAATAGATAGAAAGGGGCTGTGCAGTGTCCGTGCAGAGCGTGGAGCGTGCACATGCCCCGGGAGAGAAGGCAGGCGTGCTGTTTCCAGCCATGTGCAAGAGATTAAAGGCTAAAGCTCTGCCTGGAGTGGCGCAGGGCGCGTGCAAGCAGCACAGAAGAAGAAGAGTCGCGGCAAGGGTCGTGTAGACTGCCACGCAAGTGGTGCTTGCAGGCTCTCTGGAAAGATGATTTCGGGTTTGAAATAAACATAAATAGATCGTGTAATTATTTCTGTGCTAGCGAGGAGTAAATGTAAATTTGTTTTTATTTTTGGGCATGGAAGAGAAGTGTTTACCAGAACAAATAACATGCGAAGAGTACATTAGAATGGGAGAAAAAATAGAGACGCCCATTTCGTTGGATAAAGCAAAAGAAATGTTTTTGCGGCTTTCTTTGGTGGAGGGCTACGAAGAAGAGTCTGTGCATGCGCAGCTGCTTTCGTATGTGCAGGCGATTGAGCAGCAGGCTGGGCTTAACGAGTGCTTTGAAATGATTGAAGGCGCTTTGCACAGAAGGCCCAAGCGAGAAACGGACATAGCGCAGATAAACGCGGTTCTGGAGGTAACTGTTGCAAAAATAAAAAAGTACGAGGGCAAGTGGCTGGATAGGTTTTCCGAGCCGGAAATAAAGCCAAAGGCAGAGGCTCCTCTTGCCCAAGAGAAATCTAGCACAGACATCCTGGAAATCCCGAAGCACCCGCTGCCCAGCATAATCCGGTCCGGGCTGTTCACGATTAAGAAGCTGGCCAGGCTGCGGCACGAGCTGCGGCTGCGGAAAGAGCGGGCCGAAAAGGCTGTTGAGGAGGAAGAGGCCAAGGAAGAAGAGGAGGAGAAGACGCTCCTGGCCTTTTTGGAGAGCCTTCCGGAAAGGGTGGTTGAGGGCCTGTCAGGCATGCTGCAGGAGGTAGACAGCACAAAGCTGTTTATGGGAGACTGGGAGGGCACGATGTGCCCGAACATGCAGCTGGACTTTATTGAGCTGTCGCTGTCGTTCCTGGAAATGCACATCCGAATGTCGGTCAAAGCGGGGAGAGCGCTGGGGAGCAGGAGCCTGCTGGAGAGCCTCACGTGCTTTCTGTACAAACAGTACATTGGGCACTTGGGAGAGCAGTTTATTGAGGAGCTGGAGGTCGAGCTGGTTGGGTGCTTTAGCTTGGCCATGCAAATGTCGATTCTTTTGAAGGGGCCTGCGTTCACAGACTGCTTTTCTCTGTTCTCCGAGGAGGGCAAGACCATTCTGCAGGATGCGTACATTTTTTACGTGCAGAACTCTGCCCTGAACGCGCTTGGGCTGCTGTACCACAGGGAGAAGAACCAGGCGCTGGTTGACATTGTATATTCTTTCTACACAACAGGGTGCCTTGACGTGTTCATGCCGCAGCAGAAAAAGCAGATAATCAGCAGCTCTGTGGACATTCTTACCAAGTACCTCGACCAAGAAAGCATTATGGTGCTTATTCGGAAGATCATATACCTGTACGACAGCGCCGCGCAGCGCTCGGAGGGAATGTCGCTTCTGGTGTCTATCTTTCTGTCAAAGATTCGGTCGCGAAGCAAAAGCAGCACAAAGGAGATCAATGAGTTTTTTATCAAAATAATATCGAGAAGCCAAAACAAGATCGAGCACATTGACTCATACTGCACCTTTTTGTCGATGCACGACATCGGCATTCCCCTGCACCATCTCATACGAAGATACGACCCGCAGTTTATTTCCACGTTCTATTCGACATATTTTAGGCACCCGTTCACGCAGGAAAAGGGCACGCAGGCGGTGGGGGACTTCATCAACTTTGTCTGCATGTCTGCCGACCTCACGTACATATACATAATGAACATGGTTCCGTTTATCCCAACCTCTCCCTTCATTGTGCACAAGCTGTTTTTGATATACAAGAGAATATATGCAAACGCAAGCATTTTCACGCGCGGCATAGAGACCGAGCTGCTGCTCCTCCGGATGAAAACGCCGGCTCTTGTGGGGATTGCAGGGTTTATATTCAGCGACCCCACCCCGCTCATTAAAAAGAAGGACCTCAAGAAAATGGCCGCTGTGATCGGGATAAGCCCCAACCTCAACGAAGACTACATAGTGTTTTTGAGCCTGGTCTACACGGTTGAGGCGGCCAAGCTGGAAAACTACAACTACAAGGGGATCATTAGCTATTTGAAGGACGAAGTCACCTTGAAGTACATGGGCAAGCATCTGCCGTGCATTATCACCAGGCTGCACAGAGAGGCCTCGGTTGAGTCGCTGGACTTCTATAAAACATATGCATGCGACCTGCTAAAGGTCGCCTCTGTGCCCACTGCGTATCCGCTGTCGCTGAAGATTATTGTGGAAATACTTACGATCATTGTGCAGAAGGAGCCGTCTGTGGTGCTCTCCGAGGAGTTCCACCAGCGGTTCAAAGAGTGCTTTGACACGTTTCGGGGAAACGAGCTGTCTATGTTCAACCTAAAAGAGACTTTCCTCAGCTACATGGCGCTGTACAAGAGCATACTTTCTCAGATCAAAGAAGAGGTTATTGAGGTGTACAACTACATTGTGCTGAACATTGTAGACCTCGGGCTCTTCAACGCGCTTCCGGTGATGAGAGACGAAAGAGGCATAAAAGAGCTTCTCAACCGGTCCAACCTTATCATGGAAATAATCCGGACTTTCCCAACCACACCGATGCCGGGCACCGAGATCTGGGAGTGGATGTACTCTGTATGCACCAAAAAGCCCGCGCGGCCTGCGCTGGCGCAGATATGCAGCAGCGGAAACGGCGCGCCCAGCAGCAGCGCATGTGCGGGGCATTCTGGGGGAAGCGCCGTGGACTTGCTGGTGGGCAAGGCGCCGCTGACCGAAGAAGAGTACTCACACCTGCTCTATGCAATAAATACCGAGTGGATTAATGACCTGATTATAATGCGAAGCGGAACGCCAGGGATCATTGAGAACACGCGAAACTACTTGAGGTGGATGCTTGTGGAAGAGTACTCTCTGGAAAGCCTTTTGATTCTGCTGAAGGTTTCCAACAGAGAGGAGAAGCGCGAGCTGCTGAAAAAAGCGGTTCTGACTGGGTACTGTGTGAAGGACGAGCCGGCCGTATATTACTCGCTGTACACGCTGGCAAAGGGGACTTTCTACGAGTATCCGCTGGCGCAGACATACAACTTCCTGTGCGCGCTAGACAAGACCAGAAAGTCGCTTAAGGTCAGAAAGCTGAAGGAGCAGGAGCTGTACGACCTGGGCGTGGACGAGCTGATTTTCCTCAGCACAGAGTACGGAATAAAAAAAGTGGACGAGGTGCTGCTGAAAAAGCACATATGCAGATGCTCGGGGTTTTTTGTGGACATGAGCCGGCTTACCTCGATTGAAGCGCTCTCTGTTGTGGGAACTTCGGAGGACGAGCAAGAAATAGAGAAGGCCCTCAACTTTTTGGAGGCGGAGGAAAGCAGGGGAAACACACTTCTTTTCTTCACCCCGCAGATTGTGCAGCTGCTCCGAAAGAACTATGCACGGAACGGGCCTGCCATAAAGGAGGCGCTGACGCGGATAGTCCGAAACAAAACTGCGCACGCCCTCATATGGGAGATAAAGGCGCACGGCGACAGCCTTTTGCAGTCGTATGAGGAGGGAATACTGAATGAAATGACGCACGAGGAGAGGGAGCAGTACAACAAACAGAGCGAGTTTCTGAAAAGCTTCACACACATTTCGGAGAAGCTGCAGAAGTACGTGTCTATGGACAGAGACGCAAAGAAGCGGCTTATCAACCAGGCAATATCAGAGGTTTCGTTTCCAGAGGGATGCTACCTCCCTACGACGGGCGAAACTGTGATAAAGCTTGTCGAAGGGTCTGGAAGAGCGCTGCAGAGCGCAGAGAAGGTTCCGTATATGGTGACCTTTAAGGTGAACGACGAGAAAACAAACGAGGTAGTGGACCGGCAGGTGATATTCAAGTTTGGAGACGACTGCAGGCAGGACGTGCTTGCCTTGCAAATCATCCAGATATTCCAGAACATATTCAAAGGAAAGGGGCTGTCTGTGTACCTGTACCCGTACAAAGTGCTTGCCACCGGGTTTGGCTCGGGCATTATAGAGGTGATTCCGCACTCAACCTCAAGAGATCAGATAGGGCGCGAGAGAGTGAACAACCTTGTGGACTACTTCTCTCTGAAGTACGGGTACCGCGAGGGGCACAAGTACAGCCAGGCGCTAAAGAACTTTGTAGAAAGCTTTGCAGGGTACTCTCTGGTGACATACATTCTGAACATAAAAGACAGGCACAACGGGAACATAATGCTGACAGACGAAGGACATCTAATACATATCGACTTTGGGTTTATGCTGGACATATCGCCCGGAAGCATAAACATAGAGAGCCCGATAAAAATAACAGATGAAATATTCTCGCTGCTGGGCGGAGCAGACGGAGAGGCCTTTATGTTGTACAAGGACCTGATGGTAAAGGGGTTTTACATACTGCGGAAGAGAGCCAAGGAAATTGTCCTTATGATTGACATGGGAAGACACAGCGGCTTGTCCTGCTACACGTCGGCAACAATGAAAAATCTGGTCTCTCGCTTCCGCCTGGATCTTGAGGACGCTGAGGTGCCGGCTTTTGTGTACAAGCTTATTACATCATCGACCAAGAAGCTAAGAACGTGGATATACGACCAATATCAGCACCTTACAAATAACATTGCGTTCTAGCGCGCAAAGCACGTTGTCTGTATGATATGAATAAAAGACACATTTAAATAAAGCCGTGGCTCTGCGTGCTTTTAGGCGCACGCGTCTGCTTTTTCACAGGAAGAGCGCAGGCCTGGGGTGGCCCACGCACGGCCGCTGCACTGAAATGTCTGATAATTTTTTTATTGACTAATGACAGGAAGAACCATAGGAGGAATCCAGAGCCAAACACCACTAAAGATATACAACACAATCACAAGACAGAAGGAAGAGCTGAAAGTGGAGGGGCACTTTCTCAAATGGTACACGTGCGGGCCAACAGTGTACGACTCCGCGCACATTGGGCACGCCAGAAGCTACATTATGCTTGATATAATCCGAAAGACTCTGGAGAGGTACTTTGGATACAACATAACATACATTATGAACATAACAGATATTGACGACAAAATCATTGCAAAGGCCCAGGAGCACCTAAGCAGCCTGCCTGCAGACATACACGAGCAGTTTAGCAGGCTGTCTGTAAAGCTTGCCGAAGAAACCGAGGAGCAGAAGAGGATACACGTCGCCAGCCAGGAAGTTAGCAGGAAATACGAGGCCGAGTTCTTTGCGGACATGCAGGCGCTGGGCGTAGACCTGCCAAGCTACACAACGCGGGTGAGCGAGTATGTCGACGAAGTCGTTAAGTTTATAGAGGGAATCGAAAGAAACGGATACACCTATGTGTGCGAGGGCTCTGTGTACTTTGACGTGCAGAAGTACAGGCAGACACACAAGTACCCCCTCATGTGCCACACAGCCTCGCAGGAAGACCAGCAGGCGCTGCTCGAAGAGGGCGAAGGCAAGCTGGCGGCCGGGCACAAAAAGAACAAAAAGGAGGACTTTGTGCTGTGGAAGGCAAGCAAGCACGGAGAGCCTGCGTGGAGCTCCAAGTGGGGGGCGGGCCGGCCTGGGTGGCACATTGAGTGCAGCGCCATGGCAGTGAACATATCTGGAGGCAGAATAGACATGCACTCGGGTGGCATTGACCTGATGTTCCCGCACCACGATAACGAAATAGCGCAGAGCGAAGGCTTTGGGATAAACGACTGGGTCGGCCACTTTTTGCACACGGGGCATCTGCACATTGACGGAATGAAGATGAGCAAGAGCCTGAAGAACTTCATAAAGATCGAGGAGCTTCTAACAAAGGGGACAGCCCGCGAGCTGCGCATGCTTTTTATTCTGCAGAAGTACAGCGGGCCCATGACGTACAGCGAGGACAGCCTGGAGAGAGCAAAGGTGATGGACAGCAAGATATTTCGGTACATCTCTCTGTACGCGGTGAGCGCGCAGGAGGCCGCAGGCGCCGGCAGCATGAATGTTGTGAAGCCGTTCACAGACGAGGAGAGGGGCATTCTGGAGGAGTTTGAAAGGACTGTGGAGAAGATCGATCTGGCAATAAAGGACGACCTAAACTTCCCTGCAGTTATCAAGCTGGCGGTTTCGCTCACAGGCATGGAGTCTCGGACAGGCGTGAGGGAAATCCACCAGCAGATTGCTGCATATCTGAAGACGCTGATGCACAGAATTGGGCTGGACGTCGTGCAGGAGCCTGCAAAGGCGGCAGACCCGACATACATGGTGGAGCTGATTGGAAACTTCAGAAACAAGGTGAGGGACCTCACAAAAGCCTCTGCCAGCAAAAAAGAGTACTTTGCAGCGTGCGATGAAATTCGAAAAGAGCTTGCAGAAAAAGGATTTCTGATTGAGGATGCCACTTCCCAAACATCTGCCTCTATGCGAAAGAAGTGCTAAGCAGCCCTCTGCGCCATTTGCAGGCAATCAAGGGCATGCGCAGGCTTCTCGAACGCAGAGCCGCCAAGCGGCATGCAGTGGATAGTGTGTTTTCAGCCTCAGCCTGCATCACGCAATGTCTCATTTAATAAATGTATCCCACTCAAAGCACGCCCTTTCTTTTGTTGGCGCACCGCCCGTGGAGCTGGTCTGCTGCTTGCTTGCCACAGCTTCGTGGCGTGCTGGCGCACAGGGTGCTTCTACAAGAATGCAATTATAAAGAGCAGCAGCGATTTTTTATTTTCCAAATGCATACTCGACCTCAAAGTCGTCTCCGTCAAAGTCCTGCGGCTCCTGCCGGTCAGCCTCGGCCTTGTCTGGAAGCTCTTTAAGAAGTATTTTGCTCAGCTTGTTCTGGGTTCGGATCGCGTTTACCTTCCCGCACGCCTGGCACCTTTGATGGATCAGCTTTCTTCCTGCGTCTGTAAACAAAACAGTCTCCGGGTTCCTCTCACAGGACTTGCACAGAACAAACTCTTCTATGAACCGAAATATGTGCGTCTGCACCTTTTCTTTGTCGTGGGACCCGTTTATTATGTACTTTCCGTTCACCTCGTCCACGCTGCACAGCGTCCCCAGATCGTACGAGAGATACTTTGTAAGATGCTTTGGGTCTCTGCTAAGATTGCGCGCAATTTCTTCTATGTTCACTAGCACGGTTTTTATGCCGTTTCCCCGCCCCTCTATCTTTATCTCGATCTCAGGCATTTTGTACCGATAGAAGGCATCTGTCGAGCTGCGATCTATATTAATGGCCTTCATTCAAATAAAAAAAAGACACACCAAAGTACTTTTGTTTAAGCCCGCAGCAAGCTTTGGGAAAGTCCGGGCTGCGCGCATGCGCCAGGCCAGCGGGCCCCCTCAGTGCCGCCCCGCCAGGCCAGAAAGCGAGTCTGTGGCTCCAACTACAGCGCTTACTATTTCGTCCACTATTTCGTCGCACACTTTTTCCTTTGACTTTATGTTTTCTATCTTCTCGTTTATGCTGTTTATTATGGCCTTTTCTGTTTGGGCAAGCTCTTCGTTTGCCTGCACGAAGTATCTGTTTACCTCTGCCACTTTTGCCTCCATCAGCTCTGCATTGTACGCCTCGCCTTTCTTTATTGCGCTCTCGTTCAGCGCCTCCTTCCTCCGGCGCGCCTCCTGTATCAAGTCGTGTGCTTTTTTGTCCGCCTCAGCAAGCCTCTTAATGCTTTCTGTGTTCATGAAAAAATAAAAAGCGAAAGATGAAACATAAATAGTCTTTCTTTTCTGGCCTGCGCGCAAAGCAGAGCCCTGGCCTGGCAACACACGCTTTGTGCTGAAACACGCTGCGTTTTCTTTTGTGTCGGGATATATATATAAAATCTTTTCAATATTTTCGATGCAAGGCAGCGCAGTTTCCAAAATAGAGAAGGACGCTGTTGAGGACACCGAGCAGGAAGAGGATAAAAAGAAGGAAAAAGACTTTTTGAAGCTCTTTGAGTTTGTGTGCGTGGGAGATCTGCAGAGCCTGCGGAATTCGCTGTGTGTGTATGAGATAAGCCACGGAAAGGTCTTTGACCTTAAGATTGCAAACAAGTACGGGATGTATCTCATACACTCTGCTGCGTACTACGGGCAGAAAGAGGTGATTGAGTTTCTTCTATTTTCTGTGAGCGAGGTGGAGGAGAAAGACGCCACTCTGTTTGAAGCCATTACGTCAGACAACATTTCCTTTGAAAGCGCAGACACGGATAACATGTCGGTTAGCTCTTCTGTCAACTCCTGCATTGTTCCTGTGGTGTTTGGGCATGCAAAGCCAAGCAGCAGCTTTATTAACATCCGGTCGCTGGACAATGGAGCCACGCCCTTGCACTTTGCCGCGCTAGGCGGGAACAGGAACAACATAATACTGTATCTGCTGTCGTATGGTGCAGACCCCCGGCTGAGGGACGCAAAGGGCCTAACCCCGCAGGAGCTGGCAAGGGCGCACGGCCACAAAAAAACAGAAAAGACAATCAGCAAGTATGTGCAAAAAATAAACCAGCGAATGGAGGAAAGGCCCCCCAAGATACATTAGGCAGCGCACACGCCTTCGGAGCGGAGGCGGTTGAGTCCACGGGCTGAAAAGGCGCGGGCAAGCTCTGCCCGGCCTCCTCCGTGCTGCAGCGCGGTGCTGGCAGAAATGCCAATTTATTTTTCTATGTGAGTGCTGAAACTGTTCAACTTGTGTTGCAGTAGTTTCTTTGCATCATTTGAAAATAAATTAAACTCCGTCGCATCTTTAGCCTTTGGCCAAAGCCAACTAGTTTACGCTCTGAAAACAAACGCGCTGCAAAATATTTCTCTTTTCAGCCAAAACACGGCATGCAGCGAGAGCCCGCTGCACGCAAGCGCAGAGGCCTTTTGGCATGTGCCTGGTGGAAGTAGAAGCTCTAATATTAAGCCCCAAAGGCTTGGACAAACCCCTGCTAGCTGCTTTCTGCCGTGCCCGAATGCACTGCGGGTCTGTCTAGCTTTTAAGCGCCCCCTGCCAAGTCCGGCGTGGTGCCCTCTAAACATGTCCTCCAGGAGGCTGCTTCTTCCCCGCTCCCACGCGAAATGAATAAACGTGTTGCGGCTCCGCTTAAATGTTTTTGTTTATTAGCAAACAGAGTTTCGGTTATAATCGCCTTTATTCTAATAATTTCTTCTATCCATTCCTGGGCCGCTAAGCGTGCAGGCGCGCCCTGGTGCATTGCCTGGGCGGAGGTTGCCTGGCTACACCATGAACTCTTTTTTTTGCACCTCCATCATTAAGTCTAGCGCAGACACTTCGGCGCACGGGTCTTCTGCATATCCGTAAAGCATGCGATTGAGCACGGGCACGTTGGACATGGACTGGTATGCGCTGTACGCATCCTGCACAGACAGGTACGACACAACCCAGGCGTCGCCTTCTTTCTTATCTATTCTATCTACGTCCCCGTGTCTGGCTATCTCCTGCTCTATTTTGGACTCTTGCTGCGCCCTGTCCACCCGGACCATAATACATCGTGTCACCCCTTTGTATGCAAGCACTGCTGCCAAGGAAGGCATGGGCTGTATTTTCCCAGGCCCCAGCTTTGCCTGCATTCCCCGGATGCAAACAGAGAAAACCTGCGAGTACTCAATAAACGCTGCTGCTGATATATAGCTGAAAAACCCAACAAACGCACACTTTTTTTCCTTTATGGTTTTTATCATGTAGACCCGCCCGCCCTGCACCACAGACAGAATCTCTCTTGGTGTTATGTCTGCGGGGATGTTTCCAAAGTACACTGTCCTGTTGTTGTAGGCAGCAGATTCCTCCGAGTCGCCCAAGCCGCACTTGTCTCTGCTGAAGCAGACCTTCACGTTTTGAAAGAGGGTGTCTTCTCGGATGTTCGCCACGAACTCCATTGCAGGCATAAAGGAAAAAAACTCGACATACGCCACCTTTCGGTCCCGTATGTGCTTGATAGACTCGACTGCCCCGTACTTCTCGGCCTCCTCGCGGATAAAGTCCCCTGCCATGAAGTCCTCAAAGTTTGCCAGCATGATGTTTCTCGTTCCGCCTGCCAGATGCGCCAAGTGCGCTCTGTTTCGGTCCTCCTCTGAGAGCCGACTCTCCACAACTTCTATCTTCACGATCTGCCCGTCGACCACGGCCTCTCTGCCCAGAAGAGCCCACTGCTGGTACATTTCAAAGTACGAGAAAAATCCAATAGCAACAGTGGAGCCCTCCTTTTCGGCCAGCAAAATGTCGGAGCCTTTTATCAGCTGCAAAACGCTCTGTACGGTTGTTGCTTCCGAAACTCCCTTGAAAAGTAGCATTGTGTATTTTTGCATCTCCTCTGGTGATTTTGTTGGGCCTTTCATTTCCTTTGTATTCTTGGCCATTGATTTTTTCTATTTTTTAATTTCATGAATATGTATAGACACGAGACATACTTGGCTATTTATTTTACCATCTTATGTGGAATTTGCGTGAATGACTTTGTAAAAGGAAAGAGCCTCTACGAGTGCCTGGTTGGTATGGTTGAGAAGAGAGTGCAGCACTTTTTCCTGTCCTTGTTCTTGGTGGGGGCGCTGTACGTATTAGGAAAAGCTCTTGTTGACGTGACGATAGGCGAGCTGGCCCCGCTGGAAAAAGAGGGCGTGCAAGAGAACTCGATGAGGTACTTCGGGAGCATACTGCTGGCGGTCACTTTGTTTGCGGACAATATTACAGTCCGCACTTCTGTTCTTTTTGCGTTTGTTTTTGGCGTGAAAGTGCTCCATTGGATCATGGGGTTCAGAATAGAAGCAATGGAGAAAAGCGGCGCTTTGTATCTGCGCATGGAAAGAGTGACAATCTTGGCACTCGTCCTCTTCACAGCCGACCTTTTGCTTGCGTACCGCTTTATTTCCTCTGCGCTCTCCACGCCCAGCATATCCATTCTGTTTGGGTTTGAGTTTTTCGTCATGTTTGCATACTCCATCCGGTCTCTGTATGCGCTCGGCGTACTATACCTAGTCAAAGACAAAGAGTCGGGGATTGAAGACCGCATATTTTTAATTTTCTACGGGGACTTTGTGTTCTGCTTGCTGAAAATACTCGCGCATGCGCTGTGTCTTATATGGACGTCTGTGCACTTTAAGATGCCTATAAATCTGCTGAGGGACGGAATATTTGCCATAAAGCACCTGATTGTGCGGACAAAAAGCATGCTTGCGTATAGATCGCTGGTTGTTTTCCTGGAGGGGTGCCCAGACGCGTCAGAGGCCGAGGTGGAAGAGAACAAAACATGTCTGATCTGCCACGAAGACATGAAGGTCGGCAAAAAGCTGGAATGTGCACACATCTTCCATCTGGCGTGCTTAAAGGAGTGGCTGCATAGACAGCAGGCGTGCCCTGTGTGCAGAAAGGTTGTGGCCCCGAAAAGGGCGGAGCCTGGGCCTACGCCTACGTCTACGCCGTCAAGCGAAGAGTCCCGTGCTGAAGGCGTTTCGTCGGTCCTGCAAATGGCCCTGGGCAGCCAGAACGGGGATGAGTACGAGGGCGTTCCTGTGATGGTTTTAGAAAACGAGCAGCCCTAAAGAGCAGCCTTGGCCGCTCCAAATGTATTTGCAGCACGTGCAAAATGAAATATAAAGAATCTTAGTAACAAAGTATATTGCCAGAAATCCCGCGCGGTTTTCCCAGGTGCGTTTCTAGTTTCTGCTTGGGCTGTAGAGCCGGGTTTTTGTGTTTTCTCTGCTTTGGGGTGGCGCTCAGGTGCTGATGTGTTTGGCCTTGGGCTCTGCACTCTGCAGCCGTCTTCGCTCGAAGCTGTACAAAGAAAAGGCTGCGCCCAAAGCGCGGCCAGCACTGCGCGCAGCGCATTTAACAGGGCAAGTTCTCAGCTGAGCCGCACACTCCGCTTGCGCAGAAGCGCGGGCGCCTCAAATATTCTAGTTGATACGTCATTTATTCTCATTTGCAAGCTTTGGCCTGTGCATGCGTGTGTGTATTTATGTAGTTGTGGCAGGCAGCTAGCAGAGTAATGGGTTGGGCGGCTTGCATGCCATCAGACATATCCGTGTTGTCCGAGCCTCTTCAAATACTATACAGCGTGTAAACTAGGCGCGCCCGGCCATACGCAAAGCAGATTTACATTGCAGAGAGCTCGGCGCCTTGGCCTTTGGGGCTGCGCCCCTGTGCAAGCGGCTTCAGCTGGCCCTTTTTTCAAAAGGCTCCTGCGTGGGGGCTTTTTTCTTTCTTCGCTTCCTTTCTGGGGCATCACTTAGCACCGTGACCCGCCCCATGGTTTCGTAGCTAAGAAGCCTCTGATTCAGGGTGTGTATGTTGGCCACCTGGACAGTTGGCTCTGTTTGCTGGAAGTTGTCTTCTATTTCGAGGGCTGGCGCGCGAACAGCCGCTTTCAGGGCGCTCAAGATGCTTTCCCGCACGTAGAATATAAATATGTTCAGAAGCTCGCCTTCTGGCACAGAGTATGTCCGGAATATGTCTTTTGCGTATATGTCAGGCTCTGTTTTTATAGGAAGCCTGAAACTCACCTTGTCTGTTATATGGAGAAAGGTTGCCACTTGAAAGTCTATGGCCACGTTCACCTTTGCGTCTTTGTAAAGGGCTGTGAACTTTTCTATGTATGTTGTGTACTTTTTTATCTGGCTGGCAACTTCTGCATATGCACGCGCAGAGGAGGCGCCTGACAGTGGGCCGCTTTCTTCCTTTTCCACTCCGGGAATAAGCGGCAGCACGTTTAAGAAGAAGTATTCTGGCGAGAACAGAGTGCGGTCTATGAAGAAAAGCTCGCATGTGTGGGAGGGGCCCTCGCTGGCTCTGGCTTTTATTGGTAGCAGATTCATGGATGCAAAGAAAATAATGCATAAGAGTCACAAATGATCACTGCGTAAATAGTGCGCTCTATTTGTGTATCCAAACAATGAAAGACGTGTATTTCCCGAGATTGCACTGGAGAAACGCTTTTTCAAAGCGCAACTGCGCTTTAAAGTCGTCGCCAATCAGTAAAGTACCCCTTATGGAAAGCTCAGTTGAGACAAAGAAAAACACATGCCTGTCGGACAGCGCCAACGACCCTATAAAAAGGCCCACCCGAACCATATACATATCTCGAAACGAAGTTAAACACCCTGCGGGCCTATCTGCATTCAAGCTGTGCTTTTTGTGCAACGGGAAAAGCGGGGCGTGCAAAATGTGCAGCTGCCTAAAAGTGTGCGAGCGCAGAGAAAAGCCCCATCTGGAGGAGGGCTCCTTTGTGTCTGCAAAGCAGGAAAACAGCTCCGACGAGCTGCACATGGATGGAAGCGGCATGTTTGGTGCAGCCTGCCGCCCGCAGCACGAGAAAAGCTCATTCGTCTTTTGCACGCTGTGCTCGTGCCGCACTGACTGGCCATTGGTTTCTCTGGAAAGCGATGTGTATGTTGTCAAGTTTGCCACGATAAAAAGCGCCCTTCTTTTCCATGCGTCGCACAAGTCCCTGCTGTTTATGTCGTGGGGGCACGAGCCGCATGAGCAGAGAATCTTCTACGAAACAGAAAAAGAAAGCATACAGCTAAGAATCCTGGAGAAGGCGTTTTCTCTGGAGGAGTCCCACGTGCGGGGCGCTGGGTTTTTGTGCGAGATTGGGCAGAGCCTGGCGGCGGAGCCAAAAAACATTCCCTGTATGGGCACTCATCTCGAGGCCAGCAAAATCCGAGACTTTGTGTGCATGGCAAGCGGAAGAAGCTCAAACGTCACCCTGCAGATGAAAATCCGAGAGCTGTCGCAGAATGACCTTTTGCAGACAATGTCTTCGCTCTCGCCGCAGGTTTTTTTCTATCTGGCCAAGCACAAGTATGGAACCTATGTTATCCAACTAATGATCAGCATGATCAAGGAAGACACGCTTGTTCGGGAAGTCAAGCGGCTGATGCTGCCGTACTCCACCGGGATGCTTCTCCACGAAATAGGAAACTATGTGATGCAGGGAATGATCAACTTTGACAAGGCCTTTGTTTTCGAGTGTTTTATGAAGGACTTCAAGAAGATTGCAAGCAGCAAAATAGGGTCCCGGGCCTTTAAGAGCTGCATCAAGCACTTTTACATGTACCGGCAAACAATCATCCAGATTCTCACGCCAAACTTCATAGGGTCCATCCCCACCGACGAGCAGAGAGTTCTTCGCGGGTCTCTGAAGGATCTTCTGCTTGCGTCCGAAAAGAACGCATAGCTGCTGCTGCGAGGGACACTCTCCTGTGTGGAGTGCCTGTGTTAAAATAAAAGTGTACATATGTTCTATTGTTTTTATAGGCTTTAAGAAAAACTACAAAGAGCGGCCAGAGACAGGTGCGCAAAAACAGAAGCATCCACAGGCGCTGCAGACTTTGTAGTAGGCTGCAGCCAAAGAAAACCCAAATAAAAAAGGCCTTTATTTCCGCTAGTTTTCCGACATCTTTGCGTGCTGCAGGATGTTCTTGAGCTCTCGGCAAAAGACAACCTCAAGCAAGTTATCCTCGTCAACTATGCAGTAAGGAATTCCCAGGGTTTCTAGGTATTTTCCAATAACCACCTCGCCCACAACAGCCTTCACCGTTCGCATCTCCTTAATCATTGTGCCGCTGCCCACTATGAGCAAAAGCGTGTTGGAAAGCATTCCCCGAGACAGCGCGCCGTCATAGAAGAGCCCGTCGCTGATAAGTATGTTGTACCCGTACCGGTACTCGTCTTCAAAGACCCAGGAGACCCTGGTCTCGTTTGCCTTGAACGTCAGCCCTTCTATAAGCCCCCGCGTGTCTGCGTGCTGCTGCACTGCAGAGCTGAACGTGTACAGCTCAAAAGGAACGCCAAGCAGATCCAAAGAGTTTGTTATGCTCGAAAGGCTTCGGATAAGCGAGTCCACAATGCTCGAGTTTTTTATGCTTCCGCTGTTGTCCACAAATATGCGGATCAAGTACTCTCTTCCCTGGTTCTTGGTTTTTCGCATCCATATTCTGTTTTTCTGCCCGTCGCTGGCAATGTACGATATGATCCTCTTCATGTTCAGCCGCCGCCCGCTGGCGTAGTCGCCCTCGTACGCAGACTTTTCGTTCTCCTCTAGCACCACGCTCAGCTGCTTGGTGAGCTCGGGGTTTGTGCGGTGCTTGACGCTTTCGTAGTACTCGAGGGGGTTCACACACTTTGCAGCCGGCCGCTCAAACAGCGCCTTCTTCACCTCCTCGCTTTCTGGCGTTTCCCTGTACTCTCCTGTGTAGGCTTCGTTGCACTCCGTATCCTCAGCGTCCTTGTTCATTTCTTCGCCCTTCTCCACAGCAATTTCCCGCTCTGCGCCTTCGCCCTCCTCGTGGCCAATTCTTTCTGCGTCTGGGTGCTCTTCGCTCTCCTTGAACAGCTGCTCGGGGTTTGCCTCAATCTCTGCGTAGTCGTACTGCTTTATGTTTTCCGCGTACTCCTCGCTTTCGTATTTCTCAATCGAGACTTCTTCGCTGCTTTCTTCGCCTGTGCTCAGGTCAATGGCCTCAAGAGACTCCTCTCCCAGAGAGCAGTCTTCCACGTCGTCCAGATTGTCTTTGTCAAACTCGCCGCCAGCTTCCTCGCACATGTCCATTTCCTGGACTTTGAGGGACTCCGCGCTGTCCTGGTCCTCTTCCTTTTCAAGGTTGATTTCCTCCAGCTCTTCCTGGTTTTCGCTGCCGCTGCCTACTTCGCTGCTGCCGTCTTCGGGCTCGCCTTCGCCCTCCTCCTCTTCGCCGCTGTCTTTTTCAGCGGGCTCGTCCTTCTTGTTTTGGTTGAAGCCCTCTTCGTTTTCCGAAACAGACCCGTTGTCCACCTCTATGTCTGGCCGGTCCTCTGCGCCCGCAGTTTCCTGCACCTCGCCTGCGTTCTCGCAGTCAACGCCGTCCTCCTCCTCGATCTCGTCGCTTTGCATGTCCTTTTCTCCCTGGTAGTCGCCCCCAACTTCTTCCTCTTTTTTCAGCTGCTCAGAGATGTTTTTCTCGCCCTCGCCCAGGCGCATTCCGGCCTCCTCCAGCTCCTCAATAAGGCCCTCGAGGCCGTCTTCGTCCGTGTCTCCGCAGAACCCAAACGACATGAGCTCAAAAAACAGGCCCAGCGACACAAGAATCAGCCGGTACTCCGCCGGCGCTGCGTGCATTGAGTAGTTAAGCATCCGCACCGTGGTGTCGGATATGCGCGTGGCCAGCTGGAACTTGAGCACAGGGTCCACCTTAAGGACTGCTATTCCCAGGTGCATGATTTTAGCCAGAACCACGTGCTCGGCCTCGCACTCTGTGTACTTGTGCAGATAGAAGTCCATTGCGCCAACCACGCCAACTCTTGAAACGTTTTCGGGGATCATAAAAGATATCTTGTCAAAGAGGACGTAGAGAGAGCGCAGCTTCACGCTCATGCTTTCCTTTTCCAGGAGCAGCTTCTGCCGCTCCACCTCCTTGGCCATGCACACATAGCACGCCTCGTCCTCGCACGTGCATGTAAGAGGCACGCTTCGGTGGAAGACCTGCGGCTTGATCATGGAAACAATTGGGGCGAGCAGGCTCTCAAGCGTTTCTCGGGCGGTTTGGGCCTTGGCCAGAATGGACTGCTCTCGCACCGGAACAATGGCCCCGCACACCTTTATCTTGATGTCGAGCGCCGTCTGCACCTCCTTCAGGCATGTGCACACAGCTTCTTCGACCTTTTCTTTTTTCCGCCGCACTGCCTCCAGGTATGGCAGGAAGTACACCAGAATGTTCTGAATCTCATACGCTCCCCCGTTTGCCACCATTTGCCTGATGATCTCCGCCCGCTGCTCCATGTCCCCAACTGTAGACTGCAGCAGGAACTCTTCAATTGCATACAAAATGCCTTGCTTGGCGCCTTCCCCAGCAATTGCGCTGAACAGATGCAGGAGCCACCCCCCATATATCTCGGTGTACTTCTTTGGGCAGTACGAATTGATGTCTGCGTACTCCCTGTATATGGTGTGCCTGGCTGTGTTCAGCGGGGTGCTCATAATTTTTGCATGGATTGCGTCCACGTTCAGCTTGTCTAAGTCTGCAGCCACTTTCTGCGCAGGCGTTGTGAGCGCGCACTTTTTGATCTCCTGGATGCGCTCGATCAGATACTCTCGGGCACCGTCGTCTTCTCCCCAGTCAAACTTGCTTTCTCCCACAAGGTTCTTGGACCTTTTTACCTCAAGGTGGGTCTGGTCCACCAGCTCAACGACCCGCGGGCTCACCGAGATTTTGTGCAGAGAGTGCTTTCCCTCGGCTTCAGACAGGTCTACCTCTCGGCGCTTAAGCAGAGCAGTGGCCGAAACAATCTTGTCGCTCTGCTCATCCAGCGCATACTGCACGGTGCCCTCTGCGTAGTCATCGGGGGCGTGCCTTGAAAGACTGTGCTCCACAAGCAGCACTCCTGCAAGAGCAAGAACTTCTGAGGGGCTCACGACTTCTTTGGAGAAAAGGCGCCACGCTGTCTGGACAGCCTGGGAGTGCAGAGGCGTCAAAGACATAAACGACCGTTCCTCCCTTTGGAGCGCTTTGCACGCCGCTGCCAGCGCGGCCTCTGCAGAGCAGGCGCCGCTGAGCCCGTCTAGCATGCTTCTCGAAAACTCGCACACCGGCACGCTCTGCGCCTTCTTCGATATTCTTTCTATTCCGCTCTTCAGCAAGGCATATGCAAAGCACTCCCAGAGGTCCTCGTACTTTGACATGTCCCTTTTGATCAGAGAGAACGCCAGAGACTCTGGGTACTCTGCATGCACAGCGTCTTTTATGACGCCCTGCAAATAGTATGCAAACTTTTTGAAGTTTCTCTCCTTTCTCTTTTTCTGCACTGTGTCAAGGCCCTCCACAGGCTTTTCCGGCGCAAAGCAGAGAGAAACCCCGTACTTGTACAAGTAGTAGCTTCTCTTCACCTTTTTCACGGCCGTGCGCACACTCATCCGGCTGGCCTCCTCAATTTTTTCTATTTCTGGGAACACCAGCGGATCAATGTCGTACTTGAGGCATGCAGTAATGAGGTCCTGCAGCGCGTCGTACGCAGGCGGCTCTGTCTCCAGCGCGGCGATTGTTTTTTCCAGCGTGCCAGGCAGGCTGTCCAAAACCTGCGCCACCTCCTGGAGGATTGCAAGGTCGCCCAGCGTCCCCCAAGTGCCTTTATTTGGCGCAAAGGCGCACTCCATCAATTTGATTTTAGCCATGCGCAGAGAGACGTCTTTCCGCGGCAGGAAAGGCATGTCCATGGCCTCGAAGTATGCGCGCAGAGCGCTCTCTCCGCTCTCCAGTCTGTTGCGCAGGGCCACCAGTCTGTTGAAAACGTCTTGCGGCGAGCGGCTTTCTCCCGCCGGCTTTGGGCTTTCGCCGCCTCGTTCTCTTTTTGCTCTCTGCGCAAAGGCCGAGCACAAAGCGTATTTTTTCTTCAGACTTTCGTACAGCTCGGCGTGCGTGTATATTGCCCGGAAATGGGGCTCAACCGCAGACTCCGAGAGGCTGCGCACAAGCAGGCGCAGCTTCTCCGATATGCTTTCGGGCGAGGCCGTGCGGTCCGAAAGGATGCCAAGCACCTGGGCGTCCAGCGAGCCCTGCATTAGGCTCTGCAGATGCGCAAGCACGTCTTCCTCAACTATGAAGTTTCGGAGTGGGCTTTCTCTTTCCAGGTCCGACGCGCTGGGCAGAAGAGGGCGAAGCACGCCTTCTCCAACTGTGTTGTAGTCCAGCGCCTTCCTGGCGCGCACGTGGGCGTTTAGCAAGCCCGACGGCACTTTGTGCAAAGAGCTGGTGCTAAGCGGGCACTGCTTCCTGGACGGGTGCAAGAAAAGCATTTTTGCAATGTCTATGCACGAAAGCTCTTTGGGAAGAATCACCTGGATCGACCTGTTAACAAGCGCGGGCGAGAGGTCCTTTGCTCTTTCGGCAAGAGTCAGAATGAACCGGGTTTTGGGATGGGTGATCACCTTTCTCGGCTCATCTCCTCCTTTTTCGTGGATTTCCAGGACTCCGCCAACTTCAAACAGGCTGTTCAGCCGATCAACTACATCGTTCTTCACCAGGTTGATGTTTTTCAGAAGGACCAGGTCTCCCCGCTCAACAGCTTGGATAAACGCGGAGTCTTCCCACATAAAGGGCGACGGGCCCTCGTCCTCCGCCTTCACATACCGGCCTAGGAAGTCCGACGGCTCCATGTCCTTGTGGCAGGAAACTGTGCATATCTGCTGGCCTGTTATCCTGGCCACAAACCTGGCCGCTCTTCCCTTTCCAACAGGCCCCCGCACAATGCACGGCCACGCCATGTTTAGGCCGTGGATCAGCGCTTCTAGCGCAGGAATGCTGGCGTGTGTGATAACATATTCTGGGTCTCGCGACAAGTCACACTGCAGGAACCCCTGCCCAATGCGAAGCCCTTCTGCGCTTCCCAGGTATGGAACTTCCACGCCAGGCAGCGTGTTTGCCTTTCCGTGGGGCTGGGCCTGTGCGGTGTGCACAGGGAACGCCACAAGCTCGGTGCCCTGCGGAACATGCACTACGCTTTTGCGAGGCTCCTCGGAAGCGCCCTCTAGAGGCTCGTGCACGTGCTTTACCAAGTGCGCCGAGCCGATTGCCATGTGCCGCAGACAGTCTCTCAGATTCAGGCTGTACGTTTCCCGGCACCGCAGGAGCTGTTCAGCAAGCGCTTTGGCCTCTCCAGGGCTGCACGGCGTGGGCGCCTGCGCCAGGATGATTTTCAGATCCTCTTCCGAAAACGGGCCCCGCGTCACGCGCACAAACCGGCTAAGGAAGGACTTTGGCAGAAGCTTTCGCCCGTCTGTTCTTGACGTTTTCGGGTTCATTGTTGCGAATATAACTGTTTCGGGGTGCAGCGCCACAGGCCCCAGCTCGGGCACATATATCCTTCTTCTGTAGTCCAGACACCCGTTCAGCCCCTCGAGCACACTCTGCGTGGCCAGGTTTATTTCATCCACAATAATCCAGTCCCCGCGGGCCACAGCCCGGACAAACTCGCCCTCCACAAACACAATCCCGCGGTCGGTGGGCGTGTTTCTTCCGGTTAGGTCTGCCATCTCGGTTTCGCTGCTCAGGTTTACACGAGTGACTCGCTTTCCCAGGCGGCGCCCTGCCTCTTCGACAATTTTTGTTTTTCCTGTCCCAGGCGGCCCCTCAAGAAGCAGGTTGAAGCGGCAGAACAGCGCCTGCAGAATTCTGTACAGAGTCTCCTTGACCGAGGGCGGCTCAAATGTGTACGACGGGAGAGACGCAGCGCCGCTTCCCTTTTGCAGGACGAACGGGTGGATTCCAAACGCCGCGGGCGTGTCTACAACAGGGCCCAGCGCAGGCACAGGCATCTGGCGAGCAAGCTCAATTCCCTGGAGAAGAACCTCGTCGATTTTCTGCGCCTCCTCGCGCGGGCAGTTTGCGGCATATCTGGCCAGCAGCTCGGCCTCGCGGGCGCTTTCTATCTGGATGTGTGCGCGGGCAACCCCCTTGTGCAGGGCTCTGTACAGCTCAGACTTGCTGTACTGCTCGGCGAGCCCGTACTTCTGCGCATAGAACAAAAAGTACTTAACGGCCTCCTCGTTGCTTTCGATCGGGTCCACATAGATCGTGGTGAACCGGGTCGATATGCTTTTCCCAACCTCTCTCTTTCCGTAGTCGTCGCCCGGGTTCATTGTGCCCACGATTCGGAACGTTTCCCTGGCCGCGATGTGCTGGTCTGTCTCGTGTATCCGCAGCTTTCTGTCGTCAAACAGCTCGTTCAGAGACTCAAGAACCGAGTCCGGGACCAGGTTTATCTCGTCGATGATCAGGGCGCCCCCTCTTTTCATTTCTCCAAGCAGGGGCCCGTCTCTCCATGTGAACCTAGGCAGGCTGCCCAGCGCCTCGCTGCATTTAGAGCTCTGCGCCGTGCGGGCCTCTTCCCTGTATCCGCCCACAAAGTCGGACAGCTCGATCCCCGCATGCATCCCCAGAACCGTGCACGGAGTCTGCATTCTTCGGGACATATACTCGGAAAGATAGGTCTTTCCTATCCCTGGCGCGCCCACCAGGAGAATGTTTTCTCCTCCAACCCAGGCAGCCTCCATCTTTCTCAGGGTTCTTGTCACGCACGGCGTAAGCAAGGGCGCGTGCGGGTCCTCCTCCAGCGGCACCGAAAGCGCCTCCACGTACTTTTCGGCAGTAAACTGCGTTTTGAACACTTTTTCAAAATGCGCGCAGATGATGTCCTCTATTTTTCTTTTTTCCTCGGCGTGCCGGATCTTCTCTGTGAGAATAAGCATTGTGTAGTAGAAAAGGCGCTCCTCGTCCTTCGTTTCTTTTTCGACGAAGGGGGCCTGCGCCTTCTGGTTGAAGCGCGTAAGGATTTTCATAAGCTCCCGGAGCGTGATATACTCGTGGGACCGGTTGCATGTGAGAATCCGCAAGGCCTCGTATATGTCCAGAAGCACCTTCGCATAGACTTTTCCTGCATGCATTCCGTGCAGAACCGCTTCGAGCTCTTCTCTGCACTTTTCCTCGACGTATATTTCTATAAACCTGTTTCTGAACGCCTTGCTAAGATGCTTTCGGTTTCTGTAGTCTGTGGACTCGGCCGGGTTCTGGGAGGCAAACAGCGCGAAGTCCGGGTGGGCTCGCACAGTCTGCTGCGTGGCGGGTATGAAAAGCTCTCGGTTGCTGTCCAGAAGCCTGTTCAGAGACTCGAGAACTTCGGTTGGCGCAAGGTTCAGCTCGTCTAGCAGCACCCAGTGGCCCTCGCGGACGGCCTTCACAAGCGCGCCTTCTTTGTACACAAAATCGCATCCTCTCCTGTTCTCGCCTTTCTCTGCAGCCTTTGCGTCTGTGCGCTGCTTTTTCACCGCACGGTTTTCGCTTTTTTCGCTGCCACTCGCCTCCTCTTCTTCTGCACTGCTCTCGTATGCCACGCCAAAGGTCCCCAGATACTCTGTTATGTCCGTATGCTCGTGGTTGTTTATCCGCACCACTTTTCTGCCGCGGCTCTGCGCCATGTACTTGATGAGCGACGTTTTTCCGACAGACGTGGTGCCCTCTAGGAGAACCGCAGTGCCCGTTGATATTGCAGACTCGATTTCAGCCACGTACTCCCGGGCCTGCGGGGTGATGATGTATTCAGAGGTGGAGAGCATCTCCCCTCTCTTCTCCGCCGAGGCGCCCGGAAATATTGTGGCAAGCAGCTTCTTTCCGAGCACCTTGTGCTTTATGCACAGCTGTGTTAGGAAGTTCACCTTTACGGCCTCCACCACGGGGATGTTTTGCATCTTCAGAGCGCGTATCAGATTTCTAACCCCAAAGAGCGCCTGCCGGTTGCTTCCTGTGCGCAGGCCGTTCTTCTCTGCCATGCTTTTTATCTCGGTGTAGAACTGCACAACTTTTCGGACATCTGCCTCCGCGTGGTGCTTTCCATAGCTTTGCGCCACAGCCAGCACGTCTTCTGGGTGCCGGTCGACCTCGTCCACCCAGTGGCAAAGCGTTCTGTCCATTTCAATGTTCTTTTTCCCATGGTCGTCTCCGGGGTTTATGCACTGAAATATAACAGTTCTTTGGTCTATGGGGACAACTGCGCCGCTGTCTTCAACCACCGAGAGCTGGCCCCTGCTTATTGCGGTGTTTATGTACCGCAGCGTAGAGTTTGGCGCGAGATTGCTCTCGTCCAGCAGTATCCAATACCCGTACAGCGCGGCGCGCACAAGCGGGCCCTCCACAAACACGCATATGTTCTGCATGCCAGACTGCACTTTCCGCAAAAGGTCAAGAGCCTTGGCAAGCTTCTGTATCACGCTCTTCTTCGCAGGAGTGGGCGCCTTCTCATCCTTTTCCGAAAACTTGCTCAACAGGTCTTCGGCAGTGTCCACGATCACGTCCACTCTTCGCTCCTCCGCCGCCCGGTCTATTTCGGTCAGAAACTCGTTGTTTTTTTCCTCGTCGAAGAACAGCTCAAAGTAGCCCTGCACAAGGTCGTTTATGTGCAGAGCCAGCTGCTCGCATGTGGCAAACTGGTACGACCCCAGCAGGTCTGAAACGTCCGTGTCTTTTGACAGATTTACACACAAAAGCTTTCTTGCATCCCGGCTTCGCATTTGCAGAAGTGCTTTGCGCCGTTCAAATATTTTCTGCACTGTTGTGGTCTTTCCGGTTCCGGTTTCCCCCACAAGAAGAAAAGAGTTCGCAACAGGAAGGCCCTGCAGAACAAAGAGAATCAGAGAAATCGCAGGCTTGGTGAGCACATACTCCTGCTCCTCGCCCAGCATGCCCCGCACCATGTGCTCGGCCGCGTTTATGAGGGGCGACATCTCCTCTGCCCGGACACACAGCATGTCCCGCAGCAGAGCCTCCTTTCCTTCTCTTTCTTCAGCCTTGAGGCCTGCCAGCAAAACATCGCGCAGAATCAAATACAGCTTTGCACGCACCTGGAGGGGCGGCATTTCGTGCGCTGCAATCCCGCCAATGCGCACTTTCTCCATGGCCATCTGCAGAAGATAGTATGTCTTCGCGTCCTCCTCAACGCACTTTTCTACGTTGTCTACTTCGTGCGGCTGCGCAAACTTTTTGATGGCAAACACCACCGCAGAAACAACGCTCTGGAAGGCTTCCTCTGCCGAGCCGTGCTTTTGGCTTCTGCCTTCGCTGAGCGCTGCAACAAGGCGCGCGCACAGGCGGCCTTCTTTGCTGGGCTGTGCAGCCTGGGCGCCTTGGGGCGCGCTTTCTCTTTCTCCGCGCGGCTTGGCGCCCTCCTGCATCTGCATAGTGTATGCAGCGCCCCGGCTGCAGCCCTCAGCATAGTCCCGCGAAAATATAAACAGCTGGAAGTCCGCGTGAGGCTTCTCTGCTGTCCCCGGGACAGTCTCGTACTCCGAAACAATGTAGTTTGTCACTGGGTTTTCCTTCTCCTTTGAGTTTACAATGAGCCAGCACCCTTTCCGCATTGCCCGGACCAGCGCGCCCTCTCTTCTTATAATGTTTTTCCCCTCGATGTGCACCTGCTCAACCAGGCAGGCCGTGTCCTGTATGTCTTCCGCGTCTATTTCCATCACAGACATGGATCGCGCAGCGGCGGCCGCATACACTATTTCCTTGGCCTTTATGGTGTTTGGTATCTCAACAGGCACTGATAGCTTTTTAACGGTTTCGTATTCGTGTAGAAAACGGCCCACCTCCTCTGAAGTGCTCAAATGAAAAACGCCCTTTCTAATTTGCTCTATTTCTTGCGCATCCGTTGCGAATGAATTCATGAAAAGTTTGAGCAAAAAAATATTTATGCAGAAGCCCTACAGCAACTCTGAAGAAGATACAGGCGAAGACAGCTACAGCGACGAAGGCTCGTTCTGCTCAAACGAAATGTCTGATCTCATAACATCCAGCAGCAACGTACCTGAGCTGTTTACAGTGTGCAGCGGCCCCTGTGCGGGGGACTACGACCGAATAGAGCTTCTTGCCCGCCAGGCCAAGACTTTGGACGTTGCAAACATACAGGAAAAAGAAAAGGAGCTGCTTTTCTCAAAGATCCTGGTCCGATCCGAGGCCGAGAGCATAGAGGCAGACCCGTGGATTACTTCGTTTTTCTCTGTGCTGAGCTATTCTGAGGCGACCTCTATGCTGCACGCCAAAGTGAATGCAGCAATAAAAAAAATGGAGCGGCCCGAGGAGCTCAGCATTCTGGTGTCGACGCGCTTTGCAAACGTCCCCGAGGAGATTGTGTATGAGATGTACGAGGCTCTTCCTGGGGCGCTTCCCAAACAGGCTGCGCCCAGGATGCTTCTTCTTTCTCTGGAAAGGCCTGTTCTGCAAGATGAGGAGAAGGAGATCAAGCGGGTTTTCCCGGACTTTAAGTTTGCAACAAGCGCCAAGCTTTTCCCGGTGCACACCGAGGAGATATTCCTCATGCTGAACGGGGCAAAGCCGGCCTTTTCGTGCACGGTTGCGGACGACTCCACCATCAAGGGGTATGTCCTGACTGAGGACAGCCTGGGCGCCTTTATAGGCGCAATGAAAAAATACTACACATAGTAGCTCGCCTGCCCAGGCCCAAAGCGCGCAAGCAGCCTAGCAAGCCGTGTGCGCTTTCATGCAGCTCAGCTGCCTTAGGCCTGGCATAGTTCCGGGCGCACATAGAATGCAGGCAGCCCCGCTTCGCGCAGATGCTGGCACAAAAATAAATATAAGGCAAGCACACTTTACTTGGAAGCACACTTTCGGACACTGTACGCAGAGGCACGGATGCGGAGGCGTATCAGCCCATTTGTGGAAAGTCTATACACTAGAAACACGAGCCAGGTGAAACAAAAAGCTGGCTCGGCACCCTTTGAAGCCTAAATCGTTTGCATTTAAGGGCGCAGGCCTGAAAATAGACAACGTGTTTTTATTTCCGAATCCAGCTGCATAGAAACTGCAATAAAAACAGAACAGCCCGCCTTGCGCAAGAGATACGTGGCGCTAGTCAGCGCTGCAGCGCCGCAGAGCCCCCAGCAGCTTCAAATCGTTCAATATGGGGCCTGCCGCCCCTGCCTGGCCTCTGGCTATGGAAATTGCTGCGACAGCTCCCTGCGGACTTCTTCTATATCCTGGGTTGTTATTTCTCTAATGTGCTCTAGCGTTCTGGCCAGGCCCAAGTAGAGGGCATCCTTCAAAGGAAGCGAGGACTGTTCCTCTGGAGTCAGAAATTTCGCAAGATCTGAAACAATTGGGTTGGGCTGGATGCTGCCATCTGCCGTCTCCAAGGCGCTGTCTTTGCATGCGGAGGCAGCCGCTGGCGCCTGCTTTTCCGGCACGTTCTCCAAAGCGCTTGGAGAATCGGCTTGGGGCGGCGCGTTGTTTTCCAGAGGGGAGTCTTCGTGCGCTGCAGCCTCGCTAAAGGAGGACTCCAGAAAGGATGTGTCCAGCAAATTGGGCTTTTTGTTTGCGGCCTTCTTGCCCACGCCCCGGAATCGGCTTCTTTTCTGGAAGTCGGCTTTTGCTGGGAGATCTCCGGTTGTCATAAGTTCTGATCCATTGGGCGTAATGACTTCTATGTTGTTTTCCGGGTGCTCGTCCAGCTTGATTCTGTACCTCGTGCCGGCGCGCAGGCAGACTTCTCGCGAAATCACCTTGTTGACAAAGCACGTCTTTGTGCTGTCGTCCTGTGCATTCTTTTGCATTTGCTCAGCGTGCTCGGCCTGCGTTGGGATGCACTTTGGGGCGTGCCACAAGTGCAGCTCGTTGATTCGCGGAGCTATTTTGTGCATTTGGCTTCCCACAACTGCGCAGGAAAACCCGCAGTGTATGCATATCATGTGTGGAGAAGAGTTTTTTATGTTGTACATAAACAGGCCGTTGAGAGCAAGAGACCGCAAAGAAGCTCCCTTTATTGCATGAAGCCCGTATTTGAAAGACAGAAGCCGCGCCTTCATCTCGTGCGCGTTGAAAAGAATGCAGCTGGGCGAGTGTTTCTGGTGCTCTATTGCAGGAACGTCAGAGCTGCTCCAGTTCTCCAGAGCTTTCCCGCAGAAATTGCAGACCACTGCATCGTCGGAGGTGCCTGTTGGGTCAAAGGAAAACCCGGCGTATGCAAGCTCAAGCGCGCTGTGTGCAGTTCTTTCTCGGGTGCGCGCTTCAAACGACTGGATGCGAGCCTTCAGAGAGGTGGCTTTTTCTCTTGACATTTGAGCAAAAAAAATATGCGAGCAAATTATACAGCAGAAGCAATCCCATACGAGCTTGACCAGGACCGCTCGCGGTGCTACATGGCGCCAAACGGCCTGCGGGAGGCGCATCTCAAGCCGGGGCAGCATGTGAAGCTTACGGCAAACAAAAAAGACGCGTTTCTGAAAATCATTCCAAAGTTTGATGGGGATGAGAACGCGGTGTACATCCCGCAGGAAGAGCTGCAGCAGCTGGGCGCGCGGCCTGGGGACGCAGTGCATGTGGAAAGAGCCCGCGAGGAGTTTCCCGAAGCGAGCGAGGTGTGCATTTGGTTCAAAAGGGTGCGGAAGACCATAGAGAGGCTTGAGGCAGTGCGTCTTATTATGACAGACAAAAAAGTGGTCTCCTGCGGAGAGGCTATTCTGGGGGGGCGTGTAAAAATAAAAGAGCACGAGAGGGTGAAGGTGACGGATGAAACCAAAATCAAGATTGAGACCGAGGAAAGGACAGAAGCTGCAGTTGGCTTGGAGGAAGAGGCTGGCGCCATAAAGGCGTTTCTAGATGGGGCGCACCGCGGGCGTGCAGACAGTCTGGGTGACAGCGGCTTCTGCGAAGGCGAGAGCGAAGAAGACATGTCTTGGAGGGTTCCGCAGGGGCTTATACTTGCAGGAGACCCGGGGATGGGGAAGCGGACGCTTTGCCAAAGCGTGCTGCGAGAGACCGGAAAGGAGTGGGTTCGGGTGCATGGGAACAAGACCAAGCTACTGGAGGACGCCTTTGAGTATGCAAAGCTGAACGAGCCCTGCACAATTTGGATCGACCGGCTGGACAGATATCTGGAGGACAGGCCTGTAGACACTGCGGTATGCATAGAGAGACTGATGGAGGAGGTGACCAGGGATGGAAGGAGAATAGCGGTGCTTGCCACAGTCAGCGACCTGCAGAGCGTGCCCAAGGAGCTGACAAAGGCGTATGTGCTTGACAAGGCCGTGCTTTTGCACGCGCCCACGCTTGCCCAGCGCGCGCAGCAGATCCAGGCTGCTTTCACGCGCCATGTAAAAGCCAATCCAGAGTGTGCAGGCGGCAAGGCTGCGCTTGAAAGCGCCGCAAAGAGAACCGCCGGGTTCACGCGCAGCGAAATCCATCTGCTAGTGCGGGACTCCATTCTTGAGAGCGGCGCCGGCCTGTCTGGGGCAGGAGAAGCGGAGCCCGTGCGGCCGCTGGAGCAATCGATTGCAAGCATGAAGATATCAGGCAGCGCCCAGAGGCCTTGCAATGGACAGTGCATGGAGCGGCTGATGAGCAAGATTGTGCGCAGCATTCCCAGCGCCTCTGACGGGGTTCCTGCAGAGGTTCCAAATATTCGGTTTTCTGCCATATTCGGGCAGGAGGAGGCCAAGGAGAGGCTGAAAGAGGCTATTATTTGGCCGGTTGTGCACTCGGCGCTTTTCAGCCAGGCAGGCGTGCAGCCTCCGAAGGGAGTGCTTCTGTACGGGCCGCCGGGCTGCGGAAAGACCCTTATTGCGCAGGCGCTGGCGAACGAAAGCGGGTCTGTGTTTCTATCGATTCGGGGGCCCGAAATCATGGGCAAGTATGTTGGAGAAAGCGAAGAGCGGGTGCGGAAAGTGTTTGCCCGGGCCAGGGCGCAGACGCCCTCGATTGTTTTCATAGACGAAATAGACTCGATTGCTCCGCACAGGGAGTCGGAGGGCGGGCAGGTTGACAAGCGAGTTGTTTCGACGCTTTTGACAGAAATGGACGGGGTGGGAAGCGCCCCAGGCGTGTTTGTTCTGGGCGCAACCAACAAGCCGTGGAGCATTGACAGCGCTCTTATGCGGCCGGGAAGGTTTGACTGCCATGTGCTTGTCGACTTGCCGGGCAAGGAAACCAGAAAAGAGCTTATACGGAGCAAGCTGGGAAAGACGCTGCAGGCAATCCAGGCGTGGGGAGACATGCAGGAGGGCGAGGCCGCCCGGCTGCAGGAGTATCTTGCAGAGAGATCCGACGGCTTTACGGGCGCGGAAATATCGGGGCTGTGTGCAGAAATTTCAATGGGGGCGGTGCGGGCGCGCATACAGGAAGTCACTACAGGAAGCGGGGAGCGCGAAAGCATGGTGGAGGGCCTTAAAAAGATAGCGGACCGGGTAAAGCCGCGCGTTCCCAAGCAGGAGATCGAAACGTTCCGAGCCTTTTCAATGGACCCCATGAAAGTGCAGGCTGCGCTGGCCAGCCAGAGGCCCCGGCAGCAGGAGTAGGCCTTTGGCTGCTAGCTGCAGAGACATAAGCATGCATATGCATTGCCGGCGGGCGTCAGGCAAAGACGGTGCAGGGCCTTTTCCGGAAATGTGTGTCTTGTTTGCCGGCCCTCGGGTTGGAAAGAGGCGCGCGTCTTTAAATATGCGGAAATTGCATGCAGCTGAGCTTTAAAGGGTGGAAGACTGCACCAAAAGACAATAAATTTGAGTATTTAACACACTACTGAAAGACCATGGACTCGCCCCGTAGGGATTGCAGACGGGCTATGTTTGTGACGAGCCAAGTGCATATGTGCAGCGCAGAAAATGTGGCCGAAAAACAGCAGAGTGCATTTTCGGCAAGGGCGGTCTGCATGCAGAGGGCACGCTTTATCGGCTGCTTGTGTTGCTTGCCCAGAATTTGATGAAAGAGACGCCTGAGCACAACAGCCCGAGTTTGCTGCGCTGGGCTTTCTAGTGCAGCGGCCGCCGCTCAGGCGACGCATGCAGCCTGTGGCTTCTGCATTTCATCCAGCCTGCGCGCCCTGGAGCGCTGCATTGGGGATAATATAAATATGCAAGCGCATAGATATAAATTTACTTTTATTCTGGAAAAGAATGGAGGAGCTGCGAGTGCTTGTGACAACAGACAACCACTTGGGGTTTGCAGAAAGAGACCACATCCGGGGAGAAGACTCTTTTCGGGCGTTTGAGGAGGTGTTTAAGCATGCGCGCGAAACCCGGGCAGACTGCATTCTTATATGTGGGGACCTGTTCCACGAGGTCAGCCCGTCCAAGTACACGATGTACCGGACCATGGAGATTCTGCAGCGGAACATTCTGGGGGACGCCCCAATCACAATGGAGTGCATTGACAATGGAAACTTTGTGGACATTCAGAAGAAAAGGCGAGAAACAAACTACTACAGCAGAAACATAAACATAGAGCTCCCTGTGTTTGCAATCAATGGAAACCACGACGAGCCGTCTGGGCACAAGGGCGTGACTGCGCTGGACATATTTGCAGAGGCCGGGCTCATAAACTATTTTGGCGGGATGGACGGCAAAGTAAGCAGCAAAACCATCCGGCCGCTCGTTTTTAAGAAAAAGGGCGTCTTTCTCAATTTGTACGGGATGGGGGGAATTCGGGACGAAACCATGGCAAAGCTGCTGGCAGAGGAGCGGATTGCGTTTGAAATGGCGCCTGGCGGGCTTAATGTGCTGGTGCTGCACCAAACACGATGCGGCGTGGGCAACCATCTTTATGTGCCGGAGGACCTGCTCAGCAAAGAGATGGATCTGGTTGTGTGGGGCCATATGCACAAGTCCGAGCCCGTGCCTGTGGAAAACCTCAAGATGGGCTTCCACACCATACAGCCGGGCTCTACGGTGCAGACGTCTCTGTGCAAGGCGGAGAGCGGAGACAAGCACTGTATCTTGCTGAAGGTGACGAGCAACGGGTGGAAAACTGTCCCGCTGCTGATGGAGAGCTCAAGAAGCCTGGTCTTTCGCACCATGTCAGCCGCAGGGGGCGCGCTGGAGGAGAGGATTCGCAGCGAGATGCGGTCGATTTTGGCCCAGCACCAGGACAGGCGCCGGCCCTTAGTGAGGCTGCGCGTGGAGGTGGACTCGGCAAGCGGCACTGTTATACCCAAAAGAATCATGGAGGAGTTCAAGGACAAAGTGGCAAACCCCAAGGACGTGCTCCGGGTGATCCACCGAAAAAAGCAAGCAGCGCTTGAAAAAAAGGAGGAGGCCAGGGAGGTGCACCGCAGCACGCAGTTCGTTGTGGACATAGAAGATGCGAAAATACTGCCCAAGGGCGTGTTTATGCAGGGCATTATGGAGTGCATCGAAAAGGAGAGCAAGACCGCCATATCCCGAAGGTACGACGAAATTGTGCAGGAGGTGGTAAAAGTGCTCAAGTCGCATCGCTGGACGGACATAGAAAAGGAGATACCGCCCGCTGTGCATGAGATTGAGAAAAGGCTTTTGTACGCATATGACAGGCCGTATGCATGCAGGGCCGAGGAGGCGGGCCCTGGCCAAGAGAAAACAGCGGAGGCCTCAAAAGAGCAAGCCTCTGCTGCAGACTGTGCAGGGGGCGCCTCCTCAAGAAAAGAGGCGCCAAGTTTTCCAGAAGACGATATGTTTGGCGGGGCCATTGAAGAGGCGCACCCCGAAACAGAAAAAGCGCAGCGCGGGCCGGGGCTTTCGGAGCCAGGCTGCTATATTTCGCAGGCAGGCGCAGAAAAAGCGCCAAACGAGATGCACAGCGAGGGCGAGAAGCACTTGGAAAAAGAGAACCCGCGAAAGCGCATAAAAACCGACTTCGCCTTTTCTGCGCTGTGGGACTGACCGGGCGGTGGCTTCTGGCAGGGTGTCTAGAATAAGAGAAATAATATTTATGTTTACATGTTGTTTGACAAGATTTTTTTGTCCAGGAAGACTTTTGTGGGCGTGCATATACTGTACATTGTGGTGTGCCTGGCGGCAGGGATTGAGTCCTTGATACGGGGAACGCACAGCCTGCTTATTCGCATCGCAACAGCCACGTACACCTTTGGTTCGTCGGGGATCCTGTACGCGCTTGGAATACACGCGGTGGGGATAGAAAACATGATGCATGTGCTGTGCCTGTCTGTGTGCAACACGGTGTTTCTCACTATGATTCTGTTTTTCCGCTTTTTGATTGAGTTTCGGGCTGCGCACCCTTTTGGTGTGTTCTATGATGGAATTCCCCTTATTATAGGGGCAAGCTTCTCCTTGATTGCTGCGGTGTATATTGCGTATGTGCGGAGGTGTCTTGTCAATGGGCTGGTTTACCCGGTGTTCATGCAGAGAAGAAAAAAAATCGAGTCTAGAGTAGTATTTGTTCGGAGAGAGTACCCCGAGATTTTTAGCGTCCAATAGGCCGAAATGGGAGCTGACCAATCAGCAGCCCGCAGGGAGTAGATAAAACATTTTGCAGGCTTCCCCTGTATGGAATCAAGCGGCGAGAACAGTAAAACAAAAGCAGTGGCAATGAAGGTAAAAGAAACCGACGAAAAGGCGCACCAGCAAGTAAAAAAAATAAAAGAGTCGAGGATAGGAAAGCTTATCCCCACAGAATGTGGCGAAATAAACACAAAAAAAATGGTCCTCATTGCTCTAATAGTAAACGCAACTCTTTGCACATACACATACTTGCTATTTATTGCGCTATTTGGGAAAACCCAAGCGGACAGCTTTGTGTCATCTCCTATTGGCATTATTCTGGGAATCACGTACATTTTGGCGCAGGGCCACGACACATACGTGTACTTCCTTGACAAAAGCACCATGCTCCTCTCGTTTTTGGGAGTTCATGCTGTTGGATTGGCAATCACAGTGCTGACCCTGTTCTTTTTAGACGGGAATGCGGCAACTTTGCTCTTTAAGTTCGTTATAGTCAGCACGTACAGCATGTGGTCTCTTGTATACGTGTACTTGTTTTCCATTCACATATCGCACATAAAGATGGGCGGATCTTCCAGCACAGGCGACCACCAGGAGGTATAGAGCTACAATAAAGGCATATAAGACGCGCATGCACGCATGTGCATTTCTGCATGCTTGTGCTCAAATAAACTTTATTAAAAAACATGCTTGACACTCGCATCTTTTCTCTGTGTGAAGACTGCGCGCTCTTTATCCTGCGCATTTGCACACAGGCGCTGCGCAAGTTTCTGCCCACCCGCGCGCGCCTCTCCGCCAAAAAGAGTAGCTCGTGCGCGCGGAAGCGGATGGCATTTACTTTTCTTTATAAAGTCACAAAAAATTGCAGTTATTACGCGCTGCGGCACTTGTCTCTGCCACGCTTCTTTCTGGGTCTGCATCTTGCAAAGGGGGCGCGTATTGACATCTAGCTTATAAAAGCTTGATTGCCCGAAGACATTGCTATACCCGGGGCAATATTTTTTCCTTTATGGAATGATTAGTGATGCTGTTGAGTATATTGCTGTCTTGCCATAAGTATAAATTGGCAAAAAGTTTTGTAGCAGATGGGGAATTTTAAAAACAACACTTTTGTATTAAAAAGAATTGCTGTTCGAGCAGCGGCCGTTGCTCTCTGTGTTGCAGTTGTGGGGATTGTGTGCAGTGGCGCGAAAAACAGCATGGGCTCTATAAACGATCCGGTCAAAGCCCCTCCGAAAGACTTGGCAGACTTTCTATGGATCTCGCTGTTCAAAACAATCAAAATACTCAGCCTAATCTCAGAGTCCATGCTTTCTGTTAACATGGTTTACATGGCGACTAATCCCGGGGTGGTGTGCAAGATCGCGTGTTTTGTGCAGTTTGTGGTGGCGTCTCTATTTGTGGTGAATCTTAAAACAAACATGAAAAACCTGTTTGAGGCTTTCTCTGGCGAGAGATATGTGCTTTTCAAACATGCCAGTGTCTCTGGGAAGGAAGCTCCGCTCAGCACGAGCCCCATTAAAAAAACCAGTTCTTCCTTAAAACCCAAAAAGCAGGAAGACATGACGGGCAAAGGCACAGGGAGCAAGCACACGCCAATCTCCATGCCAGAAGTTGACATGGCCGACCCGCTCGTTGACACGCCTGCTCTGTCTTTCGTAAGGAATCTGTCCCTGTTCACAATTGGCGCTGTCTATGTGTTTTCTCTGGTAAAAACTTTGCTTTTTATTGGGGGGGTTTCTTTCTTGCTGCTTGATAGCTTTGTTTTGTCAAACTGGATGTCCGGGGTTCTATACGGAAAGTTCCCATTTTTCTCGGTTTTTGTGGACATGCTTGCGCTGCTTTCCCAGGCTTCGTGCAGCCCCAAGGGAACACTCCTGTCCGGGGCCCTGCTGTTTTTTGGCGCGTCACTTAGCGACTACTACAACGTGCTGGCCGAACAGAACAGCTACAGAAGGAAGGTTTTTCTGTTCCGAAAGAACAGGAAGGTGCTTGGGAACGTCTTGGTTCGGGGCTTTTTGCTTTTCTTGATTATTTCGCTCAATCTAAACATCTTTATTGTTTTCATGGATCCCATTGTTGAAATGGCGCTGTCAAAGAAAACCGGGGACATAATAATAACATTGCTTTGTCCCGGCAAAGAGCCGAGATTGATCAGAGATGAAAACCGAAAAGGGATAAACTATGACAAAGAGTTGAAAGCCAGCAAAATAATCCGCGCTGTGGGCGTGGCTTTTTCGGGGATATATGCGATTATTGCCCTCAAGACACTATTCTTTGCACATGGAGAGGCCATGTTTAACGTTGTGAGCGGCGCGCGCTCGAACAATTTCATACCGATAGGATGATAGATAAAGAAATAAACACAAGAATATTAGCTTGCGCCCTTTTGTGTGTTTGCGCAGCCGCCTTCCTGCGCGCGTTCTGCTTGCGGCGCGGGCATGCTTGTTCAACCTTAGGCCCTCTCCCCAAACGCCTGCTGCCCCGCGTGCTTCGAGCTTTCACACTCTTTATTTCTTGCAATTCGGGCTTTTGCAAAAATATGCTGAAAGGCTACGAGGCGGTTCTCATGGCCATGCTAATAGAAAAGTTTGCACTGAGCGCGCGGGAGCACAGAATAAACAGCGCTGTCTACGACATTGTGGTGTCAAACAAAAGCGTGCTTGCTGTTGTGAGAAGCCTGGTGGACGCTTCGCCGGGCGGCGGCCCGGCTTTTGCGTTCGGCGCGCTCCTAAGAACGGCGCTGCACCAGGCAAAGTTTGTCGTTTTGTGCGCCTTTGTTTTTTTGATTCGCTTCTGCACCCGGTTTATTGTAATGAAAATACCCATTGTTGTGTATTTAGTTGCCTTTGACTACTTTGACTGCAGGTTCTATAAAATAGCAAACTCCAAGGGCATGCACGACGCCATTGTGTTCACGCTTCTCTGCGTGCTTCTTGCATACTGCGCAAGGTGCACTGTGCAAGAGGCGATTGTTTTCAGAGGCATGTATTTTCAAAGTAGCAGTGAGATGATAATGGACAAATAAATTATTTTGCAAAAAATACGAGGGGTGGCATGGCAGGACTATTCAAAGAAGAAAACGAAAATGTATATAGAAAGTTTATTGCCCAGGTCCGGCAAGCCGGGTTTGTTCGGGTGGTCTGCGTGTCCAGAGAAGTAGACCACTTTGCAGCTCTTTTTTCTTTGCTCACCATACTGGAGAAGGAGCTTATAAAGCACGAGGTGGTGTGGTCTGCGCATAGCAAGGGAGAGGAGCGTGTTTTTGAGGTGGGCATAGGAGAAGGATGTGCCATTGAAAACGGCGTCGTTATAGGCGCTTGGGCGGAAAAGTGCCCGAAGGGGGTCATGGTTATGCACGAGGGCAGCCTTGCGCAAACCGTGTTTGCTCTGTGCAAAAGCTTGGGGCATCTGACTCCAGACTGTCTTTGGAGCCTGTGCGTGTCCATGTACGAAAGAACGTGCCGAGAAGAGGAAACCGGGTGGGACACGCTCATACGGAAGGACCTGGAGAAGGGCCAGGCAGAGGAAGAAGAGTTTGGAAGCAGCGAAGAGAGAGAAAACGTGTGCCCAGAAATGCGCGCGCCACAAGGGCTCCACAGGGATCTGTATGCAGAGGTTGGCAGGCTGGAGAGAGACGACAAAGAAAAGATGTCTGTGCAGATAATAAACAGTGTTTATTTTCCATTTAGCCGGTGGAGCACATTGTACGAGGCTCTTATTAACGACTTTGCGATTATAGAGGAGCTTGGGCTTTTTTTCCGGAGAAAGCACACAAAGCACTGCCTGCTTGAAAACGCGGAGTACCTGCTCAACCAGTTTCTTGCCCGGCTGGGAATGCCCGTTGCTGCTGCGCAGAAGGCGTCCCTTGGCAGCCTTGTAGGCCCTGCCCAGAAAATCGCCCAGTGCAGCTTCAACCGAAGAAGCGTGTATTTCAAGAACTACCAGTACAACAGCGGGTTTTCGCACATCGAGGCCTTCTACGCAATCTGCCATCTGATAAAAAAACAGGCGTTTACAGAGGCGGTCTTTGCGTTTAGAAATATAAAGTTTGTGTCTGCCGAAAACGGCCTGCGCGAGTACAGGAGGGTGGTGCACGACATTAAAAAGTGCGTGGAAAGGAGAAAGGTTCTGCGGGTCAATGGCGTGGGGATAGTGCTCATTCCGAAGGGGGTGGTTTCGTATGGCTCAGACAATGAGATCTCTCTTATGAAGAAGGTCTTTGTAAATGTGCACATGCTCTGCAAGGCCCGCAACCCGCACAAAGAAATCATTATGGTTGCGGGTGTCGAGGAAGGCCGCAAGTGCCGAGTATTCTATAAGGAGGATGGTTGTGTCTTCTGGAAGGACACCGAGGAAAGGCTTGTGAACGACTGCATTCGGGACCTGCTCGAAAAGTTGGAAAACGAGTAGGCCGCAGCAGCTCTGGGCTGGCCGAGTACCGGCGCAATGCACCACTTAATAGAACAGCTGAAAATAGAAATAAAGGAAAACTGTGGTATGTTTTGTGCGGCGCAGGCTCCCTGGAGAAGCGCTGTCTTCTGCCGCGCGCGCTTTCCAGGCGGGCCTTGGCGCGCGCCGCATGGGCTTTGGCGCCCAGACATTTCGATGCTTCTATCCGCAAATGCTAGAATCGCGCAGGGATGAAACCCTTGCTGTTTGGACAGGCGCGCTCTGGACCCTCCAGCACGCGCGCGCGGCTGGCCTGTGCACCTGGAGGCTGCACCCAACTGCACAAATAGGCGCGGCGTGCCCATTGTTTGCACGCGATCAGCTTTTTAGGAAGGCAGCATTGGCCAGAACCGCGGAGCTGCCGAAAAGCCTTCTTTTTGCGTCTTTTGATGCACCCCGCATGCCTGGGCAGCGCCCAGACAGCATTGGATTTGCAATTATTTGTCTTTCAAAATATTTAGAAAAACAATGGAGAAACAAGCCTCTGAATCTCTCCCGAAAGACGGCGCTAGAAACGCGCTGGAGAAAAAAGAGAAGGCAACCGCTGCATATGTGCACAGGCTGGCCGCGATTGCACGCAGCTGTGTGGAGTGGGGGCTGGGCGTAGGCGCTCTTTTTCTTTTTTTGACAGGAGTGCACAGAGAGATATCCAAGAACGGCGCTCTATCGATTTTTCCAAAAGCCGTGATTCTGGCCACCGTTGGGATTTCTGTGTACAACTGGCGGGGCGCCATCTTTGACTCTGTCCTGTCCCGGCGGGAGGAGCATCTTTTCTATCACAAAACAGTGATAGCCATTATTATAGGGCTTTTTGGCGCTCTGTCTGGAAACCCGTGGCTGCTTTTTTTCTTGACAGCTCGGTCATTGAATCTGGAGATGTTTGCGTTTATGCTGCTCACGCACATGCTTATATGGGGGTCTACATGTTTTATTGAAAGCGCCGCAATTAACCAGGCCATTTCTACCTATCCAACCCTGGCAACAACGGTTGTAAACATGGAGGAGATACTTTCAGACAAGGGCATGCACTGCGCATACGACAGAAGCAAGAAATATCTTCTGGGCCTGTCTGTGGTATACATTTCTCTCTGCATTTTGGGCTTTGTCTTTTATCCGCACGCCGAAGTTGTGCGCCTTTTGGTTTTGAACCCAGCAGTGCCGTGTTTTGGCAGCGCTTCCTAGGTAGAGAAAGGCCTGCCTTTGAAAGTGTGCCAAAAATGCACCGGCAAGAAAAAGCGCCCGCCCTATGCGGTGGTATGCATGCCTGCCGCACGCCATCGACAGTTATGTGCATCTAAGAAGTCTGCGCCCGGCGGAAAGGCCAGCCTTTACAAGAGCATAATATTTTTGCAAAACTGCACAGCACAGCATCAGGCTGATTTGTGTAGGGCGCATAAATAAAAGGGCAATTTTATACGAATGAAGAATCTTTATGTTTTAGCTGGAATAGCACTGGAGAGCATACTTTTTGTCATAGGTGGCCTGGCCATGAACAGTAGCGATTTTATGCTGCATGAAAGGCAGGATCCCCCGGGATTGCTTACTGCAATAAAGTCTTTTCTTATGGGATCAAGAAGCCAAGGCAAATACATAGTTACTTCTGAAGATAAAGCGCCGAATGCCTTAACCGGGGAGCACAAAAACATACCGAGCGCGCCGGCCCCATGTGCCCGAAACGCGCCCACCGGCCAAACTTGCCAAGACGCATTGGAAAGCCCGCAGGCTTCTGCACATCCCGGCATAAACCCGGGTCCACCGGCATCCCAGCCCTCTACTTCTATGCCCGGCGCTCCGAACGAAAAAAGCATGGGCCTGCCTGCAAAAAAGACGCTTCCTATATCGCCCATATCCAGATCGCCCACATATGTGAAAGCAGAAGTCACGCAAAAAAGCGAAAAAAAAGCAGCTTCCCCAAAGCAGCAGCCACAGAAGCCTGCCCCTTTGCCGCCGTGCAACACTTCCGGCTCCAAGGAAACGCTCAAAGACGCTGGCTTCGCAAAGCCTGTGGATGCAGAGCAGATCGCCCAGCACCTCATCCGATACAGCAAGCTCGAAGCAGGCGAAGCCTCCAAAAGCAGTAGCACAACGCCGCACGAACACTCGGGCGACCTTCCCTGCTTGGGCGCGCTGTGCATGGAGGCAGAGATCTATCCCAAAATTTCCGACATTGCAGCGCACATATGCAGCATCGTAAAGTTTCTGGAAGGCGTTACAAGTCTGGCAGGCCGGTGCGTGTTTTTTGAGTTGGACACTTTGAACAGCATGTATGGCATCGCCATAGACGCAGTCCTGCAAAAAGACAAAAAAAAGCTTTTTGGAGAAAGACTGGTGGACAACTCAAACCGCAGCCCTTCTCTGGGGCAAAGCGAAGTCGAGATGAAGGACTTCTTTTTGGGGCAGCTAAGCTCTGGGCTGTTAGTGGATTGCCGGAAAAAGTTTATGTTTTTTCTAAGACTCCTGTACATTGATGTGGTTAAGTCAGACATCAAGCTTTCTTTTTTGGCTGCGGTTCCTTTTTTTGAAAGCCTTACATGGATATACATGAACAAAAAAGGCGCGGAGTGGGAGGGAAAGAGCTGCTGCTTTTGCATGGCCGGCAAGAAAGGCCAGTCTTTGATTCTAAAGCATATAGACACACACTGGAGCCAGAACGCGCAGGAGGCCGGGGTGTTTCTTTGCCATGACACATACCCCAGCATATGCGTGACAAAGGAGAGGCGCGAAATGCTTGCATGCTTGGAGGGGATCCCTGAGTGCAGCAACATAAGCCACGACATCCCCATTGCAGACTTAATGGTGTTCAAGCTGATAAGCACTATCAATGGCCTGAGCCAGAAGGACTGCAATATAGATGTGTACAGGCTTTGCGTCATTGATCTGTGCAAGGACTTCTTTTTCAACACATGCTCGGTGTTTCCTCACGATACATGCGCGCAGCACCCTTTGAACGGATACTTCCTAAACACGCACAAGTACATGGGGGTTTGCACAAGCTTCCTTGCTAAAATAGAAGCTTTGATGCAGTCTCTGGCCAAAATGTGCGACACAAAAGACAGCGAGTTTTTCTCCAAGTTCAAACACGCTGTGGCATGCCACGTCCGCTTCCTAGCTGTTTTTATCAACTACCAATGCGCAATACTATCGCACCATAGAAGCGACCGCATGCCAATGCAGAAGTGCATGTACAACGAAATTTTTGGGTCAATGTACTCGAAACTGTGCGAAGTCACGCCAAGAAATGTGCACAGTCTATACAATGCTGCGTGCATCCAGCTCGTGCGTGGTGTTTTTGAAAAAACTGCTGAAAGCGCGCCCCAAGAAGATAAAGGCCCTGAGCACAGCATTCTTTTAAGAATCCTAATACACCCATATCAAAACATTGAGCTCTTTTATGGAGAGCTTTCCAACCCCGACAACTTTTCCAAGCTCATATCCGAATACATTTCCTACACCAAAAGTTGCAACAAGCAAAAGCTACTGTCTGTCCTCAAGCATGTTGCTGAAGTGTAAGCAGAGACTGTGCGCAACACAAAACGCCGTGGGCGCAGCTTTGGGCTTCTTGCATGCATGCTTTGGGCGCGCCATGCTTTGTGCGTGTGTTCTCCTGTTTTTGCAGCAGCCACTGCTTAGATATATTTCAGCTTTTGCACAAAATCTCAGGCGTGCATGCATACATATGGCGGTCTTTGCCAGCCGCTGCGAGTAAAGGCATGCGCAGCATTGCAAAACCATATGAGCATGCAGTCTTGCACGCTCTACAACCACACACTTTGGCTGGGCTCTTTAGCAGCAACTTCTGGCAGCCATCAGAAACATGCCTGGTCTGCTGTATGCCTTCCAACCGCCCAAAACCGACATCCATCTCGGCAAACTCCAAAAGATCCATAGATACATCTGCGTGTACCCATTGTATGGCTGCTGGCAAGCTGGCCTCTGAATAAAGCAATCTGATATCACCCTCTTCTCTGGCCGCGCCCAAGCAGGCCCCTGCGCATTTCATAAGACTTCTTTTATTAATATTCTGTATTTGCGCGGCGCTTTTACAGGGTCTTTTCCAGGCTTGCCTGCTCCTCTACGCCCTGCTCGGGCCTTTCCTTGCCAAGGCTCTCCCGGACATGCTTCAGCACATCGCCCAGCCCTTTGTGCTTGCGCACAGCCAGCACCCGTTCAATGTGCTCTGCCACCACAGCCAAGTCTTTGCGCGAGTGCTTCATGGCACGCAGTATCTGCTTGATCACGGGCGTGCTGGACGTCACGTTGATTTTTTCGGCGCGAATCTTCCCGAGAATAGACAGCACCCTCTCCCGAGGAAGCCGGGCTATGCCCAGGCCCTCAAGCGAGTGCACCGTCGCCCTGCTCTCCGTCAGCGCATATATTGCCAGCTTCTCTATTTCGTGCACGGTGCGCTCGCTCTGCTCCAGCGCCTGCAGCGCGCCCAGGAGGATCTGCCCGTACACAAAGTCGTGCATTCCCATCCGCATGCTCTGCACGTACTGCGAGCACGCGTCGCCCAGCTCGCTCTCGCCCTTCAGAGTTCTCAGCACCGCCAGCCCGAGCGCGCGGACTTTCTCCATGGGCGCGCTTTCCGCGTCAATCTTCTTGTATAGCCCCAGGACCATTTTCCACGCTCCCTCCAGGCGCTTGCATCGTTTTGCCAGAACCAGGATCGCCTCTGCCCGCACAGAGACGTATATCCGCAGCTTTTCCTTGCTCTGCCGGGTCCCTGCAAAGAGCGAGATGTGCTGCTCCATCCGGTCCTCCTGCCCAGGGAGCAGGTTCTCCGTGTCGGGGAAAAATCCTGCCAGCTTCTCTAGAACTGCGCGCGCAAGCTCCTCCTCTGCGAGCGGGAGGTGCTCAAGCACCAGCCGCCCTGCGCTCTTCACGTTTGCGTGCTCGGCCTCTGTCGCCAGCGTATACGCAAACTCTAGAAGCGCACCCTCCTTTCCCGTGTAAACCGTGTGCCCGTGCGCGTACAGTATGCTGTTCATCACCGCCTCGACGTCGCTTTCCGCGCCGCTCTCATCTGCCCATCCGGTGACCATCTGCAGCCGGCTTCTTAGCTGCTCGATCTTGTGCGTGGTCTTTAGAATCGTCTGTATGGCCTTGTTCAGCGCCTTGCCCTCCAGCGGCTTCATCTGCGCAAGAATCTC